TGAAAAGTTTGAGGGCTGATTTGAGGTGTTCGGACATTAGAGGAGGAAGGTGCGTGTGCTTGCAGCGCCCAGCCGCCAGCACTAACACTCGTCGGGTGGCCTTCTGTACCGCAAAAACTGCGTCGATGACAGAGTCGAGGTCCACGAGTAAATCAGCGGGACCCTGAGCCGACCAAGGTCGGAGAGCCTGGCGTATTGCCAGTGTAAGAGAGGGGGTCAGGTCAGAAAAATCATCAAGAGATGCAGAGGGCGCAGGGGATGACCCCCGGGCACTTGCCGACACAGATGGTGGTTGCGGTTCAAGATCCATGTCAGAGAACAACCGTCGTCAATATGAAAGTGTAGCTAATGTGGAAGAGAAGTGTAAATGAAAGATGATAGGACAGGGGATGAAAGAGAAGGCAAAGGTGGCATGAGCATGTGTTACATAAGTTGTAGATTATGTAATTTGCAACAAATGCGTCACGTGTTCACGTGACAACAGTAGCGAAATAGCCAAATTGGTCAGTTGGAATTGGTCCAGCACCCGCTACCCAGTGCTCTGTAGCGTCGCATACCTATGCACTCATTCTTGTACAGGCATTGAGATTGTGTTCACTACGGACACGTCGACGGTGGACATTTCTTTTAATGATCACTTGCAACAGGTGCTCGCCAGTCAATCAGTGCTGCAGCTGCCCCGGCGGCTGCCACCACTATCCTTCTCGTCCCTTCAGTGCTTTGAAGCTGGGATTGGAATCCGTTAATTATTTGGTGGTCGCTCTGCAAGTCGAACAATCAGCATTCACGCAACGCCCTGGTATTCGTACTGCCAAAAACATCGCAAGTCCTCATTTTCCGCGAACACCTGTCGTGCATATCAATTAGTCTTCACGTAAAGACATGCTCATACCGCATCACAGAGGGCAGACACACGCTTACCTCCAACAGCACATCATCATTCTCCTCAATTACTGTTTGTGACAACACAGCTATGCAGCTCACGCACCCAGATGATAGATTACCGCGCAGGCAGTAGTCGATTGGCAATGAAGCAGACGGCAAGACGGTCTGCTTAGGCATGGAGACGTTTTTTTTTTTGAAAAGTCTCGAGTCTTATGACTGGCAGCTAGATCGTAGATGAGTAGGAACGGCCTAGCATGCAGGAATCTTTGGCGCAGAAGTGCCAAAATAGCATACCGGTGCAGAGCAGGAATGAAGTAACTAGTGGGGTCAGATTAGAATTAATTAATAGCTTCGTTCTATTTTTATTAAAAAATGACGGAGGTGAACTCTGGGATGTGCGCCTGGAAGGAAATTAAAAGGGAGAGAAAGACTCTTCTAAGCAGACACATTAAAGGGAAGGATGAAGGGGAGGACATGCCGGTGAGACCGCAAAACGATTGAAATGACGACCAAAACCATGAAGATGCGCACACTATACGCGAAAAGCTATGAAGACGAACCGACCTGTTAACTCGCACAGCTACCCCACAAGCGTACGTGGCATATTCCACTCCACGCGTTCACGGCGGGGCGCCCTCGAATTCCTGCCGGATCTTCGCAGCTTGCACCGCTGCACACCACATGAGCCACCACCAAGCCATACGAGCGCGGAAGCACGACTCACCCATCAGTGGCGCCGCAGATGCCAGCACGGCCATCGCGTCGAGAACTTTCTGCAGCGCGGAGAGGTGGCCATCGTGCGCCGCCCCCAGTGCGGCGGCTGTTTCTGCTGTTTCTGATGCTGCCGTTGTGTCCCCGTCGCGCAGTAAGGCAGACGTCCAGAGCACGCGTACGCGGGCAATCTCACCTATGAGCGCGCGGCACACCGAGGTCCACAGGATCTGCCTGGCGTCAGCGCATGTCCATGTTTTTGGACGACGAAGGAGGGGGAGGGGGGAAGGGAGGACGCACAGCGAGGATCGGGTCCGCAAACGCGAGCTGCGCAAGATCGATGCTGTCTAGTGCGGCGGCGGCCGCATGTGCGGCAGCGACGTCCCTGTCCTGGGCCGTGCCGCCCTCCGCTTGCTTGAGCGTGCCATGCACCCGGATCGTCGCGGCCAGCGCGAACGTGTGCGTCAGCAGGAGAGTGCGCGCGTCGGCCTGCGTGGGCGCTGCTTCTATCGGCGGGAGCGAGGCGACAAACTGGTCTATCACGCTGTCTAAAAAGAAGAAATCAACAGCGAATTGCTCTATGTAGACCATTGCTGGTGTCTGCCGTCAGCAGCGGCAAATGCAGCAGATCATCGAAGAGGCCTACCTGGAGTCCATTGCGAGGCGAGGCGCGTGGCGCGCTCAAAAAGCGCAGCACCTTTGGCCAGTCGGGCAAGCGAAGAGACACTTCCACCGTCTGGAACAACCTCCGCCAAGAACGCCTCCGCCGTGCGCGATCCTTGAACGCCAGGAGGTATACCGCCCTGTGATCGACACCGTCAGAACGTTTTTTTTTGCAACCGACCAAGATGGCAAAATCATACATGTTCATATTTCTCTATATCGAGTGGCCACGGCGTGTCCACCTGTGCACCAGGGGGCCCATCAAAATGCGACGGCGAGCCAACGACGACCGCCCAGCTCTTGTCGAGTACGAACACGCTCCAGAACGCGTTGATCCGCTCCCCCTCCTCCACGGCGTCCGCTGGCGGGGGCAGCTCGACGCCTCGCGTCACCGCCGCCGCGGGAGGGTCCGGCACCGCACGCAACTTATTCAAACGGCAGCTCAGGACGAGCGCGACGGCAGCATTGCAGTGGTAGCGGCCCTCGAGCAGGCGATTCGCGGTGAAGAAGTAGTTCGCGAGGAGCACCTCCGCCTGGATCGCGTGCACGAGCGTGTGTGTGGGAGGATGAGCGAGCGCCGCGGCGACGCTGTGGACGGCGCGCTGAAGGAAGAAGGGCTCGTGTGCGCGAACCGCCGGGTCACGCGAGAAGCGCGCTCCCCAAAGGCAGACGGCGCCGAAGAGTGCTGGTGCGAGTGCGAAGGCATGTGGGTCGGTGGCGCATGCGATGAACCTCGCGGGGTGGAGGAAGAACCCGATCTGGGACGCGCGTGGGAGGAAATGGCCGATGCTGGACGGGGTGAGTATGGTTTCTTATTTCGGTTCAGCGGATACCTACAGCATCTTTATAACCTCGGGGGAGGGCTCTGAGCCGAAATTGGGGGCCAGAGTGGGAACAGACTGCGGGGGAGCGAAGAATGCGGCTAGCATGGGCTGTCCACCAGACGGACCCGCAATGGGCATATTTGGAACCTGATGGGCCGTAACACCTGTTCTGAGTCAACACGAATGTTCAATCGAATGAGGCATTCACTACACTAACTGGACGGTCCAGGTACAGGCGGCGGAGACCGCGGATCGTAAAGTGTCACAGAGGGCGTAACAATTTCCGGATGCTCGAGCTCGTATATGCGCGCCTCGAGGCGAGAAATATTGTCCTCGAGCACCTGCGTCGGGCTCCGAGTGGGCCCATCCGTATATTCACAGTCGAATTCGCAGTTTGAGCGGATGCAGGGTCCGCAGATGGGCCGTGCGCCGTCACATTTCTGCGCGCGATGCACGTCATAAAACATGCAAGAAAGGATGTGGGACAAGAGGTACGTACGAATTTACGACGACGGCAGTTGAGACAGGCAGAACCGCGAGGGGCGCGTCCGGAGGAGGATCCCCCAGGAGACCTTTGAGTGGATGGCATGGTTTAGCAGAGTGCGATGCAAGGACGATAGAGGAGACGGACTTGATCACTTGTGACAACCTTGCGACGAGCAGGTACAGGTACATTCATCTGTTTATATGAGCTGCGGCAGCGGCGCTCGCGGTGTCGAGTCGCAGTTTGCATCGTCGGAACAGGCAGCATACTTCGTGGTTGGTTCCGAAAATGACTTGCGAAGAGAAAAGCAGTTCATCGGACCCCGACGGTGCGTCAGGGTCTGCAAGTCGGCCATGGCGATGCGCAAAGTCCAGTTCATGCAGAGCGGGTCTCGCCGCCCACATGATGACAGAGTGTGCGAGTGCTGTCCAATCGCGGGTGCTCCGAGTCGCGGACGCAGAGCAGTGCGGGTTTCGCGTCCCACCATATGGAATTGCATTTCGGAATGGGAGAGGGGGCCGGATGATCCCAGCGCGCATCAGCGCTCTCAGCCACCCCTGATCGCTCCGCCACTTATGGCAACCTCCCGCCCGGCCTGATCCGTCCCTCTCTTCGCGTCTCCTGCATGGAATATATTCTAATCTCTGCAGAACGCTGCACAGCTCAGACGTTCTGAACTCTTCCCAACGGAATTCCGGATATCACTGCGAACGCGAATCTGTCCGACACCACACGGCGATCTTCTTGACCGAGCACCCCGTAATTGATTGCAACGCAACAAATATTCTCACAACTCAAGCCCTGTCGACCTTACGAGATCGATGATGTCACGGCCTTTGCGTCCTGATCAGTAAGTGCAGTTGACTTCCAGTCAGTTCTTGTCCGTCTTGGTGTTCGGTACAATTTGTCAAGCGCGAGATTCGTCAGCAGTATATATACTGCTGACAGACGACCTTCTCAATGCGATGCGCCTCAGCCTGCACTGTACAAGTAAGCAAAGCATCAAACTTGCGAGCACCGAAAGTCCCGCTTCGAGCCATGACCCTCACAAGCTGACGGTCCCGTGACTTTAAAGGCTTACAGGCTACAGCACGGTGACTCCGACCATCACGAACGTGTTCTCCTCAATTGAGTTCGAACGAAGCACGACAGGTGATTCTCCCGACTTGTTCCTCCAACAGCCGCCGCGAGCGCCTCGCGAAAACGAAGAAAAACATCCGACAGACAGTGCCACAACGCTGAACGCTACGGCCCCACATACACATTGTCGACGACGGCTGGCCACGGACCGACGACATCACTAACCCTCAGGGTGCGACGTCTGACTAGCTTCAACGATCCGGCCGTGGGCTCTTCGCCCATGACTTTATTGCAGTGCACTATTGATTCGTAGTGCAGAGGGCCACAGACCGACTCCGATATCACTAATCCTCAGGGTGCGACGCACGACCAGCTTCATGGATCCGGCCGTTGGGCTGTTCATGACTCGGTTGCAGTGCGCTGTTGATTCGTAGTGCGCAGGCCACAGTCCAGATAGAAACGTGAAGATGAAACAAGATCGAAGCTTCTTGTCGTCTGTCGGAATGGGATCCCGAGTTACACGGACCAAGCGCGCAAGTAGCACGAGGACGTGTCTGACGCCTTATTCGCTCGCCCGACGATGCGTTCGAAGCCAGATTGCCGCCCGATTCCATGATGCGCAGTGCATGATGTGCATGGGTCAGTGCGGCAACTGGAGTCTGGCTGTCCCACATCCAACACCACATACTGCGTTTGGTCTCATCGTGCGCGTCGCTCTCCACCCCAATCTGTCTCGATCCCCACAGTGACCTTGAACGTTGTGGCGAGCAAGGGAGGAAATCCGGCAGAAATCGCCACCACTACGGTGGGGACGCGATTACGTGCGTGACAGAACGCGTGTCATAACGCGTGACGCGACGCGTTATACGAGGCTCCCTCGGACAAAACTCACAGCGGGTGTGACTCTCGCGAAGCAGGGCTCATTTAAGCTGTAAAGTCCTGAACTTTTATACATACAAAAGGCTATTTTCACTGCTGGGGAGGATTGCAAGGCTACCGCTCTTGCAGAGCGCGTTGGTGAGTTACAACTGTTTAGACAGGCCAGTCACTTGGACTCGGACTCGAATGATTGTTGGCGGTTTATGTGTCCAATGATAATTTCTTCCCAGATATATAGTAATCCAACCATGTCGCTCTGCGTGACAGCATCTAGCCAACCCAGTTGAGGGTAGACGTGTTTCTCCTGTTCTAAGTTCTTACTGTTTTTCTGGCATGCCAGGCCTTCTCACTCTCATATAGGCACGACTCACTGTGCACGCATTCAAGGAATCCGACATTCGCTCGTAATATTTTACAGCGAATTGAACTTCGAGCTTCATCAGGTGCCTCTAATGGCAGTTCTGGGGCCTGCTTGAGCCATACCGCACTCGAATGAAAAATACCTCCCGGTTGATTGGGTCATCACTGGCATCCGAATAGGGCTTCTTTTCTCGAGCAATTCATTGTGCTAAGAATGAACAAGGAGCGTAATAGTACAGATTCGGTTATTCAGTGAATCCAAGGGGAGCTCATACGCATCTCGAAGCGGGAGCAGTTTTCTACAAATCTTGCCGTGTGAGGCCCGAGACATGAACATCAATGCCACGGGAAGCCGTGTCACTAATAACTATACAATACTTCTTTCATCCAGATATCTCTGCACAGAACTCGTCAACCAACATTCGAAACGCGAGACGTGAAGCTGAACCTATAGGACAAAGCAAGGCTTCCATTCAGGCTCATCATCCCTTCCTAGCACGGCTTTGAGAGCGGCAATCCTTTCTGGGGTGGCCATCACGATATACTCAGGACGGGTGTTGGTGGCGAGTCGCCACTGGCGACGGCGAGGAAGAGAAGCCAACCCCGTAGACAGTCATGCTTGACCGAATGAACAAAGAGGACTTGTTTGCCAAACTTCTGTCTGATATCGTCAAGCGCGGCGACGTCCGATAGACGCACCATGTTGTGCTCCTTAGCATAGTCTCTCAACCACTCGAGTGACATGGCGAAGCCGAGGGACATCCTTGGGTGCCGGCGGTGCCGCTTACGTCGAGTGGAAGGTTGGTTCGTGGAAGAATGTTCCCTAGGATACAACGATATTGACTAGCTGCTGCGGTACTGAATACATGCGGACTTAGTACAGTGTTCCGGTTGACTTTGTAACCACAATAGGCGCCCCGTGGAGCTTTGTCTTAACGCGTCCCGTCACGCGTTGCGTTCTGTCACGCGTTATGACTCTGGCGCGCACGTGATCGCGTCCCCACTGTGCACGTGGCGATTTCTGCCAGATTTCCTCCCTCGTTCAGCACACGCTAACATCGATCATCGCGCATCGCTCATACATGCTCGTCCATTTTCATGTTGTCTTCATAGATGCAGCGAGGATGTGCTGTCTGGAATCGCCTCAATATCTCAACCACATCTCTCCCGGGTGAAATCCAACCCCAGCGGCACGCGGACTCATGCACATCAAGCATCATGGAACGCGCAATCGGGCTTCGAAAGCATTGTTGGACGAGCAAGTAAGGCGCCATGCATTACAGTCCCTCCTCATGCCCCTTGCGCGCCTGGTCCGTGCGGCTTGGGATTCTATTCTGATAGACGGCATGGAGCTTCGATCCTGTTTCATTTTCACGCCGCGCGTTTCTCTGTGACTGCGCCCTCTGCACTACGAATCAATAGCGCACTGCAATATGAGTCACGGGCGAAGAACCCACGGCCGACTCTGAGGATTAGTGATGTCGTCGGTCCGTGATCAGCCGTCGTCGACGTGGGGCCATAGCGTTCAGCGTTGTGGCACTGTTTGTCGATCTTCCCCTCCCTTTTCGCGAGGTGTTCGCAGCAGCTGTTGGAGGAACAAGTCGGGAGAATCACCGGTCGTGCTTCGTCCGAACTCAACTGAGAACCCACCCCATGCTCGTGCTTGGTTGGAGTTATCGTGCTGTAAGCCTTTAAGGTCACCGGACAGTCAGCGCTGAATATTATGACCAGAAGCGGAACCTTTGGCGCTCGCAAGTTCGATGTTTTGCTTACTAGGCCAGAGCAGGCTAAGGCGCATCGCAAGAAGGTTTTCTGTCAGCAGTATACTGCTGACGAATATCTCTCGCGCTCGACAAATTGCACTGAACACCAAGACGCACAAAAACTGACTCGAAGTCAACTACACTTACTGATCAGGACGTTAAAGAGCAGTGCACTGACATCATCGATTTCAAGGGTTTGAGTTGTGGAGATATCGCAGACTTGCTGCGTTGCAATTCGCTAGGCCGGCGTGTCATAGCGTTTGCCGTGATATCCGGAATTCCGGTGGCAAGGGTTAAGAACGTCTGAGATTAGAATAGATTGAGACTCGAACAGGACGGTCCCAGGGGCAGGAGGTTGCCATAAGCGTGGCTGAGAGCGCCTGTTGATGCGCGCTAGGATCCCTACTCCGAATAATTCCATATATTGGGACACGAAACCCACACTGCACTGCGCCATGGGCCAGCGTCCGCGACTCGGAACGCCCGCGGTTGGACGGCTAGAGCGGCGAGACCCCGCTCTGCATGAACTGGACGGGCCCGTGCTCCTCTGCGCATCGCAGGCGCCCACATGCAGATCCTTACGCACGGTCGGGGTCCGACGAACCGCCTTTGCCTTCCCAAGTGATTTTCATAACCCATCGCGGAGCATGCTGACTATTCCGACGACGCCAAACTGCGACTCGATGCCGCGAGCGCCGCTGCGGCAGCTCATATAAAACAGGGGAATGTATCTGCACCTGCTCGTCGCAAGGGTCATCACAAGCGATCAAGTCCGTCTTCTCTACTGTCCTCGCATCGCGCTCTGCTAAACCATGGCATCCACTCAAACGTCTCATGGGGGTCCGTCCTCTTCCAGACGCGCCCCTCGAGGGTCTGCCTGTCTTAATTGCCGTCATCGTAAATTCGTACGCACGTCTTGTCCCATATCAAGTTGTCTACATGCTTTATGACGCGTTTCGCTCAGAAATGTGACGGCGCACGGCCCATCTGCGGGCCTTGCATCCGCTCAAACCGTGAATCCGACTGTGAGTACACAGATGGGCCTACCCCGAGTCCGACGCAGGTGCTCGAGGACAATATTTCTCGCCTCGAGGCGCGCATATATGAGCTTGAGCATCCGGAAATGGTCACGCCCTCTGTGACGCTTTACGATCCGCGCTCCGCGCCGCCTGTAGCTGGACCGTCTAGTTAGTGTAGTAAATGCCTCTTTCAATTGAACATTTGTTGACTCAGAACAGGTGTCTCGGCTTGTCAGGCCCAAAATATGCCCATTGCGGGTTCGTCTGGCAGACAGCCTACGCCGACCGCGTTTTTGATTCCCGCGCACTCTGTCCAAACATTGAATCCCAATTTCGGCTCAAAACCCTCCCCAGAGGTCATACAGATGCTGTACGTACCCGCCGCAGCCGACGCGGAAGCCCGTATTCATCTCCTCTAGCATCGGCCATTTCCTCCCACACGCGTCCCAGGTCGGGTTCTTCCTCCACCCCGCACGGTTCATTGCACGCGCCACGGGCCCACATGCCTTCACATTCGCGCCAGCACTCCTCAGTACCGTCTGCCTCTGGGGAGCGCACTTCTCGCGCGACCCCGCGCTGCGCGCACATGAGCCCGTCTTCCTCCATCGCGCCGTCCACAGTGTCACCGCTGCGCTCTCCCAGGCACCCGCGCACGATCTCATACATGCGATCCAGGCCGAGGTGCTCCTCGCGCACTACTTCTTCGCCGAGGACCGCCTACCCGAGGGCCGCTACCACTGCAACGCCGCCGTCGCGCTCGTACTGAGCTGTCGCTTGAACAAGCTGCATGCGGTGCCTAATCCCGTGTCCGCGGCGGCGGTGACGCGAGGCGTCGAGCTGTCCCCGCCAGCGGACGCCATGGAGGAGGGGGAGCGGATCAACGCGTTCTGGAGCGTGTTCGTCCTCGACAAGAGCTGGGCAGCCACCGTAGGCTCGCCATCGCATTTTAATGGGTCCCATGATGCACAGGTAGACACTCCGTGGCCGCATGATATAAAGGAATATGAACATGTATGATTTTGCCATCTTACTCGGTTGCAAGAACCGTTCTGACGGTGTCGATCACAGGGTGGTGTACCTCATGGCGTCCAAGGCTCGCGCACGGCGGAGGTGTTCTTGGCGGACATTGTTTTAGACGGTGGAGGGGTATCTTCGCTCGCTCGGCTCGCCAAAGCCGCCGCGCTCTTCGAGAGGACCACACGTCTCGCTTCGCAATGGACTCCGAGTAAGCGTCCTCCTTGATCTGCTGCATTCGCCGCTGCTGACATCAGGTAGCGATGGTTTACGTAGAGCGGTTCATCGCTGACTCCCTCGTCCTAGACAGCGTGATAGACCAGTTCATCGCCTCGCTCCCGCCGATAGGAACACCGCCCACCCAGGAAGACGCCCGCAAGCTCCTGCTGACGCACACGTTCGCACTGACCGCGACGATCCAGGTGCACGGCACGCTCAAGCAAGCAGAGGGCGGCACGGCACAGGGCAAGGACGTCGTTGCCGCTCATGCGGCCGTCGCCGCACTCGACAGCATCGACCTTGCGCAACTCGCGTTTGCGGACCCCATACTTGCTGTGCGTCCTCCCTTTCCTTTCCCCTCACCTCCCCTGTCATCTGAAGATATGGACACGCGCTGATGTCAAGCAGATCCTGTGGACCTCGGTGTGCCGCGTGCTGATAGGTGAGATTGCCTGCGTACGTGTGGTCTGGACGTCTGCCCTACTGCGCGGCGGGGACACAACGGCAGCATCAGGAACAGCAGAAACAGCCGCCACGCTCGGTGCGGAGCACGATGGCCACCTCGCTGGGCTGCAGAAAATCCTCGAAGCGATGTCCGCGCTGGCGCACGCGGTGCCGCTGATGGGTGAGTCGTGTATTGCGCGCTCGTGGCTTGGTAGTGGCTGATGGAGTGTGCAGCGGTGCAAGCTGCGAAGATCCAGCAGGAGCTCGAGGGTGTTCCTCGGTGAACGCGTGGAGCGGGATATGCCATGTGAGGTTCGTCCTGCCATGCACGCGTATGGGATAGCTGTAAAACGTAACACATTGGTTCGTGTCCGTAGGGTTTTGCGCATGGTGTGCGTCTTTATGGAATCGGTCATCCTTTCAATGGTTTTGTGGTTTGTTTCCCTCACCGGCACGTCCGCTCCTTTGTGATATCCTTCAGTAGGTCTGCTGAGAAGAGCCCTACTCCGCTTTTATTTCCTTTCTGGAACGAGCCTCTTACATCCTAGAGTTGATGTTCATTTTTGAGGTAGAATAAAGAACAAGGCTGCCTTTTAATTCAATTCATGACTCCTTCACGGCTCCCCTGCATCCTTATGCTGTTTCAGTCCTTCCGTGCCAGACAATGCTGCATACTACACTGTTTCTGCTCATTTACGAACTCGCTGCACGTCATAGGACTCGACATCTTACCAAGAAACGTCTCTATACCGAAGCAGACCGTCTTGCTTGCCGTTTAAATATTTGCAGTGTCAATGGCCCGCACAGCTACCACGTCAACGTGTTGTAGCGTGAATGCTACTGCCTACATGGTGATATACCATCTGGTGTGTGAATTGCATAGTTGTTTTTCCAAAAACGATAAGCGAGATGATTGATAATGTGATATTGGAGGTAAACATGTGGCTGCTCTCTGTGATGCGGCATGATCATTTCTTGACATGAAGACGAATTGGTATGCAAGGCAGCTGTTCGTGGAGAACGAAGACTCGCGATGTTTTCAGCACAAATACTAGAGCTTCAGTGCGTGAATGCTGAGCGCTGACTGTTCAACATCACAATAGCGACCACCATATTATTCATTAAAACTCCGGCTGACTTTTGGCCGATTGAGGCTCCTTTCTGAAGAGGCCTAAATTTTAGTGGTAATGGAAATTCCAAAAAGCGAGCGGACCCAAACCCGAGCTTCATAGCGGCACTAAAGGGACGGGAACTTGAAGACTGGTCACAACGGCAGCCGCGGCAATTGACTACAAGGACTGCTCGACGTAGTGTAGCGTTCGCCAGTATCCGGAACGACGAGCGAGCGGATGATGGTGTGGGGCAAGGAGAGCTCGGGCTTATATGCCGAGCTCCCTAATTAGGATTACTTTATATATAAGTACATATTTGAAATATTACGTAATGTGGCGCCAGCCACAACGACTTCACTGGGTGCTTTCGGATTGCTCCCTCCGGGCATTCCCAACACGTAGAAACAAGAGAACATTGGTAGAATATATGGAGAATAAATTACTAGACGACTAGTATTAGCACGATAACAAGAGCTGTGTCCGTTGAGTCAGGGGAAGCCTGCGGTCCTGCTTGTCGCGGGGAGCGGACGCGGTCACATGAGTGAGTAACAGGGCGCGCCAGCCGAAAACGGAGCCCGTGCAGGCAGTGGCGGCCGGCGGGACGAGTTACACCTTGAATCATCAGTCAATTAATCAAGAGTCGCGGCACGACAGACATCTGATGTATGGCCAATTTAAGGCATTCATCGCGACTACTCCATCGCAGGCTATAGCGCATGTGTCGAGATTCCGTGCAAAATTGCTGGCCAAGGCCTGACAAAGTGGATGTCGCTGTTGCAGGAAAATCATGGGATCTATCGCCATAAAAAGGGAATCAGTGAGTTTTCATCAGAGATTGAAGGGGTTCGCGCGTGAACACGATCCATGATGCGCGTAAGAAATCGTTCAATACATGTTTCTCTGCATAGCAAAATCGCTGCGTGGCTTGTTGAACGCAATATAAGTGCCACCCAGCTCTGTTGTTCGGCCGGTATTCAATCGGCATAATAATCTCACCTATCATGTTCCCATATCGCGATTGAAGACGAATACTGGCGCATACAATCAGTCCATTAAATCGAGCTCAGAGATCACGCGTTATACTGTCCTTCATCATGCTGAGCAGACACTTCGTTGCGTAACGCTCTATCCCCGGTCCTCGATGGCCGGACCGGCCAACGAGGTCGGGGCGCTCCCCTTCGGCGCAGAGGTTTTTTATTTCCCGTCACTCTGATTACACGTAGCTTTAATGAATTAGTCACAAGCGCATATGTATAGTCATCCACGAAAGGGGGGAGGGTCCTCATGCAGACACTACGCAATACAGGGTATCCATCAATCGTCCGCAAAGCCTGAGAACTGAAGCAGGATCGTCACATACAAGCTACCCCTCATGGGCGCATATGAAGGTCATGATAGTGATACGCCTTCGACCCATAATACATCACATGCTGCACAGGGAGCAGCACCGGCCGCCGATACATTGTCAATTCCTCCGGCGGGTCATACCCCATCGGCTCGACCGTCAGGATCTCCTGGCCGCCCACATACGGCAGCGCCGCATCGAAAATCGTACGCGCCTTCTTCCACGTCTCGACCGCCTTTGAAAAGTCGCACTCCGCCCGCTGCACGACGAGCCGTTCCCCCTCCAGCTCGTTCCTCATGCGCTGATGCTCTCGGTACATTTCCTCCACACTCAGGATGGATGTAACTCCGCCACTGCTTCCGGCCCCGCCAGACGAAGATGAACAACAGTATTCAGACGCCTTTGGGGATGTGGAGCTGCCCACGCCCACGCCCACGCCCTGTGATCCGGATCCTGACCCAGATTGCGGCGTCGCCATCGCGTCCCGCCACTCGGGGCGCTTCCGCTCGCTCCTAACGCGATGCTGTTCGACATCGCTCCGTATCCACGCGTCGAGCGTTCGAAGACGCAGGAGCTTCGTCCACTCGTTCGAGCGCACCTCAATGCGCACGGCCGCAAGCCCCGCGAACGGTGCGAGACGCCCAAGCAGTTCATTCGTCTCGTGCAATCGGATACGCGCGATGCGAACGAGGCTGTCGTCCAACCCCGTGTACTGACTGTCGAGCGAGAAGCGGAAGCTGAGCCGCGTAATATGTGGCGATGTGATCCGCTGCAAAAGCATGGGCATTGATGGTGATCCGTACACGGAGGCGTAGAAGGTGACGAAGTCGAATGCAAGCGAGTGTATGGATTTAAGATAGGAGAGCAAAGGATCATCTGTGTGGCGTGTCAATGACGACTCAGGATGAATGCTAATATTACGTACCCTTCAGCAGATAATGTGGAGACTCGTAAGGAAAGACAATAGTAAGATCTTTCACCGTCGATCCTAGCACTTTGAGTGCTTCTTTGGGTGCTTTGATTTGCCATCGTTCGACAGAATATGCCAGAGTCCGAATGCGGATCTTACCCGCAGGTTGGTATAGAAGCCAATTCAGAATAAACTCTTGAGACGTGCCGGAACGGATTTCAAGAGTATGCAAAGGGGGACGTGGACCAAGAATGGACGGATGTCCCACCTTCTGCGTGAACGACAACTCCCTCACGACTAAATGGCCGAGACATGGGAAGTGCTTGAAATGCTTGGTGAACTCCTTTGGAGACTGGAACTCAGTACGGTGCAGAACAAGGCATGTGGCAGAAGGGAAGAGGACGTCCTCGCATGCTGCCCAATGGATATTCTGGATATTGTTGATATGCACCGTTTCAACGACCGACGCTTTGAGCTTTGCAAGCACGGCAGGTACATTAGCGTCGACCCACGACTGGTCGCGGTCGTCCGAGTCGCGGTGACTGCGGTCGTAGACGTGCACTTCGCGGACGTGGCGCACAAGAAAGGAGTTGCGGTAGATGTCGGTGGCGTGCTCGCACGCGGCGAGAGAGCCGAGCTTGAGCACGCGATGGAGGTGCATCTGGCAGCGCGGGAGGAGCTGGCTGCTAGCGAGCGCGCACGCACGCAGCGTCGGCTTGTCATCGCATGCCATATCGATGATGAGGTCGAGAAGCTCCTGCGGGAAGGCGGGTCCGGAGGGCGAGGGGAGTGGCATATCTGTATCGTCCTGATATTCGGCGGACAATTCTGTGACGAGACTAAGTTCTTCCTTGCTCTGGCTCATAGGTGATAGATGGTGTGGCTCGTGTGTACGGTATACCGCTGAGGATGCTTTCTGTGTTCACAGAGGTGAGTGTGGATGAAAGGATGCAACTCACTAATGAGCAGTAATATATCATATATATACACAGCGGGCCAGAGAATGCAACACAGCAGCTGCGCAGAGTTGCTGTTGCGTTCGGGTCCGGAATCCTAGGACAGACCACAGAAGTGGAAAGTCAGTGGCATGAGCGAGAACAGCAATCCGCGAATGCCACCACGGTCACACACCCTGCCTAAAGCGGTGTGTACCACGTGCAGCACGACCACCGACCCTGACCTTCAGGGTCGATGGCGGGAGAAGTTCTCCTGCCATCTCAGATTGCGAACATCGCAATCTCGCTTGCAGGCGATGTCGACCTTCGTCCTGAATATTATCTTACTATCTGGATATCTTGGTCGGCGTCTTTCGACTGAATTGACATACGATTAGTATCGCAGAAGTGACAGCCTCAGATCTCGCGTGCGATCGGGACGCGCATCTGACACAATACAGGCTGCAGTGCCCTGTCGAATGCCACAGAATATAGTATAGTGTGATCCATTAACATTCTTATTGTAATCACTGCGTCTCATCGGTGATCGCCTGCACCGGTTTATCTCAGCGCTCCAAGTGCGCCAGCCTGAGGTCAAATGCTGTGATACTATGGTGGGGGACGCCACTTCATGACATGCCGCAATTTTACTCCTAGCGCCTCGAGATTGAAATTCTATATACAAAGTACCCCATAGATAGGCCCAAATCTCAACTTAAGCACAAGTTTTTCTGTGAAACTAACCCTAACCCTAACAAAACCGCCAAATTGGCCCAAGGTCAACGCATGTCAACTTGTCAAGGGTATGCTGCTACTGAACACACTTACATTTCAAGCAGAGTGAGCTCCATCTTTAACTTCCATTCTACTTTTTCAACTCCAGGTCCTCCACTGCAATGCATGGTGAGACTTATACTTGCAAACCTTTTATGTCACTAAATCTGACCGGTGCTTACTACAGCTACATTTGGCAATACCAGCGCTTATAAAGCTTGAATATCCATATATGGTAGTGTATTAGTAAGCAAAACCGCCAAATTGAGGCCCGAAAACTCAAAACTTGGATTTTGAGAAATCTGCTCCTGCCATGTCACAGCAAAGAAATGACCCTTTCCCGACACAAGAAAGGCATTAGATCTGAATGGATAATTCAAGCCTTTCTCATCAAGTAGTTGGATTTGTAAGAAAGCTTTGTAAAAGGCATATTTCATGCCTTCTCCTACTGTTGATGGGCTCTACAGTGCCTTTACGTACTCAGGAAATGTCAAACTGTACACAGCACTAAGCACTTAAATAAAGGTGTGAGAAATATCTCACTTTCTCTCACCTTTCTCATGTAGAGAAAGGGTGCTTTCTTTGTAGTGTGTTGTAGAGCATCTCCTTAGCTGTGATTCTATATATGTTTCATGAATTTTAATGCAAATTTCAAGAAGCCTTAGCAAATCCGCGAGATGGCTCAAACACTTGTCATGAAGTGGCGTCCCCCACCATACTACTAGGTCTTACTATATGATATATGGGCGTCATGAACTCTATCCAAGTATTGGCACAGCCTAATGTGCGCGGCACCACGCTGAACCTGCTTACAGAGCCAGCATAGGTGTGGAAGTTATCATCAACGAGTTATGCAGGAGAAACGTTGCACACTGGATTGCGCTACATCCTTTTCTACTGATTGAAAAACTCGATTACATCCTACTTGTCCCTTCATGTAATATCTACAGGGCTGGAAGGAACGTAGATCATCCGCTAGTTGCGCATATTCACGTCGGCAGTAAGGTCGAAGATGGGCACGGCTCATTTCAGGCAGCTTTTTTTTCGTGCACCACCTCAGCGTCTACGGCACTCCACTTAGACAGTAAGATGCCCCTTCAACTCTTCACGAACATCCGACGACGTTCGAGGACAGTTCTGAATACCTACTATCACACGGAGGTGCATATTCTCTACTGACTGTACATAATTGGTTTCTTCTAAAACACTTCTGCACCTCCGGCGCCACCTTCGCACGCCGCATCTCGAAGCCACCGCACAAGCTTAGACGACACCGCTGTTAGCAATGACGATCTTCGCCTTGGGTGTACCAGAAGCGGAGCCAAGGGCCTCGACCTTCTTTACAACGGTGTCGTAGCCCTCAATGACCTCGCCTAGAAAGGAAGATCAGATAAACGCCGGAGCGCGAATCAAATGAGGACACACCGAAAACGACGTGGGCATTGTCGAGCCAGGAGGTGACGACCGTGGTGATGAAGAACTGCGAGCCGTTGGTGTTCTTTCCGGCGTTCGCCATCGAAAGGATACCAGGCTTGGTGTGCTTGAGCGTGAAGTTCTCATCTAGGAGCCGCGCCCTGTATAAGCGGCATTGGCCGATCGGCATCTCAAGTACGACTTACCCTCGAACTTTTCTCCATAGATGGACTTTCCGCCCGTGCCGTTGCCCTGCAACACGATGACAATTAACGCCAGCGAACCATGCGCAATCTCGATCTCGTACGTACGCGGGTGAAGTCACCGCCCTGGAGCATGAAGTTGGGGATGATGCGGTGGAAGGCAGAGCCCTTGAAGCCGAATCCGTGCTCGCCAGTGGCGAGCTCGCGGAAGTTCCTGGCCGTCTTCGGGACGACGTCGTCGTACAGCTTGAAGACGACGCGCCCGAGGGGCTTGCCGTCAACGGTGATATCGAACTGCCAACAAGGACGACAGTGAGCACGTCGCTCGGAGTGGTGCGCCCCGGCGGCCTGATACTTACGAAGACGTTCGAGTTGGACATGGTGACCAGGATGAGAGGAGTGGTGGTGGATACGGAGAAGGGGACCGACCCTCTTATGAGGGAACGACGGCAATTACCGATCTAGTTCATCAGTTACAAATTTGTGTGCTGATGATTGTCTAAGCTGTGACAATCGGTCACAATCGGTCACTTCACTGCCTCTCACCGCCACCGTTCAGCCACACTCGCGACCACGCAGGCTGGACCGCTGTCTGGAATGGCGTGCGCTGACGAGAATTCCGTGGTTTCAGCACAGGAAAATTAGTCAATTCTGCGTTCATTATGCTATTGGCACGATACGGACCTATCTCTCACCACTTGGGGTCGATATCGAGTCGTGTGCTTTGAACCATAGCGCGTAGAGACGGGACTTGCACGCTCTTCCAGGTGGAGCACGACATTACACGCAGCGCTCGCGAAATATCGTGTGTGGATACGTACACAATGCGACCGTGATGGCTCCCGTAGCCTGGGACGAGGAACTTGCGAATCGTTACGGCCTGCTGTAAAATGCTTACGCTTACGGTGACCGGTCTACTAGTGGTAATTCAAGTGGATAAGGGCATCCACCGTCAGTCGCCTGACGTAGTCAAGTGCACGTTGCCTCACCTCTGCTACATCAAATAGTGGAAAGGTGCATTGATAGGTGACACACTGTCTTTTGCCCATCAACGTTCCGTGGTGGCGCAATATGCGAAGGCCCGATCAACTCCGAGTCTCTGTGGTAACACTTCCCCACGCTCTTCCCTCCATAATCTCTGTTTTCTTGACAGCTCCGCAATTCGTTTCAGCGCTACTTGCAAGACAGACGAGCCACCGATTACACGCCGTCAGCATCTGCAAGCTCATACCGCTGGTCTTATATCCCTTCTTTGGCTTTAATGTGCTCCAACCTCTCTGTTCTTGGGACGTTGCTGCCGTTTGAGTGGCATGGGTTAGCAATATGGCAAGTCCTCTTTGCAACGTGCCAGTCAATATTGACTGACTGTCGGTGCAGGTGGAGTACCCATGCAGCATGCACGCATTCTAGGCAGTCTTCTGAGTACAGCGGGAAATCCTCTGCCAGTATGCGTAGGACGAGCAAGTCGACAAACGTCCGCAGAAAGTCGGGTCCGTTTGTTCTCATCAACCCTGCCTCAGGAGCTTGTCCCCTGTCGGTCTACTTTTGACGCCATACTTGAAAGGTTGCCCTGGAATGCTTGATATCCTGCAAAATGCATTGACAGTCAACCCACGAGCGATTAACTGTCGTGGCTCTGCTGAGGCATCTAAATCGCCATGCCCGACCGCTTGGCATCTTAGATCTTGTGGGCGTAGCGCGAAGCTCCCTGGCGTGGCCTTCTTCGGAGCGATGGATTCAACCAAGTGCTGGACGATCGATGACGTTGTCAACAACGCTTTGGAGACCCTCTGTTGCTACTGTTTCCTGCCTTCCATCGTCCCAACGTCCTCCTCACCCACGAGCTGTGGCGGTCCGCTGAGCTTCACTAGCTTTCTCCGACGTGGCGCAAGTCTTCGATCGTGACACGGGCAAAACGTTGACTTGCGGCTGCAGGAAAGCCAAAACCGCATAGCGAGTACGCGTGGAGAGGGAGTAGGCGATATCATCGAAGCTTGGGTGCTGCCTCCTTATCATGAGTCTGTGCGGTGGCTGTGATGATCGGTAGCCAAGCTTTGTCGAACGCTCCCAGGCACACAACCACCTAGTCTCAACATTGGCCGATACATCGTGCCACCCGTATTGCTAGCAGAGGACTCACCAATCGGTCGCCAAAGTGGTATCCCAAGTGACAAGATCATAACACATGTTTTCCTTTTCTCTCAGTATCCATGGCTATTATTTGCTCCTGAGAGTCCTGCCTCCAGCAAACGCTGTGCGAAGTACTTCTTCCCTCCCAACGCGATTGACGCTGGTTGGTCCGAGCTAGTCTGGCCACGTCTTGCATCCCAATCCTCATTCTGCCGTTCAGCTTGGTTATCTGGACTGCTTCAACGGGATCGACGGTGCATGGGCAGAGACGGAGACATATGGGAAGCTCGCGTGAGGGGAAACCGGGTTACTGGTTGAAACGGCAGGGCGATATCCTTATCACGACTCTTCCGAAGTGACTCTGAGGAAGAAGCCTCCACTGTCTGGTCCCAGCTCCTGGTCTAGCCCGCAACTGTTCAGCCTTATTAACCGTCAGCGCACCACGCGGCATGCCTTGCCATCGGACAACTCATCTGCTATGCATGAAGAGCTATGAAGAGACGCGAGAGACGAGAATTCACTGTCTAGAGGCTCCGAGAAGCCGCGCACACGTGTCCTCTTCTTTTTTCGCCGCTTCCGTGAAACGACGCCCTGTCGGGACCTACGCTCACTTTGCCTTCAACAAACATAGTAATGTCGTTTCACCTGCGTGTTGAGTGGTGTTTCGCACCTGGTGACCCTGTTTCACGTCCGGTATCTCCTACCGTTTCGGCATAATTTCTACTCAAAGGATATTGTGTCAAGAGCTTTCCCGCAACCTACGTTCTGTTACGGGCCTCAATTTGCTATCGCCTTGTGCTGAAGAGGGAGATGGCACCTCTGACACCGCAAAATGAGGACCTCTGCAAGATTTGCGCTACCTTTTCTGCCGTCTTCTTACTCCTGCTGGGCTGGAGCTGACCCGAGTTCACATGGCCGCGGAACGATATTTCCCCGGAATTCGTAATCCAGGTGGGCGTAATGATATCGTGCTGGGCACGTTGCGTTCCTCGACCCTCAAACCGCGCCTATCGTGCCACTTGCGCTTGTCCTTGTTCCCAGAGAGGAGTTAGGTTCACACCGAGTTGCTCACCTGCCTCGCTCGCATTCGGCGCCAATTAGCCACAGTTCGGCACTTAACTCATCGGCGGTCTACTTCCGTACGTGTGATGTACGGTTCCCGGCTCTTAGGGTTGCTACAGTCCTTGGAACGTGCTTCTACGTAACCAATACGGAGTTTGCTAGCGCTATGCACCTCTTTGTGGGCCATCTGCTAGTTGTTTGTCGATGAACCGCACTTAGCTTTCAGGACCCAGGTCGATGGGCGACATCTTATTACCACAGTCGTGCCGGCGATTGAGTTCGACAGACTTCTCGCATCCTTGGCTTGGCCAGCGCCCGGCGCCTTCATCGCCGATAAAGTTCTTCGGGTTCACTGCGCCGGTGCCACGACGCTCACAGTTGATCTATGAACGTTGCCGTCGGTTGGTACTGTAACGATTCTGCATATGTCATGATTTTAGTCGATGTTCACACCAAAGGGGCTGAGGAACAGTGACCGTTGAGTCTCCCAACGCTGCTCCAACCTTGATGCGACGCTGACACTCCATCTGCCTGCGGACTTGACGGATGATGATTGAAATACTGCCTCGGCAACAGTTCTATCACTTTGCCAATTCCAGCCTCGCGGATCGCGCGCTGATGTTATCATCCGTTCGTGCCATTCCATGGGAGTCTCACGACGGGTGTATCGCTGAGCGTCGGATCTGGACTATCATGTTCTGTGGCTCTTCGTCTCCTGGCGAAGATGAGGGCACCCGCGAGCGATGTTGCACATGCAAAACAATCCCTTACAGTAGATGCCGAGTAAGCTATACACTCTTTTGACACGAAGGGCATCCATTGGAACCTCTTCATGAAATAGGAACGACTACTCCATCGTTTGCTATAGCGGATCTTCGATATTGATCTTCCACCAAGTGATCTTCATCCCGTCTGACAGCTCGGTAACACCTCGGCTGTATAACTGCTCTCAGTCGGAGCCTGAGCGGTTTTCGCGTGCAATAATGCTGCGCTGCACAAGGTGTACTCCTTCCCGATAAATTACGACTAGGCAACACGCAGTCCGTGCAATGTAAGGAAGGACGGAAACAAATTCCATGAGAAAACGCCCCATCCCTACTTCTACTAGTGGACCTGCCGTGACAAACTCATCACTAGCCAACGTTGGACAGAGAAGAGGCTATGTGCCATCACGCGCGGGTTCCGGGCGATCTACACATGGCATCGTCGCGAGGTTCTCAGATATGTCGAATCAACATTGAATGAAGAGCGTGTCATTGGGCCGTTCTGCCGCTGATATGGAGAGTGTTTCAGGTGCACTCGGATGGCGAGAAGAGCCCCAAATTATCGGTCTGTGAACGCCATTAGCGGGCCCGTCCCACGATCTCAGGCGTGTGGGAAGATGAGACAACCGTGGCGCTTTGAGAACGGCGTTCTGGCCGAGTCCCCAAAAGCAGGAATTGGTCCCATGAAACTGATCCGAGTCGGCTCAATTGCGCTGCGCATCCCGGCATCGCCAGCTGCCACGGAGCTGTCTCAGTCGTCAAGCGACTTAGCAAATCGTGCCTTTGTCAGCGCTGATGCAACGAAGCGGGCATGAGGAGAAGAGAGCCAATCGCTAGAATGAGCGCTTGCCGTCCGAAAGACACATGTGGCAGTGATTAACAACCTTGTATTCTTTCGAAGTCGAGCTTAGAGAGTTCTCGAGGTCTTGCAATGCGATAGGAAGTTCGGGCTCCACGCGGCCTAGATGACTTTACGGCATTTGGTATCTATAAATGAATCTGTTGCTCGCCGGTAACCCACTGATATAAGACGTCTTCGCCGCATTCGTGTCTACTCCCTCCTTCCTTGATGTCCATGTCCCGCCCTCACGACAAATATACTCGTTAAGCCTCCCGGCTTATAGCATGAGCGACAGCAACACTTACCCCATAAATCAAGTGTGGGGCTTTCCTCGCAAATCGGAGACAATGAGCCGTGTTGATGGTTCATTTTGAACAGGCGGATCCACGACTATCTTCATCTTCTAGGAATCAGTACGTAGGGTTCGTGAATCAATCAGAATCATCAAGTTTACCACAATCAGCCATCTTCTATTACGACTACTTCCTCACCTTCGGATCCGAATACGCCCGCATATGGAAGCAGCCGAAGACGAGGGGAACTTTGCTGTTTTTCTTGAATCGATATCTCACTTTTTTCGGCGTAAGTTCGTTCTTTTCAAATTGAGATAAGTATGCATGTTCACGAAGAGAAATCGTAGGATGTTGCGGTCAATGTCGGCAATTTCTACACGTTCCATTCAGCAAAAGTAAACCGTCTTCCTGTTCTCTGATGCATGGACACTGATCATATCGGATCTCATTCAGAGGTGAAACCTTTCGCTGGGCGCCCGATAATTACGGACTGAAACATCAGTTCATCAGTTGCAGAGACTACGCGCTTTACCGTCAGGTGCTGCTCATCGGCGCTCAAGTAGTTGTTTGCAGTAAGTCGCCTTCATACATAGTCGGTTGAATGCCGCTGCTACAACCCTGCCTCTTATTCCTTTAGTAATCTTGTGTCTCCGTACACACGCCTTGTATCACCGTAACAAGCGAGTATTGGCCTTGATGCTGTTTACGGGTTTCAGTCTGGCAGGCGTTTCTATTGTGAATATCCATATCTCATCACCGCAGCTCCCGTTTGCTTACGTGTTTATGTGATAAGTATGCTGTAACCGATCAGAAACAAGGCGAAACGCTCGACGGAGGCTGCCATATTGGATCTACCCGTATCACGTACGACTCCGTATTCTCTTGAGCAATTCATGAAACTGACCTACCGCTTGCCTACTTTAGAGCCATCCGTGAGGAATCATATACAATCTTGTTTGAGCAGTTCTGAGCTCAGTGCACCACAGGCATAGCGGTTGCTTGGGAGTCCCTTTTTGTGTACGACGTGATAATTTTCTCTCTCACCTTATGCAAGACATGGAAGGAGCGATTTCTTCACCCGATCTTGATAGAGCGGATAGACATTCTCGCTCTCATGCTCCGCGATGGTAAGCTGTCATCATTGCGGGTCGAGTGACAGCAGCTGATAGCGAAATAGGCGCAATGTATTTTGCGTGAGTCCATTTGCATGATGCACATCGGTGCCATGAGTCATGACTGATTGCTGACCCGCTGTATAGAGTGATGGCATCCGTCAACCTGGCCAACACCTTGACCTTCTATGTGAGTGGTTGTTTGCTGCGATGTAACATGTTACCGATCAGTTATCAGTTCCTTCCGGTGAGAGATGACTCCGCCTTGAGCGTTAAAGTTCATGTTAATCACCCCCACATCAAGCCTTTGCTTGTAGGGGCTCTCTCTACCTTCGCTAGCAGGTAAGTACACAATGAAAGAGATGGTGAAAACACGGCTGACATTGATTATAGCGTCTCCGTGACCATGATGTCACGTTTGATGTTGAATCTCCATGAGAGCGCCAGCGCGCACCCGTCGTTCGCCACGAATCCATCTGGCACCGAAAATTCAACAACCCTGTTGTTCACCTCCGAGATCTTAATGGATCGCCAGGCTGCCGTAGCGGCTACCAATGAGCAAGATGTCACCAGCGATCCTGACCGCCTCATGGATGAAGAACAACTGCCAGCAGGGGAAGAATACGAGCTGCAGGAAATCAGTTACATACCAAGACATCCTGAGACTGCGGCTGGACCATCTCGAGGGGGATCGGCAAGTCGAGCCATCTGAAGGTATTGAACGGACGTGACTTTCATTCATCATGGGCTTCTGGCTGGCCGAACAACGTGATGATAGAGTGTAGAACAATCTCGGCTTCCATGCAGTGTATTTTTTAGACAAATGCTTTCGAGGTCTTTAGCAATGTATCAACGCCATAACGTCACCGTGGGCTCTGAGAGCGAGTAGGAAACCCAGTGGGGGCACTGCGCTCGGCGTGGTCAAACACGACTTGAGATTGGCAATAATACTCGAATGCTGGCGTGGTTCGAAGAAATTGTCAGCACAGCTCGCAAGACACTCTGTTTCTCCAACTAAGCCTCATTGCAGTCTCTGGTCATCATTCATTGGGCCCTTCCTGAGCACTGAGCACTGAGTACTGACGTGGGTCGCCAGCGGTAAAGCGACTGGGGAAGAGGGCATGGCGTTAAGCTGAGGCGGAGGTCATGTTCAAGAATTCGAGCTTTCATGTTGATACTAACCATTATAGACAAGAACATTAACGTGAGCCGCGCGCGGTGGCCTAAACATTTTCCTTTTATAGTCAAAAGCAAGTTCAAGCCCCGCCAGATCCGACGAACTCTATTTCCTCCGCGCCACTTCCATCGCAGCGCACCGACGTTGACAACGTCGACATACACGGGTAGGAAACCTTTCAACGGTGAGTATCCGCATCCACCAATGTGTTACGATCATTGTGCAAGTTGTTGGGGAGATATCTCGAATGCGCGGGATGGATGCGAATGGTCGCGAACGGATGTCAACCGGAACGCCTGGCTCACGCCTCGTATCCTCAGATGCCTCTCCAAGAATACCAAGTCGTCGGGCGCCATCTGCCCACCGAGAACGATCCCAACCCGAAGATCTACCGTATGCGCATCTTTGCGCCCAACGAGGTCGTCGCGAAATCCCGCTTCTGGTACTTCCTGAGGTGCGTCTGTTAGGCTTCTGCTGCGCTAACGCTCGCATGCTCTTCTGGGTCAGTAACTGACGTGAGCGCAGGCAATTGAAGAAGGTCAAGAAAGCAAGCGGCGAGATTATTGGCGTCAACGTAGTGTGTATCATCATCCCTTGCAGCCATTCAAGTGGCAGGCGGAGTAGGGACTAACCGGCGTTGCCCACGACGTTAGATTCATGAAAAGAAGCCTCTGAAGGTCAAGAACTTCGGTATCTGGCTGCGCTATGACTCTCGCTCTGGAACCCACAACATGTACAAGGAGTTCCGTGAGCTTAGCCGTGCGGATGCGGTCAAGTCGCTTTACCAGGACATGGCTGCCAGGCATCGTGCCCGTTTCCGGTCTATCCATGTAAGTGCTTGCAGATCAAGCATCATGTCATAACCGGTTAGCCGAATGGCATCGGTAACTAATTTTTCATACCAGATCCTCCGCGTGGTGGAAATAGAGAAGAATGAGGACGTTCGCCGTCCTTACATCAAGCAATTCCTCACGCCGGGACTCAAGTTCCCTCTTCCTCACCGTGTGTCGAAGGTTCGCTCGACATTTGTCGCCCACAGACCCTCGACTTTCTAAGTGGTACCCTGGGAGTGTTCTGGGCGAGTTGCTGCTGGAGGTTGTGAAAAACTGCTGTCGGCATTACTCGCTGCTTGTTCAGCAGTTGTCACCTTTGTAATCCCGCGTTGGGACTACCTGTTTTATGATGACATCATTTGAGATGCGCATGCTGTCGCACCGTATACTGTGGCATTGAGAAGTGACAGAACGGTGATCGATTGATCGTTAGGTACACTGTATTTTCCCGGCATATCATTCTGGTACACATAATCATCATCGCACTCTTCATTGCCCCGTTCCTCACAGACGATTCCTTCGACAGCGATTGCAAGCAAGCATGGCACATCCGTTGCATTGCTAGTCACAGTAAGTCATAAGTCAGTGAATCGTGCAGGCAGTGGCCAATTTAACTCACGAAGAGATAGAACGGGAGATCGTGATGGCATGATTCACATCGCCCTCCTCCGCGACGGTATTTCCAGCCCTCATGATGACAATCGTGGTCGACGCGTAGGCGGTCCATCCACACTCTGACGAGGGTCTCCCTTCTTGTGGCATCGGTTTTCTTCATAGTGGACAACGTTGCTAATTGAGTAGGAGGCTGCTTACGTAGTTTGGTAGATTCACGGTCAGCAATACCGGAGGTCGGCCTGTTTGTTGCTTTGGCAGCGGTCGAGGAAGTCGACGCAATTGGCACGGTGCGTTCAACTTGAGGGCTCGGTATGGATTGTCTTCGAGTCAGTACAGATCGCGGCGTGAGTGCGCTGTACACGACAGCAGCTCTGCTTGCCGTGCTACTGGCAACGTTTGTAGTGAGGTGTGCTTCGGTAGAAACTGTGCTGCTTGTGCCGGATATCTGAGTTGCAGTCCGCCGGACGGGACGAGCTGTTCTCAGTGCACTGAGCCAATCTACGACAGCAAGGTTATGCTCTTGCACACGTTGCGCACGATGTCCTGTTTCCTCGACGATGGGGTTGGCGATGACGGCTGGCTGTGCGCGAGGGACCGCATGAGCTGTTGCTCGGACGTTTGTAGCGCGAGGTGTGGCAGTCACTGTATTCGCAAGAGGAACCGGAGCAGGACGAACAACGGGAACGGGCACAGGAGGTGCAGCAGGTGCATGGCCAGCCGGGACGAAGCGAGCAGCAAATGCACGGCGAGCTTGTTCGGGATCAGGGCGAGCGGGTCGGGCGGGTGGAGGGACTGGAGGGGGAGCAGCTGCGCGACGAGGTGGGACTGGAAGGGGAGCAGCTGCACGAGCGGCGTGCGGTCGCGGAGGGGCAGGACGAGGTGGGACTGCAGCAATGCCGAGTTCAGCGTCCGCGCGAGCTTCAGCTGCAGCCAACAGCCGTCGTTCATCCCACTGGGGGCATCCGCAGGTCTTCCACTTTGCTCTGCAGACGTAGCAGAACTCGGTCTTGCACCTGCATGTCATGTGGAAGCAGCCGTGGTTGAGCTCGATCAGCTGCTCGCAGCCTGGACAGCGTGCCCAGCCTTCCGTCCTTCCGAGATCCAGGACTTCGCGATCTTTCTCGTCGTTATTGCAGGAGTGCATCCGTGTGAACTTTGCCTTGCAGCGGGTGCAGGTCTGAGTGCCGCATCCGGACTCAGGACATTTGTACGTCGGCGTGAAGAAATACCAGAAGGAACTCTCGATCTGTTCTCCGAGGAAGCGGCTGCAGGAGGGGTTTGCACAATACACGCGCTTGAGGGTACTGAACTCCTTCATCTTCTCGTTGAACCGCCTCAGCAGGTCGGAAGTCATGTATGGCGACACGTCTGCAAGCATTATCTCCTGTCTGCAGCAGCGCGGCGGGAACAGGGACTCGTCTTTGGTCGCGGCTTCGAACAGCTCCAGCATACAGGCCTTGTCATAATAATCTCCACAATGGGCACGGATCTCTATGCCGTAGATCGGATCTGTGCATATCACACAGTTGTGGCCAGTAGGGCTATGTGGAGTCAGTTAGTTGATGATATCTGATCTCGAGATACGCTCACCGGGCGCGCGCTACAGGTGGCACGGATTCTCTCTGCGCTATACTAGATGAGTTTGGCGCGGTGGCATTTGGGGATCTACCATCAACCACGCAGCGAGTTACATTTCCGTAAACTGTTCGAACGCGGTATGGAATCGAACTCACCTTGGGGTACGAATGTAGTCAAGCGAATGGGCACCAGAGGCCCGAGTTCGGACGTTCGGCCTGTGCGCAGTCTGAGACGGTTATTTGTACCATAGAATCTGCTCTCACCCAGCTCGATTTTGATCAACTGCTACGTCTTGGGTTGCGAGCAGTGCAGCGACATCGAAATCATCATCCTCGACATCGTCATCCTCGATATCGATAGTACTTAGCCTGACGGCTAGAGCACGATCCTTCTGAGTCGTTGCGAAACTCAACGCTTCCTCTGCAGCGAGCTTGAATGCCAACTCTCGGTCTGATAGAGGCCTGTCGTCGTCCGGGTCTCCCCACCATCTACCGCGCAGTGCATTGATCTCATCGATGTTGGCTCGTGCAATAGTATTGTCGTATTCGGCACTGCGCCTGAACTCCTGACCTCGTACGACAGCCTCGAATGGATTCGGAGCGGTCGGACGAGATGGGCCTGTGACAGAGGACATGGCAGGCAGGACTGGCCATATCACCGACGCAAAGCATGGTATATATGTACGGTGCTACATCGATAAGGTGAGAATATTCAGAGATATCAGGAGAGAAGTCTGATTGAGTTTGAACGTTGCTCGAGACACTTGAAAGTCTGGAACCCAAGGATGGCCTGGATCGTTGTTTGGACAGCGCACTGCAGGAAACAGCGTGCTGAACACTGTGCGCTTCATCCTAAATAATCATGTGCATGCTGTATGGTTGGTCAATCATACACGATCGCAGATATCATGCGGTCAAGCGGCATAGTACCAGAGACGACAAGCCTGCAGCATGCGTATTGAAAGACTTCGGAATTATTAGAACGGACGGCTTCTCCCCAGCATCTTTGAGTCGCTCTTTGAGCGATCAAAGTCGGTTGACATACGGAGGCATCATCAGACAGCTAGCAATTACATAGCGGAGCAATGAGTTATTGTGTTGAGAGCTGCAGGTCAGACCGAACGCGCTGCGCATCATCCCAATTCAATGAGGAATAAAAACGGACACAGCCCGCTGATTGACGAATCACGAGTGCTGGCTGACCATCGTACCTTTCTAATTCTCCTGAATAGACAATTGGTGTGCTTATGAGACCATACAAACGCTTATACACGCTGAGCTGATCTTGTCAGGAGCTCAGCAAAACCCCTCTGCTATGTTGACGGCCACTGAGAAAATTGGAAGGCCAATTTCTAGAATACAGTAGGATGCTTCCATTTCCACTCGCAATCGTACATGTCGGTCAATCCTACTCCCCCTAGAGCTCCATGAGGCAACACTCGTGCATACATCAGGCTTCTGACGAAAGGACCCATCCTGAGGGAATGATATGGGTTGAGAAAGGAGAAGTGCAGGATCCTTATCAGACATGCTTGCTCACATGCATCCACACAGATGTAGATGGCGTTTACGTCCTCCCTCGCAGACCAGCAGATAGACTTAGAACAAGGCGCCTGGTTTACAATGTTTCGATATTGTTTACATTGATCGGGTCTTTCGGTGGCCTTGTGCGACGAGACCACGAAGTAAGAGGGAATGCAGATCCTTGCTCCGCGGTAACATATCATGCCACTGGTCCAAAAGCAACAGCGTCTCCGGTGGACAGATGCCTGAAACGTCTGTCTCATCTACATCAGCAAGAGCTTCTGGAGACCAATGACCATACTCACCAATCACATCCACTCGTGATGATCGCTCGGATGGCGATGGCGACAAGGGAGATGATGCCCGCAGGCTCGGACGTGGAGACCCTACCTGCCGACGAAGACTGGACTGTGAGCGCCGTAGGACCAACGGCGACAGCGGGCGGATCTGCGGGATGTCGAGCGCACCGACTTGTCTGAGCTGCACCTGCTCCCAGCGTGGACACGCGCACGTCTTCCACGGCGCCTTGCACGCATAGCAGAACCTCGTGCCGCACACGCACTTCATCTCATAGCACCCGCTGTGCAGCTCGATCATGTGGTCACACGCCGGGCAGCGCGCCCAGCCCTTCTGACTTGCGAGCGCGAACACCTGCCGCTGGCCCGAGTCCTGCCGGCAGATGTGCAGCTTGCGCGGGGCGACGCGCGCGCGGCAGCCGTTGCAGGTCAAGGTGGCGCACGTGGAACAGGCGTACGTCCGTGCGCCGAGCTCGGGCATGCAGGGCCCGAGGAACCGGCTGCAGGATGGGTTCGCGCAATATACCCGCCGCACCGTCTCGAACTCGATGGCGCGCTCTTCGAATGCGTGCGCGAGCTCCGCGGACATGTAGCGCGCGAAGGACTGCTCGCGGATGCGCTGCTGGCAGCAACGCGGAGGGAAGAGCGACTCGTCGCGGATCGATGCTTCGATAAGGTCCAACAGACACGCGACGTCATAGTAGTGCCCGCAGGCCACGCGCACATGCGGACCGTGGGTCGCCGACTGGCAGACCACGCAATCGTGCTGCTTCTTCTTCCTGCTATCGGCATGGCGTCAGTTGTCCCGATCAATATTGCGAGAGAATCTGCACGCACAACGTCCGGAGGGTTGGAGTATGATGCGAGAGCTTGCGGAGGGCCCGACGAGGGCGGACTCGGGATACTGTTCTGCGCAGCACAGCAAAACCCTTGCATATTGGTCTCCTGGAAGCAGTTGCCAATCTGCGTGGGTGCTTCAACACAAGATAGGAGAGATGTCATGAGCGCGTGCGCTCACCCCCTTGGCAACAGACGTCGCTTGAAATCGCGAACTCTGCTGTGCAGTGACATCCGCGCTGCGTTCATGATGACTGAACTCGGAGTAGACGAACGCTGCGTCTTGACCCTCGGCACACGCATGCAGGACAGCGCCGTCCCGTGATCGTGACTGGCCTCGGTATGCTTAAGTGTTTGATTCTTGGTCCGCGAGTCAGGGCGTTCATGAACCTTTGTATGGGATTTTCTCGACGATTCCTTGTGATTAGCACGCGCGTGCTCATCAGGAGCACGGCCATCCTCGCCAGAGTCGGTTGGAGTCGGCGGGAGGTCGCGGAAGAGGTAGTGCCGGGGATAGGTCGTCGCTGTCATGAAGGTTCGTATAATGAGTGCGCAGCGACGGATCGCGTCTTATCAAGGGTTCGGACACGTGTGCGGCTGAAGACCCGCTCCGAGAAATGCTTTGATCTCAGCGGAGAGCACGTTGTAACCGACTGATGGAAGTGCCCGCGATGGGACACCGGGAACGTTAATGAATGGTTCACGCGCGCGAAACAGTCTCCAGCAGCGGGTACGATGGCATGTTTGCGAGCGACCTCAACGAAGACATAGCGGATGACGACCGCAAGCCTATGAGAAAATATCGAGCACAAGTGCCACGAGGCATTCATAAACAGCTCGGTCCCTGTGCCTCGGCGCAGTGGCAATCGTTTTCAATGAATATTGTCCAGGCGTTTCACTGTGCAATGTAGTTGAAGTGATGAAATGGTCGTTTCGTGCAAGGGACGTCAAATTCGCTGGAGCCCAACATACCTCGTGAGGTGTCAGGCAGCCTATTCACAGTGAAGTTACCTACATGAGGCGCGGTTTCGTAGACTTCCAACCAGTGAAATGCCCACACAACTTCGGCTTCTGATGACGACGTTCGAATACGGGGCCTTAGAGGACACAGCAGGTTGTAGCAATAGGCAGGAAAGAGCGTATGATACCTCGAGGCAATTCCCTACCAGTCATCGGAGTTTGCCGCAAACACGAACACGTGCACTCCTACACGAAGCTAAGCTCGCGTCGCGAGGCCTTCGTGAAAAGCTGGGTGAACCTCGCCCAGCAAGTGGCGCGTCAGTCAGTTAAAAAAAACATTTTTCTAAAACCTCTGAACAGGTACACCCAGTGATTGCGCCGTATACAACGCGTGTAAAAACCCTTGTCTGCAATACTCGACGTGTCTCCGTTCACCTTCACGAGCTATGAACATCCAGCCGCTCACATACTTTACGGTTGTCCACGATAGTTTTGTGACATACTGAGGCGATGACGTGGTAATTTGAGCCGAGTCCCTGCCTTCCTAGCCGAGGCAAGGAGCCTGTCATTGGAGTCAAATTAAATATTCGCGTTTCAGGGCCACTTACTTGCACCAGGCTGCTGCATGGTAGCACCGCCACGGTCATAATGTGCTCTGACCACTTCAGCGTTCCCGGGCTCCGGCGCGCCCCGCACGAACGCCGCGAGTTCGTTCGTTATAACTAGTTGTACGACATGTGTTTATGCGTGCATGCAGAGAGTGGACACCTTTCCGCATTTCCTGCCCATGACACGTCTGCGAGACATCGGACCTGATCAGGTATCCTGAAAGAGATGCGGCGCTAATCAATCACAAAGGCCAGTAGATCACCAAGGCACTCACAGTCATGCTCATGGAAGCACAGACATGAGGCTGTACAGTGATAGGAGGTGGAGGGACGCTACAAACTGAAGCTCATTGGTCTCGCTGCAACGAGCGTTGGCTGTGGCATGCATTCCTCGTCAGGACACGTACTGCCATTGAAAACTCGCCTCGCCTCGGGGGGGGGGGGCAGACATGTCAGTCGTTGGGCTTGTCTGCACCTGCCAACCCTCAGCCATGACGCACGGATTCAAATCGCAACAGACCGCATGGAGGCGTTATATCAGCTCTGAGACAAGAATAGAGCTGTTGCAAGCGCGCACAGTTCGCGCTGCTCCCGAGCGAGAGCCTCACTCGAGACTATATATATTTTCAACTTCATTTTACGAGAAGCGGCGTTAACGAACGGAAAGGCCATACTCAGCGGCTATGAATATCGAGGTCGAAAAAGGAGCGCACGAATGCTTTCGTACTGCGGTTCCGCAGCGACTCATGGACGTCATGGCTGCGGAGGCATCTGCAAAAAACGAAATCAGATTTCGCGCGTTTGTCGGAGATCTCTGGGCCACAACGTACTCTAAACAACGAAGAACAAGCTGTGCATACTTGACCAACCGTTTGCAAAGGCGGAAACGGCACATGGTGGCAGGCGTCACTTGTGGCACCACGGGCTATCCGCATGCTGTTCTTACGTCCGGTGATCTTCAGCTGCTCCGCAAGCTTCACTTAGCAGGTATCTAGGAAGAATCCTTGTTTAAAACTTGCTAGATCTCGGCGAGAGCACCCAGCTGCTTGTGCAGTCTTGCAATACACATGCTGAGAAGTGTCAGCCACATGGGAGTTGTGACTCCGCTTTTGGCTCCCGGTCTCGACTCTTCGCCGCTTGTCGTCCTCTTTGCTGTCAACGCCGACCTCACTGCGCCTCGTCAACACTCAGAATGAAGTTTACCAGTGCTGCACTCGCTCTCGCGGCATTCATCAGCAGCTCTGCTGCCCAGCTGACCATTCTGAGCCCCGGAAGCAGTGTGTGGTGGGGTGAGTTGCTATCGCCTTGACTCCCGGTTTTTTCCAGCTGACCGGGGGGCCCAATTCGTGTCGCCTTTCAACCACAGTTGACGACTCCCAAAACGACATCACTTGGACATGCGATACCTCTCCTTACGAGAATTTTACCGTCCTGTGAGCGCCATGTCCTCTGCCTTTCCAAAATTAAACGTCCTAACGCGACGTCTCACGCTTTCTCAGTCTTGACAGCACGAATTCGAGCATCCTGGTCTCGCCTTATGCATTCGTCGCTAACCAGCCGAACTATGACTGCTCCGTGGTGATCTCGCCATACCAGATGGCCACTTTCCCTGCTGCTTCCGGCTACACCATCATCCTCGCTAACACCCTCAACAGTTCAGACGTGAGTCCTAATCCTAATGCCCTCTAATCGGTTCCGCCACCGGGGATGCAGATACTGATGCTCGTGAATCCTTGTAGATCTATGCTAAGAGCGAGGAGTTCGCGATCAAGCCAGAAGGTTCGGCCTATCCTGCTACATCCGCTACGCCCACAGGAACAAACACGGCTACCAGCAGCGCAAGCGGCAGTGTGAGTGGCAGTGCAACCACAACTGGCGCGGCTGCTGCCTCCTCCACCTCCGCTTCCTCCAAGTCGAGCGGCGCGAACAAGCTCGCCGCCTCTATGATGGGTGGTCTTGCTGGGGTCGGTGCCTTGTTTGGATTGTTGATGGCTTGATCACCGCGTACGAGTGCTGCAGCAAGAATTGTGGACTTTACATTCTTCTGGCTTGTGTCAGCCCCACACACGTACTTTCTTGCACTTGTCCTTGTCTTTGTTTGTGGACGCTGAAGGTTTGGGGTGTGTTGTACCGTCTTTTTGACTGTACTGTCTTTACTAGTTTACATGAGTGTAATGCGGACAGTGCCTGTTTGACAATTCGCAATGTCATGCAGGATCCATGCCGTGCCCGGCGCTTGCTGCGAGTGGATGACGGAGACTTCTCAGTCGACTTGCTCAGGCACTCTGATGAATGTGCAATCGGATGCATTCGGCGACGATCCTTTGGCTTTCCCAAAGGCCAATGAACCCTCAAGGTCTCATGCGTCACGACTAGTAAGGCTCGCGAAAGCGGCCATCCCCTGGTTCATCCACATCGATTAATCCATTGTCGGCATCCGTGATTGAAGAGTATAGCAGCATCGTGCGTGTGCGGCAATGCTGACTGTGACACTCGAAAGAGCTGATCGCTTTTACTCGTGGCTGACATGCTCCTGCAAGTCCGAATCGTGCTATCATTGCCACCATCGGCTATATATGTAGTATGCTATAACGCATTACATAGCGAATAATGAATTTAGCATGATCCAGATTGCAGATGCGAGAGCAGTCCTAACCGTTGAGATTTGTCAAGGTCAAGGCGAGCCTCTTCTTACTTACCTGTGCGAATACACGGCTAGCAATAGTACTTATGTGCTGCATGAGGCGTACCAGGCAACTCTGCCATTGCAGCATATCCACATTCAGCGCGATAAGTTGAGGCAACATATCCGTCAGATATTTTATTTCTGCGGGATGATTGCTTCGGTGACGACATGAACACCAAAATTGCTGGAACTTGGTTATTTAATGTACTTTATCCAAAATTAAACCGTGATGCGGCGAGAGCACTGCGGGAAAGTAGAGACAGCGGTTCGGAAGGGATAGTCCGAAGTAAGCGCCCAACTGTGGCGAGCCTCGTGCGGCGTTGAATGCCGGATTTGGTATGGAGTCGAAGACTGTTCCAACTCTATTCTCAGTAGACCATCAAGAGTCCGTGTCTGTCCGTGTTGTCCCTTGTCGCGCACGCTTGAACGTTCCTCGCCAAACTCCAGAACAGCTGCTCTATTTCCTCAGTCTCTACTCTGGCTAAGACCCGGCAACATATCAAACCTCCAGTTCCGCGCATTTCCGGAGTTGTCCAACTGTACGGCGATGGTGCCCAACGCGAGCGACAAATTGCAGATGCCATCCGTTGCCGCTATAGCAACCTGGGATGAGAACGAATTTGTAACGGATGCCACTTGGACTGCAAGTGGTTGCAGGATCGAAATACGCGCCGCACAGAATGGCACGGTCGACCTCAGCGACGCTGATCATCTCAAGATAATTTGTGCAAGTTTGCGGGCGATCCAGTCAGTACGAACGTCAACTCTGACTGGCTCGTCAGATGCTCGGGCAATTTCTCCTCTAATGCGTTGGATGAAGGCCTTATTGCATTATGGAGGTAGCTGTTAAATTTATATCTACGTCGCCCCTTCTTCAAGCTGAAATATCGCACGAGCAAGTGCAACAGGAGATACAAGATTACATTGCTGTAATGAATGACTCGATAGAACCGGACCGACGATTACGTGGCAGAGGCATGCTGCACAACTCGCTGCGCTGTGCATAGCGCATTCTGCACGTCATCCAAGCAGATGCGTCCAAGGCTGGCCCTATCGCAGTTGATGCTCTCACAAAGGCAAATGAGGGCCGAAAGCGAGCTATGGCAGTGCATGAACATCTTCAAGCGGACTGGCAAGATGTCTACGAAAGTCAGCGAAAACCACATTGCCCAACAATTGCCAACTTATCCGCGGCTGGGCTCTGATTGTAGTTGTTACAGAGAGACATCAATGAATTGCTGGTAACTGGCAATTCCCTCGATTTTAGTCGCTTCATGGAGAAATTTTCCCCCTGTCCATGCCACAGGTTTTGCCGGGTCGCAATGTCTCCTTGCAGAAGGTGAGCTCCAGATAGTATCGTCGCAATCACGCGGTGCACTTTCTCGTCGTTCTCATCTAATCTACGGAGGAAGACACCACCCTCGTCGTTCAAACTATACGTGCATACGAACAGCCGAATAACAAAAAGTGGACATTGGACGCCAAGGAAGAGGAAATTCGATATCCGTCCGTTTCTCTCTCGAGGGCAGCAATTTGCAAGACATCCCAACTAAAGGACTTCTCCAATACGACCCCTCGCTGTGAATGCACCTCGTCGTGCATTACACAACGTCCGCCGGACTGTCGCGACTACACCGATGTCTCTAATGCTGACCTGTTATCCATGCCATCTATTCTTCGAAGCGTATCATCAAGCGGTACTTGACGAAGTGCAATTCCAGCCAACAGCAACGCGCGAGATGCTCTGTCCGGGATGGGCAAGGCCATTTAAAGGGCCTCGGAGGCTTGAAGAAACGAATGAGAGAATTAGGCAGACCATACGGGGGGAGGCTCCACATCACTCTCGCTGAAGCAAACAAGGCCCGGTTCACATCCCGACAACACGAACGACACCGAGGCCTTGTACCCCAGACGATGAGCATACAGGTCCAACGAAGCAGACGCTTGTCATTATCGCGCTGACGCGACTGTACAAACCTTGTCGTTGGACGATTCGTCACGGGCCCTTCGACGGCTCGCTAGCGAAGAGGAGCCTACGAATGATAAATGTATAAATGGTCTAGATATCATCCATTAGAACACCCACGTTCGGCAGCCGTTAGGAAACGCTGAGTCGCAGTGGCGGTGGTTGTTGCTGAGGGCATCCTATATATCATCTGGTCCCTGTGCATGATTCGCATCGGACGTTACGATATATAGACAAAAATTGGTATTTACTATTAGCGTCAGAGGGTATATACACCTTGTAACAAAGTCCTGCAATAATCTACACCATGTAAACAGACAACGAGAGAATGCCACCATAATGACACGTACGTACTGGCACACCAGTCCAGACGAAACACATTGTCAGCAGTGGGAACGAACGACTAGCAGCATCGGCAAAGCATAACGAGCGCACAATCGGACAATCCAGCAGCTTCACGACGCTGCCTTCAAAGCATGTTCATATCAGGAAGGAGAATCACGGCAGCGCCAGCCACAAAGCAAGCAGCTCCGGGAAATTGGGCGTCCCCAGACCAGTGACGGGGTCCCACCCCGGCTCCGACGAGAACCCATCCGTCCCGCACCCAGGGTTATTCCCCGACGTGACATCGTTGAAGGCCTGTTGGAACACGGGCGTGTAGATCTACGAATCGCGATACCAGTGGACATGATTTTCAGAGGAAAGGCGATGATGCAAAGAGGTGGACGTACGGTTGGGTTGATGAACCCGATGGCGCTCTTCCCGAGCGCGATACGCGCGTCGTTGATGGCTGAGAGGATAGAAGCAGCGACGGGCGACGCGCAAGATGTCCCAGATACAAGCGTGGCCTCTCCATCAACCATTACCGTATAGTTCAACCTGATCGCGCGACGCCCATCCCCCCGTCAATAACACATGAGCGCACGTACGCAGCCGATCGAGGGACGCACCCATTCGCAGCGATGTCCGGATACCCTCTCGAGTTCCCCGACGAGTTGTATATGTCCGCAGCGTACGGCGGTGGATAGTTCGTCAAATACCCTTCCACCGCGTCGCGCTGCCAGCTAGGCAGCGCGAACACGTTCGAGAAGCCGCCGCCCGAGTAGATATTCGTGTCGCATGCGACTTCTGGCTCCCAGACCTAGATGGGCAACGTGTCAGCTATGCGAGCATGAGCGCGAGCGAAGCGGCGTACTGAATTTCCCGGAACGATCTGCGTCGCACCGACGGCCGTGACGTAGGGACATGTTCCAGGGAAACCAGGGTCGAACCGCGTACCGTCGTAGCTCTCGTTTCCGTCCGCGTCGAGGCACTGGCCGTTCCCTGCGACGCCGTCGTCGCCCGAAGAGTACAGGAACGTCACGCCCATGAGACCGAGCTGGGAGTTTACGCCACAAAGACGTCAGGGTAAAGACCACGAGGTGGGAGTAGGCAACGCACCTTGGCGTACTCGTAGCATTGCCGTTGGATGTACGCCGCGCCAAGGTAGGCTTCCGTGTATCCGTACGACGTCGAGATGATATTCGACAGCGGAGCCGTGCCGCAATTCTCCGAGCCTATACCAAACTCAGGGACCCGACGGCCAGAAAAAACCCATAGACGCACCCTGATACCCGCCGTATGGATCCGGGTACGTCCCGTCAAGCTCGGGGTCATCGCCACCTTCGTAAGTGCAATACGACGCATCGAGCGCATCCAGGAAGTTGTTGAAGGATCCGCCCTCGACGAGGTCGCCGACCTGGTAGAGCGTCACGTTCTGGTTCGCGCCGACGAGCGCCATCGCGTATTGGAGGTCGAGTTCCGCCTCGCCGTTGATGCTGAAGCCTTCATAAAGCGTTTGTTCGTAGCCTGTGGGAGGGGTTAGCACTCCGTGGCACTTCGGGGTGGGCAGATGCTTACCGCCATCGATGGATATGACTGCAGGGCGCTGTCCTACTTGCGAGGGTGAGAAGTTGGCAAAGAAAGCATCCATGTCGGCGTCCAGAAATGCCTCGGGCGAGTATTCGACTGTAATATTGGGTCAACGACCAAGATGAGAACCAAATGCAGAAACGCACCGATCCCAATGGTGTTCTTGTCCGTTGCGACGGGGTAGTATGCAAAGTCGTATAACGCGCGGAGACAGTCCGGCGTGATCTGCGCGTCGCAGCTCGCCAACGGAGACTCCGCATCGGCATTAATGGCGTCGAGATCAACAGTCTAGGATGCAAGTTTAGCCCATGTCGAAGCAGCAGGATCGATTCGGCACTCACCTGAGGAATCGCACGGAACTTGGGGTGCACGATACTGTTCCCTGGTGCACCGATGTTCTTGGAGCGCGCGTCCAATTCGCGCCTGACCGTCCGCGGCATCTTCACGTCAAAATGCAGGGTCGGCAGGACGAGATCGACGTGGTGCGACACGTGCTCTGGGAGGTGGTACCGCCCCTCGCACGCGAGATGCTCCCGTCCGTTCTCCCCGTACTGCCACACAAAGTACTCCGTCCCGAGCAGCCTCTCTGCCTCGGCGATGCTCACGTCTACCGTGAGCCATCCTCCCGGGCGCGCCTTCACGCTGCCCTCGCCGAGCTCCTCCTCCAGCCAGTCGCGCACCGCCTCTTCAGCCTCTGCGTCTGGAGCGAACGTCTCGCGCAGGCGCTCGGCACTCCAGTGGCGCCCGTAGTTGGGCGAGTCAGGGTGCGACACGTCGAGCAGGAATTGGTCTATGTTTTCGAGATTGCGCTGGGCGAGGCCGATGCGGAGCGGAAGGCGCGTGCTGGGGTCGGCGCGGCGAACGGGTGTCCATCCGGGAGGCGGCGCGCGAGATTCGTGTAGGACGAGCGGGGAAAGCTGTGCAGGCTCGAGCGCACGCGTTGCCGAGGCGATGACGAGGAGAACAAGCGAGTGGACGATGCTGAGCATCATGTGGGGGACGGTCGTCGATGCCTGTACCGATGGATGGGGCGGACAAGGACCTGAAGAAGAGCCATCTTTTATGTGCCCTCGTATCGAGCGATCAGAAGACGAGTGTACGCGAGGCGACTGCCGAATCGGGTCAACGCCGGACGCCGGAGCCAAGCCGTATAATTGAGGTTACCATCTGTCCAACGCGCTGCAAACGATCGCATTTGCATGCTGCCACATCACCGATGTAAAGAGTAAACTGCGGGAGCTTGAGCTCTGGGCTGTGAACTGAGAAGAGTCGCCAGAGGATTGAATATTGAGTATTGAGTTGGGCAGTCCCCAAACACATAGTCGCAGGGTCGAGAGACAGCAGTTCAAGGGGGGGAGTTGCTCCATTACCAGGCAGGAGGGTGCCCTTATATACATGCTGGTGACAGGATATTGCGTAGCAGCGAAGTCTGTGCCAGATGGGGATGCTATCGCGTGAGAACGTGCTCAATATGGTAACTGTCCGGACATATAAGGAAAAAGAAGCATCAGAAAAAGTGGGGCCGCATCCGAGAAGACGTCGATGCCGGTTACTGTCTGTCCAACGCCGTGAAGATGCCGCAAATAAACGATCCAAGTTCGTCCTCCTGCTCTTGGCAACATTGTGAAGAAAGCGGGCGATGCTTCGAAGCTTCCGATCTAATTATTTTCTTTGGAGTAATTTGCACGCTGGCGCATCATCGACTTCTCATGGCCGCCCTCGAGGCTCGATGTCATCGTGAATCGCTTGCAAAGGACCGCTGTACCAGTCGCAGTCTCTCAGCTTTCATTTTGCTAAATCAATTACTCCCGGCGCAAACCTCGTATGGACAACTTCGTAGAACCATCAGTACCTCCGTGAGTCTGAGGAATGCGTGATTACTGGACATCTCATGCCGTTCCGTCCTTGTGCATGGTTATTAACTGTAACTGGCCTAGAACGTAGTTGACGCGGATATATATAAACCGAGAAACGCAGTAAGACGTCTTCGCCCGGCCTAAGCTTGACATCTTTATCTGTGAGGCTGAGAAATGTATGATAATCAAACACCCTACGTCGCTCCATCCCTGGGCATGATTCTCAGCTATGCCTAGCCCAGCACTCAGTTGATATGGTGACTCACCCCTCGGAGCAACGGAGTGAACACGGCAAGACGTCTTCGTCAGGCCTAACTTTGACATCTTCAACTACCACACCATTTGAACTTTGCCTGAGTTCCTCAGTGGTCTGTTACTGTTCGAACCTACGAAATTTCAGCTCGAGTTGACAGCATTGAAAAGGTAACTTACTATCATTCATTCAGGCACACAAACGTTGCAATAGTGGCCATGACAACAAATGAGCTGAAAATGAAGAGTTGCTGCAAAGAGGTCAATATTCGCGTTGACGAACCGATTGAAGCTTCTTCAATAGCTGTCATTGAGGCTGCAATGCAGTATCACTTCACTCACCAGATATCAATAGACCAACGCCGCGCGATAATATAAACCGGTGGTGTAACGCGGCCACGTGACCGCGTCACACCGCGCCGGTATACCGTCGAAAATGCGTCTAGTGAGAATATCCAACCTAGGAAGCAAAATGAGCTTATGTGATGACCTTGCCCTGGGTGGAAAGGCCAAGCCAAGGTATTCGGTAGTATCTGATGAAATAGACGCAAATTGCTTGTTTCATGGAATACTGTTCGAAACAGATGATGTAAGCCTTTTCTCGATTATGAAGTGAAATGCTCGCTGCGGAAATGCTGTGTCCTGATCGTAGATTAGCTCATAAGGTGTCATTTGAGCCGATGCACTGTAAGTTGTTTGGAAATTACATGATTCAGTGATGTGAAGGTGTAAGTCTATTGTTTTCTTCATGTGTGGATCAAAAAAATCAGAGATAGAATGATAGGAAATGAAGAATTGCAGACTAGATCATTGAGGACTGGATTGCACCTTGTTTGCATTAATTATTGATCGGAGAGACGCCGTCGGCAACGTTGAAGGCGGCTCGCACCGGGAAGTATAAGGTTTCATCGTCCGTCACCTGCCCGCCCATCCTTGGATATCATCTATTGTCCATAAACACAAATGGACGAGGTGCAGACACGGTAGAGTAGCTGCGTCGTGCTCCGAGGTGCAGCACAGCTTCATGGCTGCGCAGAGTCTAGACGTAGATCGTTACTTCATTTCTGGTAGAGAAGACGACCTCGTATGTAGACTATCACCGCGATCGTCGCATGTGTCACCATAGCACCCTCCATGAGCAACCCACATGTCTACACAACCCATCGGACATTTTCGTCTAGAACGGCACCAGATGGGTAACGCGCAGATCCTGCAAATCCGTTTCAGAAGCTCCGAAGGCCTTGGAACATGGCGTACGTCTTGCAGGTACTAGACGCCCTCTCTCGCCTGCACGGTGTGAACATGCTTGTAAGCTAGCTCCACGCATTCTTAATACGAGTCGCATCAGTGGATGAGCGACTAAGGCCACGCCCGCGAGGTCCAGACCGGACACTTACGTGGAACGATCCGACGAGAGCCCCCTCGCGGGTATGCCCCGCTTCCAACTGATGCCTACACTCTGGCACGGTCATCGCATCCCACTGATAGCTTTAAAGTTACATCAAGCAAGTCTATCGAGTGTGTTAGATGGTTCTTGGTGGCAACCTTCCTTCAGCCCAGCGGCAAGTGCACAGTCGTTTGATCGAATCGCGGGTCTTCCGATCGAATTATTCGACGCACGATGCATGATCGCAGTCGTCGATCGTGAGATCTCGTAGGCGATGTCCACATACAGTATGGGCCCCTCCTATCACAAGCGCGCGCAGACATGTGGCGACCGAATGCACTGCTTTCAACCAGTCACAACTCCGCGAGCATAGGTCGGACTTCGTCCGACAGCCATCGACGACGCATGCTGGCAGTAAAGATCTAGACAAGCGGCCATGAGGGCTGGCAGTGGAAGCTGGCTTGGGTCCCACGTTCAGGCTGCGGATAAACATCGCCTCCGAAGACCTGTTGCTTCGCGCGCGCGAGGGCTATGGAACGAGGGTGATCAGGGTTTAGAGGGATAACAACGGGTGCGCAATTAGACCGACAACCGTCCGAACACCATGTCCCTCACGATATTGCAAATGCTATGATGCGCCCATCATCAACTAACGCACACGCTGTTCCTGTCACGCACCCCACATTTCACATTTGCGGGGTGAGTATTGCCCAGATTGTGCAATCTTCAGTGTCGTCAAAGTATGTGAAGACTTAGCCGCGATGACACGTTCATCACAATACGGGGGTAGCCGCGACAGTTGCAGTGCCACTCGTCCGATGCACCACCTCATGCAAAGAGCCGATGATCCGTGGGAGAGAATAGGTCGCTGGGATAGTCAGACTGTGTTGCCGTTGCCCCAGCGGTTAGAATTGATATTGGGGTGCTGAGAAAAAAAGGACTCGCCGCAGATGCAGGTTGTGTACAGCGCATTGCGTCCTGTTGCACGCTCCTCGCCTCGCAACAATACTATTGATAGCATCTACGGGGGAGTGAGTCATCCTCGGCGCAGCGGCAACGTGCCGCATTCATCCCCCTCACCTCATCAGCGGCAGTTCATGATCGAAAGTAATATCGTCGAATAGCCACAATAATCGAGTAGGAACGCATGCGATATGACACAGAGTGCCAGTTCCACGTCATGGAAGGCAGTGTGTGCCTCCGTCGGCACGCAGAAAAACTGATCTCAGTGAAGTAGAGCGTATGCTATGACTCGCGTATGGCGTGGAAAACGATCAGGATATCGACCGCCATGCGTCAACCACGTGGCTTGCTCACCGCCACTTCAGACTTGCGCATTACGCAGGTTCTTCGCAGCCACATCGTCAATGTTTGGTTGTCTGTCCCAGGCCCTCTGCTGCTGTGAAGCAGCACGCTCGCCTCGTGTGTGTTGTTAGGCATCGCCATCTGCAGCTTCAGTGCTGCTCCCCCGTTATGAAATTCAATCAGAACCAGCCATGAGTCCTGAGATTCCGGGCTATGCAGAGGAAGGTATAAAGACAGGGAGGAGTTACCCTCGCTGTGGTACCGGTATTCAAATCACACAACAACTCTCGTTGACAGATCCCCGAGATCCAACACTCCGTGCCAATGGATTACTCGATGTACAACTCTGGTATGTTGACTTTATGATGCCAGTTTCAACCTCTTACGTGCTTCTAAAGATTCGTACTCGTATTACTGCACAAACCCTGCAGACATGAACATGTACGCCGGATCTGCGCAAATTTACTACGGATCATCACCCGGACAAACCAACCTGTCGATCCCTCCATCCCCACCCACTGTCAACTATCCACCTCTAGCGGCGGTCCAAACAGGACTCGTTCATCGCGTACCCTGCCTATGGGGCGGCTCATGCCCCATTCTGCTCGACGACATATCCGCAGCGGGCATCATGCGCCATCTCCGCGAATATCACCTTGTTGATCCCGACCATCCGTGGGACAAGAAGGCCCGCGGCGTCTGCCAGTGGGGCGGCGAGTGCCACAAGGAGATGGCATATGCCAGCTATGGGAAGCATGTCGCCGCTGTCCATTTGCGCGGCAGTGTCCAATGTCCCTATTGCTATAGGGACGTAGGCAGGCTCGGGTTGTTGGAGAGACACATCCAGAGTTATTGTCCTCATGCACCCCCATCTTAGATGTGTTTCACAGTATGTCCCCCTCTACTCATCCCGTTGGTGATCACTGACGAATCTGGTTTTTCTAGTTCTATTGTCTTGGATACCGCTCATGGCTGCAAGGCCGGTCACTCATCATGCATTGTAATAATTGGCGTCTCCTTCTGATTGTGTCCCGGGTGCAGTTTCAGCTCCTGATATCTTGTGGGTTTTGTTAGATGTTGCAACGTTTCGTATGTACCCTTCTTCCTGAACGTCAGCGGCCGGAGAACGCCTTTTACTCCGCGCCGCCTCTTGTACTACTTTAGGCAATTATTTTCCCGCTTTGCGGAATGGTCTGATTCGTGCTCACTTCAGACATATTGATATGCTGTGCAGACATGATGCCTCATTGCGCACTTGACGCTTTTATCATCGACGCGGATCATAACGATTCTTGAACAAATGAGTGTCCTGCTATCTCCGAAGCACTTCAGCGTTTCAGCCTGTCCGATCCCTTGCCATGAAGAGAAGAAGCCTGATGCGTTGTCTGCGGCTAGGTGCGGTCAGCGTCCCGTGGCTGGGCTTCCGATGCAATGAGCGTTCCGGAATGTGTAATCTCCCTCGGCCACACCTGACGCAGAAGCAATGCGCAGCCTGATGATGCTTCCGTCCTTCTATTATTCGAGTCAATTGTTGCCGTTCATTCCATGCCAAGCAACATGCGGTGCTGTCTCAGGAGTCGATCTCCCAACAAATCTGTCAACGGCCGGAAAACATCAAGGTGCACTAGACGACAATAGGCATGCGTAATGGGGCTGCACATCGGCGGCGGTGAAGCATGAGTGCCTCAGCCAGGTCACCGCGTTTGAACAGGCATGCAAAGAACACGTTGGCGTCCTCGCATATCTGGATGCAGTGTCACTGCCACCCAATGTGGTCAATTTTTTAGTTTGATGGTATGTTGAAGTTGGGCGACAAAGCTGGGCAGAACCTCGGATTATCCGGTGCACTTTCTGGCGTACCCCCTCCTCTGCAGACTTCACACGTAGCACAACGATGAGCTACTCTGGCTGTCGACATCGATACGTCCTACTTTCTGGTACACTGCTTCTCATTTTACTAATTATTAAGCGCGGCTTCGCAATGACTCAACTTCAGGCGCTTGCGTCTCTACATCATCAAGCCAACCTCTGACTCGACTTCAGTGGCAGCTATAGCGACTCTGTGCCATATAGCCAAGCCTTGACGTCCTTCAGCAATCTCCGTACGACCGTCATCCAATCAAATCAAGGAACTTTAGGTTATGGTAAACTTGCATGCGATCTCTTAGCGGAAACGTGCGACAGACGAGAGACGCCAATGTGGTACGCCTATCAAGTTGTTCTCTGCAAGGCTGGTGCGCCACGTCAGTGCTCAGAGACGCAACGCAACACCTTGCTCAGAGTCAGGATTACCACCCAAATACGTTGTTGGACATTGCAGCAGTCTGCACTGTGATCCCGCTGGCGCATTTGCCCGAATAATGTTGAACGAAAAGTCTCAAGGCCTGAAACGTGCTCGTTGCCGTTTGCAAAGGACCATTGCTTGCATATTTCTACATCCTTACAAGACATGCGAAGATCGGCCCAATACAATCTGCATGTGTGTTTATTCAGAAACACATCAATATGACCAGTGCGATCGCCGCGGATGAATAGCACGGATCAGATAGTATGACAGAAAGATGGCACCATTCATAAGTGTATGAAAGCCAGGTGAGTTGGCGAGACAAAATAAACTCACGTCTACTTATGTCTTGCACCACCATGGTCAAGCAGCACTACAAGTGCATGACACGATATGGGGGAGATGGGCACAACAGCACGCACCAGTCCACGATACCACATGCATGCGCCGCGCACCTTGAAGTCGAGAAATCTCGACAATTTCTGGCGTCGCTGGCTCCCAAACAGCTCCAACAGATGGCCATCATAGATCGCCTTGCAGGTCAACAGTGTCTGAAAAGATTTAAGATGAAGGGAACTCACTCCTGGTTGTCTGACACTTCCACGTTCGCAGGGCAGAACGCGCCGATCATCCTGTTTGCCACCTGGCATGAATGTGACGCCCGGTTGCTCGTTCTGTATGTCATCGATACTAGTGCAGAAGATGCCAGAATGAGAATGCACTGGCAAGCATAGCAACACCAATATTTGTCGAGGTGGGCGCACTGTCCCAGTCCACCGAGGCACGAGAAGGCGAAGGGAAATCTTTGCGGTGATGGCAATATCCATGACAGAGTCTGGCACGTACCGCCGGAGATAGGCACGATCAAGAAAACGTCGCACGACGCGAACTCCGAGATCCCGTGCCAAAGGTCATCTTCTCTATCAGAATTGACTTGCTCGGCAAAAAGGTGTGCGACTCGATGGTCAGTCAATTTATTCTGCTTCGTCGGAAGTGCCCTGATTCGTGCACTTCTGAATATATCGCGGTAGAGCCGTTTCCGTGACAACGCTTGACGAGCATTTCGCACGTCTGCCCTGGATGAGAAGGCGGCCTGCATCCTAACGTGCCGTCGGAAGAACCCGATCGGATGGTCAAATTTACGTACGGTGCACGTCGATACTAGCGGAAAGCCTGACTGTGCCGAGCAGAGTCCGCTTGAAGTTTCCAAGGAACGACATCCTGTGGCTTGAAAAGTCGGATCGTCGCATTGACTTGCAAGCCCGTTGCCGGAGACAATCAAAGACCCACCGTGAACCTTAATTGAATGCAGAAGAAACGCGGAGAAGGCCATTTTATCCGAGTACCGCAGCAGCGAGGCAAGGTGCACAGCACATGCTGAACGCAGATATGTTCTGTGTTCGGCAGTCCTGAAACTTCTCCGAGAAGCTTGCGCGGGAGGTAGAGCAGCTTTCCGTTTATGTGCCAAAATGCTTCCTGGACGAACGTTTTGCCTATACAAAAGCTGAGGAGCTGAGCCAAACTTGCTAAATCGCGTAACTTATCAGTATTGTGGAAACCGAGATACCCGGAGCAATTAGGCGGGAAACGCTTGAACGGAGCTGTCGAAGAATGAATCAATGCTGACTCATATTATGGCACCTTCGTCGGCGGCGGCGGAGTGAAAGGCCACCAGCGAGCCTCGGAAATATAGGAGAGGGACCGAGGCGCTACATGGTCTGAACCGGGAAGTTGCGCACTTGTAACAGGTCATCGGATATCCATATCTTCTGCGAAGGGGCTGGGATTTGCTCCCACGATCTGATTGGTTTCATATACGGATGACGACGTTTCCTATCATGATGGTTTCGGGACGATAGCCGCCGGCGGCGCCGCTTGCAGACGAAAGAACAATCTCCGCGTGAGATCGAATCTTGTCAGACCGTCCGTCGAGAAGATCCACATGAATGGCACCGAGAAATGGGGGGATCGCGGCCCCTCACGGAACCTTGCAGCGCGATAGAACCCCGCAGATGCCCCTGCAAGGCGCGTCGTCCTTCTCCCCTCTTTTCATTTATACCCAGACATCTCTCTGTGAGCTTTGCCTGCATCCACGATCGTCTCTACTCACCTACTGCAACCACACCATCCTTTCATGGAGGAGATGGACTTACGTGGCCCGTTAGAATCCTCCGTGTTGTGAGTTTCCTGTGCGGTCTACAATTGTCCAGAAAGGGATGATGGACGCGACGTTGACAGAGAACCTTCATTTTTTGTCGACTTACACGAGCCCCAAGCCCCCAGTCATCAACATTTCCCGCCTACAGTCCCAGAAGACGCCTTGCACACCATCACGATCCCTGAGCGATTCAAGCAATGGCTGTTCGACGTGGCTCACAGCCATGCCGATGGCGCATTGCCCCCAGACATCGCCTACGTGGCACAGCTTATCTGCGGTCCATTGAGTATGCTCAGCGTCAGCTCGAATGCGATGCCATGCGGTGCACACATACCGCAACCATATGGGACCCTGACGTCTCCCACGGTGGCAGGGCCGTCTGACTTCCATGTTCCCGCTGGTCAGGATGCTCCACATGCCGAGAGCCGTCCTAGTGACCTCGGAGACGTGGCTTCATATGGCGGATACCCGACACCTCGGTCAGTCGAAGACGAGATCGGAAGTGAGGGCGGTGAGACGGTGGGATGCGAGTGGGCTGATTGTCGAGCGCTGCTCTCTTCGTCAACAGAGAAACGCGTGAGGGATCATCTACGAGAGGTCCACTTTGGGCACAGGTGGGATTCCGAGAGGAAGGAGCGCTGTCGATGGAATGGCTGTGAGAAGGTGATGCTCGCGCGGAGCCTGCCAAAACATATTCGCACGGTTCATCTCAAGGTGATGGAAGTGAGCTGCTCCGTCCCTGGGTGCAATAGCACCTTCACGAGGGGCGATGCCAAGAAACGCCATGTTGACCAGGTCCACCACGGAATTGTGCCAGTCGTCGAGTAAGTACTTTCTTGCATCCGAGACGCCATCGCCGTACTAAGCAGATGTCCAGACAAGTTTGGCCCCTCGAGAACAAGTGATAACCCACGGATGCTCTGTTCACGTCGCGTGTACCCCAAAATCATTGCCGCGCTAGCTATAGGCAGGACATCACCGATAGTTTGGATCAAGCGTTTCTTCGAATGACATGTAATCTCACTTACTCTTCCGTGGGCGCGTGAGGTCAGCCCTAGACCTTAAAATCGTTCTAAGGCGAGAAGACGCGGATAGCACAGCACGTCGCATCACGGGCGTCGGCAAACATCGAAGCATGACACGTCCAGACCGCGTACATGCCGTAATTTTTCCCCGATGGTCTAGCCTTTGTATCCTATCGCTCCAGTGTCAATAGCCGCTTCAGTACCGATTTCCTGTCTTCCAATCCAAATATTCGCATCCGTACAAGGAGGATATAGCAGTCTAGGCTCGAGTAGCGAAATGGGGAATTTGTAAATGAATCAGAGTTATAGCACTGACAGGCTCGAGGACATCGATAGCCTCCAGATACCCGAACTGGAAACGCCGATGCGCCAGGGTTGCGAAGTGGGTTCTATGCTTCGATCCGATTGCTTGAGAATAGCGAGGACTCGGATGTTGGCCGATGAAACACGGCTATTCGATCTTCATGTCCGCCAATCTCAATTGAAGAAACGCAACTTTGGAGCCCATGTACCTCAAAGTGTGAAGGCTGATCGTGGTTCACATGAAGACTGTGTGAACATTTCGACCGTCCAATTAGTAGGAAGAAGTTGTGCGAACGTGGCGGGACGCGGACGATGAAACATGATCAGAACGCGACGGTCGCGGCCTTCCGCATTTCATCGTCCGCGCACATCAAGCGCGCACATTCCTAATATGGCATCGCGATGATTGGTGGGAAATGCGAATCCCAGTCCGATTAAACCAGTGACACTCTGCGCGATGGCCCAGAGAATTCATTGACTACTGCTGGTAATTATCGTAATATTTCGTGATTTCGCTTAACGCACGCCGCATCAAAGTCCGCCAAGTTCCATGCGCCAACAGCCAGGGATTACGCGGATTCTGTTCATTCTACTCATCGCCGGTCATTTCCCACCAATTAATGGCACGCTATCTCCACGATATCATCTCCAACGTCGGAACCCTGTACTGTGTTCTCGGGCACACTAAGAATCGGAAAGGTATGATGATACCGATACCTGATAAAGCCTCCTTCCTTGAAGCCTTCTCATGCCAGCCGCTTTCACGCTGCACGCACAGGCGCCTGTCGATGGAGCACAGACCGCCTCGACACAGAAGCTCAAGACCTGGCTAGACCAGGTTCATCTGGGTCACTTTGACCTCCTTCAGACGTAACGACATTCCTCCTCGTACCAATCGGCGACCGCTACGAAAATCCACGCATCGTGTATCCGAAACATGATCCTCTTCATATCAATTAAGGCAGGAACGGTACGCCCTTCATCCCCGCTTCTAGTGCTGATGCTGCGTAGTGGCCAGGCAAGAAGGGCGTACGGCACAAGGCTGATATGCCACATCCTGAAACGTGCCCTCGGCAGGATTTGATGCTCGCTATCATCCGAAAACGTCCAAAGCTTATGTCCGCCTTTACGCCGAGCGATCGCTCTGGTGCGACATGCTGAGCTGGTGTTCAAGAGTGCCTTGTGCGGAATTCGCTTGGTCAGCGGCCCAGGCCAGCAATATATCTATATTGTCCCGAGGGCCATTTTGAAGCTTGAAACGGGGCCCATTGACGAGCTTCTGTTGACAGCTGCTTCGAGCGCCGGCGGGGGGGGGTCACCTTGGCTACTGATGATACTTGACTTTGAGCCGTTTCACTATCCCGCCGGTAGTGAGAACCCAGCACCGACGATGCCAGCCAACCATCCAATCGGATAACAATTACCTATCATGTCATACGTGCCTAACGCATGGCGCTGATGCAGGTCATGGGATGTGCGACGGGCATAACGTTGATGTGCCCGTTCTGATACGTACCCAACGGGGGATTGGAGAAGCCTTGAAAACAACTAGGTCGTAAGCTTCCCGCTCGCCTAAGACTAAATCTAATGTCTGCCAAGCTGTACTGCACGTTCTAGCCAGTCCAGTGACCCTGCGACAAATGTGATCATGATTTGATGGAATAGCGACCAATCGCTCTTCTTGCGAACGTACAATACACTGAATACGGATGCAGAATCAGTACTTTGGCGCCTCGACGGAATCAAGCCCCGGGGCAGCCGCCAGATATGTGGCGCGCCAGAGTGTCGGGTCTAGCGAATTCCCTCCCGCAGGTGCTGCACGGCCGCGCCGTGCTTCGCAGATGCACGCAGGCGACATGCTTCCCGAAGCTATCTAGGTTCATCTCCCCGTTCTCGCACATGTCTCCCCAGCGGCACATGTCACGAGCCTTGCCGTTCCACGGCTGCCCCCCGCTGTGGAACGCCTTCAGGTGCCTCAAGATACCCGCTGGCGTGACATCGTCCAATGCGACCCCGCACGACCCGCCGTTCCAGCAGCAGGGCGTGCGTGGAATGCTGATTCGCGGTAGAAATTTCCGTGAGGTCAAGCGGCCAATTCTAGCACCATTCGACGGACTCACCCGTCGTATGCCCATTCCAAGTTGATTACAGTGTTATGCTTCATCGTTCACGCGATCAGGAGGAGATAGTCGGAGACGTTGGCGAATGCTGCGGTCGAGAAAAGTCCATAAGCAATGCTTTCGACATCAACAAAATGGGGCACCTACACCCGAGCAGACCTTGCACGAGGTAGGCGGGTCGACAGCGGCGGGTAACGAATCGAAGGCAATGTCGAGGAGATATGTGGAGGTGGTCTACGAAAGAACGGCGCGCATCGCATTAAATAGCATGCAGTGTGTGTGGTTGTGTGTGGGCTGAGCGCTTCCTTGTTCCGCATTCTTGTGTTATGCGCATCATCAGACAAATGCTGACAGGCCACGAGAGTATCGACAAATTGCACACGCCTCCATAAGTGGCAACCTCGGGCCTCAAGTTCAAGGCGCAGGTGAGCATATTCAAGGGAGCCCCGGATGGCCATAAATGGCAACTGTGCCACTGTACATTGGTCGGCCTCCCTTGTCGGCGTACGGAATCATGACAGAGTGTGTGCTCGGTGGAGCTTACTGCGTCAGCGATGCATACAATTGTTCGGCGGTTGCTCGCCACCTGGTTGTGATCCGAATACACCAGGACTCGCTCTCCGACTATCAGTATGCAATCCGCGTTCTGAGAGATTGCAGATCGTCCTTAAGACGTAATGGTGATGGCAGACATTTGATGGGCGCATGCACGTTACGCAAACACCGCGAGAAACGGCTGTTTGATGCATGAACGTGACTTGCTTGCTTGACGATATCAAAGTCAAAGCTAGCCGAGCTTCTGTACGAATGGAGACGGCGATCGCGCAGCCTCATGCAGGCACATGTCCCAAGGACGAAAGTGGTGCCTGCAACAATGGCCCTGTCATCACAGGATAAACCAAAGATACACGAGGCAGCAACGCCGAGGAGAGCAGGGCATCCGAGACCGCTCGTCTTGGATGAGGCCATGCTCTCGTACCGATTTCCGAGCCCCACATCGGACTCTTGGTAGTGGCATGAGCGGAGTCATAAACCCATTCTCCACATCTCCCGATCGGTGGACCAACAATACCTCTCAGGGATAACGGGACAACAAGAAGCGGAGCTCTATAACGTAAGTCACTCAGGCAAGCAGCCGCTTAGCACCCGCACTGCAGAACTGTCATAGAGGACAGTCTCATCAAGCGCTGATCACCAAGCGTGCCCAGGACGCAGAGATGCGCTAACGTAACAAGGGTGACGTACCAAGATTTCTTGAGCAAATCTTGGTTCGGCCAAGGAGGAGATGAGAGAATGTCCTACACGTGTTGAACTGGAATCCGTTCATGGGCAGTGACGCAAGGGTACCAGCGGCTCGGGTCAAGCAAATAGACGGGAGAACGTGGCATTGCGTGGGTGGGTAAACCGGAGTAAATTGAAAGCCAGGTACACGGCAACATAGATAGCGACTCATGTACACAGGTGTTGTCTGGCTGACAATGCCTCCGGTCCGTAGGGCAGGTGATAGACTCAAAGCATAAACTTTAACGCACCGTAGCAGAAAGCACCAAGCAGTCCTCGATAGGAAGTCGATTTAATTGATCCCCGCGGATATGACATGCCATCCATCCAGCCATGGGGCGGTGTGCACTTGGAGCAATTGCAAGGAGGCTTATCGCTGGCCATCTGCAGTGCTCGTCGGCTGTGCCTCTATGTCTGATGGCGCCCTGCAGGATCATGAAGACCATGCGGACGCTGGACGCGGGGTGGATAGCTTGTACCGCCGCAGCGCGAGATATACAGACGAGCAAGATGAAAAAGTAGACACTACAGCATGGGCGGGATATCTGAGGGCACGAGCGGCGCAGCACTGAGACGAGGTCGAGCATGTACGCGCGTGCAGAGATCGAGCTCCGCGCATAAATGTAAGTGCGAAATAGAAGCGGAGCTTCAATCATGCACTTAAAGTTAAGGCACACGCGCTTGCCGTAAGCAAACCCCGCGCCGCGGCGCGCGCCAGATACTTCCGTCGTTGCCTCCGCCACAGCCAGCTCGAGTCCCTCGGACGCCACCCTCGCTGCCGCCTCCTTCGACAAAAAAGAGCCATTTACCATGCTCTATCGGACGCCATGTCGACTTCATCTAGGGCTGGCTTCGCTCGCTAGCGTGACTCGTGGCTGATATCGCCGTGGCGATCCGACTTCTTGCGCAATTCCCATTTTAACCGCGCGGCGCGGGAAGCATCCATCCTGTGTTGCGCAATCGCGACATGTCGATGCTTCCCTTCCTCCCGGAATACACCGTTTCCATCGACGTGGCTCGGCGTCCCCCATCACTGCCGGCAAAACGCGACATGTTGACTTTCTGATTTTTCCGAGGACCCACGAGCTCTCGTACGTTCTGAACAGTTGTCTTGAGCGCTTCCGTGATACTTGAACCAATCGCCAGCATCGCCGTATTAGGTGGACTATAGTGCAGAGGAACTTGCCGAAGGGGTAGTTCTAACGGCCCAGAACTGTCGATCGCCCGTGTGCCACGGGCAACATTCGCACATGCTCGAGACTCTCGTCAAGCAATGCCCCGAATCGTGATCTTGACCGATAAACACCTCTGATTGCCATACGGGGGAGACATTCTCCGCCGCTGTCAATAAGGAAGTGCATCACTTGCGCTTGAGAGGACTCAGAAGCGACCGTGAGACATGAGGCCAGGCCGTTCTCTCGCAGCAAGATCTCTCTGGTTAGTCCGCTTCGGCGACGCCGCACATTTGGCGAGCAGTGACTATTTTATTAGACAAGATGATGCGGTGCAACCGGCGGCATTTGGAGATGTGGGAGCAGACTGAGCCCCAGCCCACAGCGCGAGTTCCCGTGTGAGAGTGATGCCTCCAGCTGAGCGGCGCTAGGTCGGACCTGACATTGAAATGCAAGATCGGCAAGTAACATCGCGGGCAACGCATATTCTTTTCTCTTCCATAATATATGATAATAAATAACCGACGCTCGCTCGTTGTTGTCCCGTATATATCGCGGCCTCTCATTTCATTTCTTTTTCCCCAGTTCCCCACCATCGACGACTCCACGTCAGTGTCCTCGATCTCTCATCCACGCTCTCCTCCTCAGCGTAGCAGCATGGATTTGGATGACCTCCCGACATTGTAAGTCTCTCTTATCGGTATACACGAATTGCAGGTTGAGTCTTCGATGAACGTGTCACCAGTGACGTTCCGCTCCCTTCCGATCCATACCCATTTCTGAACGATGACGGGGCTTACGCGCTTCCCCCACATCCCATTCTGGTCACGATTTCGGAGGACTTCAAGCAATGGCTACGTTCGACTGCACTACAGGACCATGCCGTTGACGCGCTCTCACCCGACATTGCCAATGCGCTTGTGCTGCTGTGCGACTCTTACCGCATGGTGTACGTCAGCTCATGCCCGCCACCGTACTATCCGCAGCCTCCTCCAAACCCAGCAGACCCCCCTCTTGGCGCGCCACCGACCTTCATTCCATCGGCTGACTATGATGCTCAGGGCGCTGGCCCGAGTGCCAACGCGACAGCAAACTCGCTTGCGTACGAACCCGAGGATTACCCCACGCCCGAGTCACTTCCCGCGGAAGATGCCGGAGACCAGTTGAAATGCCACTGGAACGACTGTCAGCTCGCCTTCGAGCAACCAAAGCCACACAGCATCGAGCAGCATCTCGCGATAAAGCACTTCGGGGAGACTTTGAAACGTGTCAAGAACGTGAGATGCTTGTGGAGAGATCAAGATGGCCGCATCTGCATGAAGAAGATGAGTTCGGGAAACGTTGGGAGACATATCGCGAACAAGCATCTGAAGACGAGCAAAAGGACCTGTCCTGTGACTGGGTGCCGGAAGACCTACAGCAGAAGTGACGCGTTAAAGCGCCATATGGAGGATAAGCATCCCGACGTACCATATCATGCTACGTAGGTCCCTCCAAGTGTACCTCGACCATTATGGCCTGACCATGACCTTCGCACAGGCCGCAGAGCATGGTGCCGGACGAATAGATCTTGACGAAGCCATGCTCATCGCCTCTTAAAATGGTACCATGCGGGTGCCGCGTTACAAGAGTCGCTCGTCGATGCCTCCTCGTCGCCGACATAGCCTAATGCTTGACATGTGCCAAGTCGGTGAGGGGGGACAGTGGATTGAGAGGACCACCGCGTTCGATAATTTGGTTTCGTCCAACGCGCTTCTGCTGTGCCATGCTACTTTGAATACCCCCCCTTCAGCCTAGACATCCACCTCAACGTTGAATACTCTGCCCCACTCATGTATGTTAGTGCACGGAAATGAATGCACGCACTCCGTGACCACCCCCCAAAGAGGCCAAGCCATCCCCATGGGAATCATGACGAGCTGATAAGTGAGGGATGAGCCGGTGGGGCTGTGCCTTGCCAGCATCGCCTCGAGCAGTCGTCATTGCAAATCTGACAGAAAAGTGACCGATCGTCGACTCATTGCTGTTGAGGCAGACGCATAGTCGATATGCTGGACGCCAGAGCTAGAGTAACATGTGAGCCAGGCGTTTTCGCGAGCAAGATGTGATGATCGTACATGGGAAGCTGAAGCGGTGAAGTTCACTAAAGGCGTCGGGTCGCCGGGGTGGCTGAGTAGGTATATGACAAGGAATAACCGACTACCGAGGATCCCCTGTATTCGGATGTCGTCTTATATTCAGAAGAACAATGCTGTCCATCGTCATGACTCGGAGCCATGCAGGCAACTCCTCAAAGATACTGTATTCCCAATTTCCCTCCTCAGCGGTGGCATGCCCTTCTGAGCCGGCCAAACTAACCACATCCCCCTAGTCAACTCATGCCAGCCTTGCCACGTCGGGAAGGTGAGCTCACATGTTCATCACACCATGTAAGAAAGCTCGTCAAGGATATCGAGCAAAATAATTGGCATTCAGAGCTAGCCGAGACGACTCGGCGAGTCACTACCTGTCCTTGTGCGCGCCTAAGCGTGGTTGAAGTTTAGACGCACGCGTTGAGCGTCTGTCGCTGAGCGCTCTGCCAACCGGCGCCCGTCGTGGAAACTGCCGCGGTTGTCGAGTCCTCGAAACTTCTTCCCCAATCCGGGTATAGTATGCTTCCATCCCCACTACGAGGACCCTGCCTCAGCGCGCAGCAGCTGTTCCCCGCTGCTTTTGCGTTGCATTTCGCTTTCATAGCCGATATTTTGGAAGTGGCAGCCCAGATCAGGGCCTGTACATCCTTCGCTATGGCGTTGTTGGAACATCTGATCGCGGAGAGATAACATAAACAGTATGCAACGACGCTCCGTGGCGAGTCTCTGTTTCTGGGTTTCCAGACCGGAAGGGGGGGACGGGGTCTACGTCCACAACCACCATGGTGGCTTCCTCATTTGAACACTATGCGAGGTATGTCATCCCGCGTTTCGATCAGGTGCGAGGCCTGCATTCGATTCGATTCGTGCTGAAGCCCTCATTGCCTAGAGCAAGGCGCGACTAACTGGGCATCGCCGGAGCCCTGTCGTAAAGAACATCGGTTACGGGTACTCCTGGCCGTTCGGTGTATCTACTCGGCCATCTCGCATTTCAAGTTTCATAAATGCGATCTTGCATGTCGCGACGCTATTTGGTCAGGCTCCTGATAAATGAGACATGTCTGACGCTTTACGAAATTTAGGTCGACCCTGATGCGTTTTCATGGGCGTTCATGTCCCTGATAGGATCCTCATGAATACGAGGCTTTCCCTGGCATGGCGCTGAAATTATTGCGGATCTTGCGATATCCTGTTACAATGTCCGTGAGAAGCACCTCCTCGGCACGCCACTTCGTGCTTCTAGTGGATCAAGGCACGCTATTGACAATGGAATGCGCATTTGTATTGCTTGCATCCTGGCGCTTCGTATTAGATGCAATGACAATAATGCTACCCGCAAGACCTGTCCTCCGCAGACCATTCCTGGCAAACGCTACACCGAGCGTTGCAGTTTTTGGACGACTTAATTCTGCGATCATCGCTCGCTTCGCTTGCCTTCTCGAAGCTGCAAGACCCCTTGGCAGCGATATTAAATTCGGGCGCCTTCCTGACGTGACGGCACCTGTCACTTCTGACCGCGGATTCTTGCGCTCATCCATCATGGAGACGGGCGTTCTCACGTCGACGACGAAGAATAGCTCCATATTTGTCCACTATGCAACGCCAGAACGGACTTCCGAGAAGAAGCCACTTCGTTCTGCCTGGTTTAATGTAACCTAACCCATCTCGCCTATCTATTCAGTCCGTTCCATCTGCATGACGACTGATGTGCAAGTGGGCCTCGAGTTTTCCGCGGCTGTGCACGCTGAATTGCCCATTCCTCTTCCGCCCTCGGATTATTATCTCATTCAAGGTTCTCCGAGATCTGCGCTGTCCGGATGTGGAACAAGCTTCTCACAGTCTTCTGGCAAGCGTTTCCGGTCTCGGGCCTCATGCTTTTCACAGTCCCGTCGTGGAGCGATGTAAATGATCTACCAATCAGCCATCGTCTTCCAATTGCATTTGGAGTGTCATCTGACGTTTCACAGAAAATCAGAAATCCCACTAGTACCCCGCGCTCACGCACCTCACCGACCCTCTGCGGAGGTGAGCTGTGGCCGCGTCGGACCACGGCCGCGTCAGACTCATGTATGCGCGGCCCCACAGAGAGCAGTACTGCAATTCCCGTCATACCACCGGATCGTTTCAAGTGGCCATGTCGCCTATACCGCGGTCATCGATTGGCGTGTTGCCATCCGTGCATCACGAATGGAAGCATCCATGTTGGTCAGGGCTGAGTAGATGCGGTGCCAGAGCCTATCAAGGAACGAACTTCGATCGTCGCTAGTGTGTGATAAGCCCGCAGACCACCGAAACGTGCACCTGCGCTGTCAGACCACTGTGAGAACGATATTCCCCTTTCCCAGATGACAGGGCTCACATGAAACGATAAGCGAGGCGATGGTACCACGGGACGTCACCTACGTGGTAATTGAACTTTCGATGGTCATCTACGCTCAAAATAGCGATTGTTTTACGCTTGCGCCCGCTCCCGCGAAGTTCTTGATGCCCTGATTGCTTCTGAGATCCTCAAGCTAGGTCGAAGGCACCTTCCGTCCTCCTTCTCCCGCTAGTGGTCGGAAAATCCGCATCTACATCCCCACATCGGTCCTTCGCTGCAAGTCGCACCGATGCGAGGCGAGGATACGCTTTGTCGGCGGTGCCCCCTCCGTTTCATAGGAGTGAGAACAGACCGATGTTCCCGACCACTAGAAGCCTGCTGTGCAAAGAGTTTGATGATCATTCCCTATTTGGTTCGAAGGTTGTTGTTCTTACGTTCCTTATCACATCGCCTTGTGGAATCGGGGGGACGTATGATGGAATTCGCACCGCCATTATAGTGACGCGGACCCGCAAACGTGCATGTTTCAACACCATTGTCCGCTTTGTCTAATCAGATGAAGGGGGGATGCGAGAATCGCGGTCGGTCACGGTGGTTGACCGAGGCAGTGTCCGAAACAATCGACGTCACCTGACCCGAGGATCCGTGATCGCCGCTACAAACTTGGATCGTCGACACTGGACAGTGTCGACTCCGCATCACCGGCGGCATGGTCCATATCTATGTACCCGGTTCATGCGCTATACACTGCTCCTCAGATACAAATAATAGGGACTGTTCGAAAAGGTATTACGGTACGTCGCCCATTTCCGCCGCACGCCTGCTAAGCGCTCTTTGAGCGCTGCGCCGACAAGCACGGTGCGGACCGCAGGGAATGGAGAGCGACTTTGGCCGCATCGCTTAAGAGGTTTTTGGATACTCGCATTCATAGCATCGGGTATGGTCGGTCGGCTCTTGTGAAGGGAACTGGCAGTGCTCGGACCGCGTGCGCGGTTTGACAGACCGTCCAGTTATCGTGGCGTTGCGGACGGCCGGTTACTTTTCGTTCTGCGAGCGTGCGCGCGCCCGAGTACATCAGCTGTTCCTGTGATTCTATTCTCTTCATTCTGGAATACACAGCAAGCCATTATGAGGAATACTAGAGTTGGTTAGCGGCGCGATTGTGGGTGTGGAGGCGCTACGGCGCGTATGCGCTGGATGCGCAAGGCGGATAAATAGCCAAAGATGTGAACCGCATTCATTACACTTTTCCCTCCACCCCTCTCCTCCCTCTCCCGTCCAAAGCGCCGTCGTTCCGTGGAGGAATCCATATTATCCCATATCCACCGTCCCGTCCACAATCCAGCTGTCCTCAGGTGAGTTCCGCAAGTCGATCGCGGTGTTCGCACGTCTAATGTACAGCACAGACAGCCCCGCCTCGTCGCCGGCATCATAAAGGCATTCGTAACTCGAGTTCCTAACATCTCAGTATGTTGTTCTCGATTACCGCACGAGACTCGCGTATTCACGGGAATTGTTAACCAATTTCGTCAGCTACCCCTCCCAACTCTCATCCTTCATCACCATGGCCAACGCGACGTCTTTCCTCATCTGCCGTTGGGGCAACTGCGGCGCTCCCCTCGCCGAATGCACAGCAAGCGCAGTGGAAAAGCACCTTAAGGAACGCCATTTGAGCCCATGGGACGCGAGGAACCGCACCCGCTGCCAATGGAACGTAGGAGGATGCGGCTGTGCAATGACCGATTTGGAATACGCCCGCTTAGGCCAACACATCTCCAGGACACACTTGAACCACTGAAGCTGCCGGTAGGGTGTCAAAGAGTTTTTTTTCTTCCTTCGATGTTCTTGCTGCATGACACTGTTTGCCCTCGATACCCACATGCGATGGACAGTTACGACCTTGGATTTTGTTATGACACGTCCGTTGTGTGCTTGCTGTATACAACCTTACGACATTTACCGCTACGCATGCTTGTTTTATGTTATTTGTCCAGAAGTTCCCTCTGAGGGACGCCTTCGATGTGACGAAGCGATCGATAGCAGGGCCCCATGGTTGGCGGTCGAAAGGGGCGCAGAAAAGTGACAGGCGGGGTTTTTTTCTTTATGTGTAAGTTGTCTCTATGCTATCCAGCGCTCGGACACACTACCATGAGGTCTGTGGTTCGCTCAGTAATCTGCTGATCGTAGATGACAATTAGACTAGACGCACACGAATTACGCGAGAAGCGATTTTAGGCGACAGTCCCTCGGTTCTTCTAGTACACGCTTCTCGGGGTCTTCCACGCGGAACGCACGCATTCATCGTGTGCGCCACCGTTTGCGCGCGTCGTGGTCTTTTGGTGCTTTCGGCCCGTGACGATCGTGCAGTGGATATCATGTCGTCCGTGCCGCGCCATCAAAAACGTCCGAGGCAAAGAGAGACAGATCTATACCGGTCGTCCTGCCAAGGCGGGAAATATATTTTGGCGCATGACGGTGATCAAACGGAGGCAATCAAACGAGGGGCCGTGTTGAGACGGTGAGTTACTCGATCAAGCGATCCAGAGAAGTCTGAGGCGGGGCGAGGGGCGCGGGACGTCCAATCGTCGGGCAACGGAGTGGGATGCAACGGTCAAAGCCGCCAACCTGCCTCCACCCGTTAAGTTATAAGTACGTGGGCGAGCGACCATCACCCACAGCCGCAAACTGAACCTGGATATCGGACGCCACATCGGTGCGGATGGCAGGCGAAAGATCCGGACATGAAAATTTGCTGCCAAGGATAATAGCCAAATTTGTCCGACTCCTCAGGGTCGCGGATCAATCAAGGCGAAAAAGGCATCACGTGCCGCACTGCCTACCAGTTCGCGAAGCGCGACTTTGAGGCTCTGTCGAGCAAGCAACTTGGTCGAAAACCACAATATTGATGTCCGATCCCTGCGGAGAATTTCAAACGTCGTATATTCTGCCTTTTCGTCAGAAAAACGACTCTCTTCTCAATTAGGGTGGCTGCGTTGTTCTAGCCGGAAGCAAATTTTCAGCACGTGAACCACACAAAGCCTTCGATCTCGTAAAAACGACGTTCTTACGTTGCAACGCCCAATTTCAATGGGTGAGGTGCGTGTATTTCAGGCGAAGTAGGTGACGTCATTTTTAAATGAATTATGATGTAGCACTGAATCCGAATGTGAATTGTCAGAATTCTATATCAGTTCAAGCCAAATCAAATATGACCGTGCTCATTTAAATCGTCGCAGGAAACACAAATGCTCGCCATGTCGAGAAGACGCACGCTGAAACGTTCACCGGTAAAGAGGCGCTTCCTGACAACTTGTTATTTATTATCACGATATAATAAGCAGGAGATTCACACCACGAGGCGCCACCGGACTGATCCGCCCATTTAAGCCTCACAAGCGAGGCCGTGTCTCCCACACGACTCCCTCTATTCTCCCACCACCATCTTGCGCGTGCGCTGCGTACGCCCCCGCAGGGCAGCCGCGCTACGTCAACTACCACATAACTACGCAGAACCCATGTCATTTAACGAACCATCCGACTCGGAAATGAGCAGGTATGGTCCACAGCGCGCGTGCGTCCCAGGACACCATCGCTAAACAGCGACGCCATCATCATCAGATCCCACTCCATTGTACCCGCGACAGCACCGGGACCGCAGGATGGATATCCAGATGCATATCTGGCTCGCATGCGGCCAGATGCCGGTGCGGTCACGCAAGGACGCGCGTGCCCCGTGCTGGTCTCCCTCTACGGCCTCCCCGCACCCGCGCCCGTGCTGGATCTCCCCGTCGCCGTGTACGCGGACTTTCTCGCCTGGCTCCTGGGCGGCTCCCCGCAGGAGGTCTCGCGCGACTCGTGGATGTACATGCTGCGTCTCTGCGAGCATGCCGTCGCGGGGCTCGAGCGCGTCGAGAGTGTCTCCCTCGCGGGGGCGGCGTCTTTTACCGGCGGCAGCCAGCCACATCTGGAGGTGGGGGGGCTGGGCCTGGAGGGCCCGGGGCAGGCGCATGTCGATCTGGATCAACATCAGCGGGCGGTGCAAGGCGACGGTCTCTTCGCTCCACAGCCTGTTCTTGCGGGCTCGCTGCCTATCGCGTCCCAGGGAGCCTCTGCGATGTCTGGAAATCCGTTCGGAGTCAACGTTCCCGCTATCGCTGTCTCTGCACCGTCCCTCGACCACGTGCATCTGAACCACACTCACTATTCCTTGGGTCCGTCTTTTGGTCCGTCGCACTCGCAGGTCTCGCAGGGCCAGGCTCTCGCGTCATCGCACTTGCAACCCCCGATTGGTCCGTGCCCCACCCCGTCGCTCGCGTTCACCCCTTCTTCCTCGGGGTCCGTCGAGACCCCTGCTCCCACGACCCCCGGCGCTTTCCAGTCCACCGTCCACTGTAAGTGGGACAACTGCGGCGCCCTGCTCGAGTCTACCCAGCATTCGGCCATCGAAGCCCACCTGCGGGAGGCGCACCTGCCCTTGTGGCGCGACGTGGAGGACAAGCGGCTCAAGCAGCGTTGCCTCTGGCCGGGGTGCTCGAACCGGAGAGAATTGTTCTACAGCGGACTTGCGAAGCACATCGCGACCTGCCATTTGCACTCGACGGTGAGCAAGTGCCCGCACTGTGACCAGCAGCTGTCGAGGGGCGACTCGATGGCGCGGCATGTCAAGTCGCAGCATCCTACGCCCGGTGTGGGTGTGGGCGGGGGCGGGGTGATGCAGTGAGTGGTGCGCTCGATCCGTGAGAGGCGATGTGAGGGACTGCTGATGAGGCTACTGAGCATCGAGAGCGCCGCGCGGCTGTGCTGTGCCGAGTGCACGACGCCGCGTGTTGTACCACTCTGCACCACCAAGGTAGTTGATTCTGGATTTTATTCGTTTACGGGTCGTACTCGGGCTGTACGGTGCTCCCATCGTTGAGCCTGCCTGCTGTCCGCTGTTGTCTTTTCTTTCTGTGTCACCGTCGTTGCGGCCTGGAGCTGCACCATGGAGCTGCGTCAGACGCCTCCTGACGAGTGTGCTTACGTGTTTATCTTGTTGAGTGCTGTCACATAAATGTTGTGTCGTATATTCCATCTCCTTGCTTCGCTGTCGTGCTTACTGTACATACTACGCACGAGCCTTGTATTACGTCCACCAACCCCGGTATAGCTAGTACAGTGATGACACATACTACGTTGGAGATCTGTAGCATGATCGTCCTGTACAGTAGATTCCGTGTTATCTGTTAATCAATTACAAGTTCTTCACGCATATCGCCGCAGTCTGTCAAGTGGCCGTCCGTACAGGTTGTTTCGTGCGGACATCGTACATGGTGTGATGACCGTATAAGTTCAATATCAGCGGCTGTGACGAAGGCACAGCGGCGCGGCCGTCACTCATACCGTATGCGCTACCACAAGCCTCGTGAATGCGGTTTGCTGAGTACAAAGTAGGCAAGGGACGTTCGGGGATAGGATCGCTGCATCTCCGAGGCGGCGGCAGATCAGGCCTGGGTCTGACGGCCGCAAGGGTTCTACTCGCCTGTTCGACAGCCTCGGACGCCCTGTGCATCCTCTTTGACATCTCTATTTCTGGCATGGCTTGGCACGATAAGATGTGACTTCGCGAGGCGAGGAATACCCGACACCGATCCGAGACCGTCGGAAGGAAGGAAGTGGTTACGGCAATGACTTAATGGTTCTCTAAGGAAGAGGTCTAGGTAGGTAAGAGGCCGCATGTATCGCGGCGTCAATCTGGGCCCTGAGCGTTGTCTAGGAAGGTATTTCTAGCCGGCTTCGTGGTTCAGGGTCTTGTATTTCGTGCGGTGATCTGCATGGAAGCTGGGGAGGAGAGAGGCCTTGATGGGGAGTTGGAGCTTCGTCCGAGCACGCTCGGACGAAGCACGGACGTGAGAATCTTAGGCTGACGTTGTGGCCCTCAAGTTTGAAATTCGAACTCTCGGGTCGGGGTTAGACGGCTGATATTGGTGAACGTCGCTGGATGTGCACCGCCACAGTCACTTTTACTGACGTGGACAAAAATGGATAAGCTCGTCCTCACCTAGCACCTTGTCCTCTAATCAGGCGCCTGGTGATCTTGTGAGGTAGAGGTTGGCGCTTGGAGGCCTCCGTGCTGGTCGGAGCGGACGTAGGGCGTGCCGAATGCCTTGGACGGGCTTGATAACGAAATGCTGCGCTGCGTTGCATCTGACGAATGCGTCCACCGGATTCGGCGGTGCGACGCCCATAATGTCAGGTGGCTCGATGAACTCGCAAGGTCACCGGGCTGTGACGACGGGAGCTACTTGTACGTTCCAGCCCCCGCGCATGGAATAGCCACAGCCCCGGATGCAATCGTCGCAGATCACCAGACTCAAGCGAGAAGCGCCTTGGCTCTCGAAGCCTCCACCGTCGATCGTACAACACGCGCACCGGCTATGCAAATGCAGGCCGGCTGGTGGAGAGAGATTGAGATTGGATCCGCGGCATTGTTGTCTAGATCGGAGTAGATCCGCGTGAGGTGGCCGCGATCGACGGCAGATTAGTCTCTCCTCTTAGCCATGGCCAATCACAGTCCCCCGATTCACCTGCGCATGCCCCCCTTCCACGTTAATCCTTCAACCTTTTCCGGTGTGCATACGTAGCTCGCCGCGATATGCCGTCCTGTCTCCAGATCTATGGCCTCCTTCGTCGACTCCGCTATGCAAGCTACCTCCGACGCCGGTCCCTGCCCAATATAGCACCTGCGAACATTCTCCAACCTGAATAACTGACCGCCCGAGTAAAGGCGGGCCTTTGAGCGATGAAAGCAGCTGAAGGAAGCTTTGACTCGATGTAGGAGGTGGACATGTTGATAATAACCCCCAGGGTTTGTCGAGTGTCTCTTTATGACGCGGCATGCAGGTCTGTGATACCTCGGTTCTGCGTGCATGATTACAACCATGACATCGAGCAGCGAAATTCTCACCTATCTCGCTGGTTCTCGAGCTCGAGGCATCGCCTGAGTAGGCGCCGTCGCGGACGATTGAAGTTCGGGTACATCACTTCTGATCATACACTACCGAAGTGCGCGATATTCATTGTCTCGGCACGGCGAACGTTCATCTAATTCGCTGAATGCTTCTTCATAACCCAATATGTCCCTTGCGGCAGTCGATAACAACGCTGGGAAGCCGAGCTTCGTGGGTGCCTTCTAGACGTTCAGACGAAGACATTGATGTTGCTTTCGTGTTCGTAGTGGCCGAATAGCTAGGATTTGAAGCGACTGCTAGCTTCAATTACAATGCGCAGCGAAGATGTCAATGTAATCCGGGTTCGAATGCGCATTGACCGAAGCACCCACTGCTGGCATGAGAAGCCGCTGCCAGAGCACAGCCAGGCGCGCGAGAAATGAGAAGCAGGAGCGGGAGCTGTTGCAACACAACATCTAAAGGTGTCTTAGGCGCGCGCAACGCTGTATGAGGTGATGTATTGACAAGGTAAAGTTGATTGAATGCGCACGATAGTCCGCGGACCCGCTCACGCAGAAGGCCTTCCTCTTCCAGCTGCGCACTGTTACTCCGCAGGTGCTTGTGTTGCCTGTGTGACATCGATGAAGTAGTACTCAGCGTTCATTGGGTTCTTAAAGAGCACCCTTGACCTGTCCCCGGATATACGATGGATGAGATCGTAGGGGCACGGAGACCACGGTGCATACGGAGGACAAGAACATACATTAATTCTTCTCGCAGAACAAAGGCCAGAGCTCCGCGACTTCAAGAGCACGACAAGCGTAGACCTGCCGTGCAGAACCCAGAATCAGGTGTGAGAACGAGGCGTTGGCAAAGGCAAGACCATCATGACGCGACGCGACGATATAACGACAGCAAGTGCGGCCCTGACGTGTATTCCGACTTTTACACCTTTCCATCTTTCTGCGCGCAGTTTCTTGTGCGAATTCCCGTGGTTTTGAAAACAGCTGTCAATTGCAAGACCGTTGCCTGGAGGCTGGCTGCAGTTGCTCGCAAGTAGCCGCCCGCCATCGATATCATTTGCGTGACAGACGCGTGTGGTCACGCGTGACGGGACGCGTCATTGGTCTTTCGCACTTCAAGCAACTCGTTCCGCGTCAACTTGACGAATCTCGACAGACTATCCGGATTAAAAGCTGTTTGCCGCCTTTGCACTAGAGCACGGAAGAGGAAACGGAGCAGCATCGTGCCGTCTGACTCGGACTTTTTCGATCTTTTGGAACTTTGAGGCGGTGAGGACGTCCGGGCCAATGCCTTATTCCCAGATCTACAGAAAGGGGGCACAGTTTCCCTCGGTTTTCCGATTTCCTGTGATTTTACGTCTTTTGAAAGCTCGCATCGCGTATTGGAGACTAACAGCGGCCATTATGACATCCCACGCCTATGCGGAAGCCTGAGCTTCTCCGTGCGATGATGAGCGTCCCACCGCACGTCGTTTGTGGGTGGTTCTCGCTTTTCGAAGTTTGTCTCCCTGATATCAAGGTGAGAACGCTGCGAAGGGATTTAGGGCGGAGCGTTCGGAGAAACGGGATCTGTTTTTATCGAGGTTCGTCTTCTCATGCCTGCGTTCATATCGGTTACTTGACTGCTCTTCATATCCTCGAATTTGCCTGGCATGTGAACATTGGAAACCACGCTAATGTGACTGGGATACGTTGGCATCAGCAGTTTTCGCTTGTCAGCAGCGACAAGTCTGGTTTCCATTCTAGTCTAGACAAAATCCCGGGTCACTACTAGTCATCTCGTGATGCGATATGACGTTACTAAGGCGATATTGAAGTCATAATGAGCACGCACGCAGCTTCGGACTATGTTATACGACCTTGACGCTCGGGGCGCACACATGGAGATCAAACGGCGTTAATGTGTTCAATAAGACGCATTAAATGTGAGTCCCGTTGCTGTTGGTGTTCGTAATTCGTCGCGCCTTCCCCCCTTATACACCCGCCTTCTTTCCGAAAAAACCTGAAACATATGTTAACTGTCTCAACGAGTTCCACAACAGATTCTTTTCAGATCCATGGGAACCGGTGCGAGTTACCTTGTCCTGAGGGCAGTTGCTAACCGATTTTGTCTCCCCTGTGAATGTGTTTAAATTGCATGAGCTGGATGGAGATCTTGTATATCGATCCTGTGAGTCCAGCCAGCGGCTTACATGCATCCTCACACTAAGGATTATGCCATCTCAGACTCAAGTCTACGGAAAACATTGAAATCTCTAGGCCAAAACAGTGAGTGAAGGAAATTAGCACTAAATCCTGCCCTTTCTCTTTTGCTTGCGCAAGGTCCCGTTGGTTTGCTTCGTTCGCAACTACAATCGCAGAGAATCAAGATAGGATGTAGGCAAAATAAAGATTGTACCACGCAACTTGTTGCACTCCATTTTGTAGATGAAACACTATATGCAAATACTGAGGCAATTTCGTTCTGGGGAAGTTTCGATCGACGAACTGGGGAGTTGAAAGTCGAGGTGATCGTCCTGAGGGGGATCCATCGGCATTCTGTGACCCCTCTTTTTGGAGTTCGTAATGTGGATGAAGTCCTGTAATTGTCATCAAAACAGTTGTCTATAGAATGAGCAAAAGGATGTCAACGTTATCGCAGAAGTTGCACTAACTCGAAGTTGTGCGCGGCATCATGATTATGCAACATGAACGATATGATGGGAGCGAGTTGCAACTACGAAGAATGAACGACTAGAGCGACAGTCTTCTCCAAATCTGCTCTACACACGATATAGGCTGTTAAATTGCAATAAGAGCTGCGAAGCGTGTGGATTCTCGAACGGAGCCAATTATGGGCCCGGATGAGCGTCTATGTCAGGACTACTTCAAGTTTACGCACCTCACCATCTTGGAGCCTTCATGTCTCTTAACCGCATTCTCAGGCATTTACGACCGTTCGAATTATCTGCACGACATCTTTCGATCGTATCTAATGTACTTACGCTACCTGACACTACGGACCAAGAGGCACTTCATCAGGAAAACGTCACTTTTTCTTTTTTGCTTCTTTTGGTACCTTTTTCTTACAAAAAAGGCAGAAAAGAGAACAATGTAGAAAAAAGCGTGAGGATCGGCTGATTCCTCACTTTCTCATGGCCTTGACGACGCTTGGCAACACTGATTTGCCCAAAAAGTTGTCATCAAGTCCATTAAAGGAACAAAAGCCCGGAAGCCTATCAGGAAATTCCAAAGGCAGATTCTCTAACCTTTTGTCCTTGAACGGACTTTTCACAAACTTTCTGATCAGAAAGCACCCAAAAAGCGCTCAAAAAGAAGCAGATAAGGCAAATTCAAGCCGATCCTCACGCTTTTTTCTACATTATTTTCTTTTCTGCCTTTTTTGTAAGGAAAAGGTATGAAAAGAAGCAAAAAAGAAAAAGTGACATTTTCCTGATGTTCGACGCCACACCTCAAATCGCTGGCTCTACAATGAACAACTATGTGAGTTGACTTCCGTAAATGTGCTAGATCACAGTATCAAAGTTGTTTTACGGAGCTTTCGCGTCGCTATGTGAAGTTTGATCCTCAGGCATTAGGACGAGTTGCCGCAGGTGCCGTCGGCTCCAGCGCCATACGAATTGATAAAGTCGCAGAAGGTGAAAATTCATGACCGTGATTACATTGCATTGTCAATGATAACTATATACCAGGCTCCACTAACAATATTTTTCTTCTCAATTTTCAGAACGCACAAGAAGCTATCGCTCATCTACCGTGCCCTTTAGCCGGACCTCCACACTTGATCACCGCATCGGAAGTCGCCACTATGGAGTTCGCAAGAGAGGTCATGAAGATACCCGTGCCAAAGGTTCTCGGTTGGAGCTCTCGCGCCAGTGCAACGCCGGTTGACGCTGAATTTATCATCATGGAAAACACGCGTGGCGTCGAGCTGGCTACACTGTGGCCTGAGATGAGAGGGGCTGAGAACAACACTGATTGAACAACTAATGGAGATTTAGAAAAAATCTATAGCCTTCCGCTTGTCTCACTATGGGAGCCTTTTGTTCAAGGAAGACGTGGTGGGTTACCCACATACCACCGACGTCTTTGCGGATCCGACCGCTCATCCTAATGTTCCATCAAAATATGCCATCGGGCCTTGCGTTTCCTGGGATTTATGGCGAGGCGAGCGACAGCAGATGGATGTTGACCGGGGACCCTGTTCGTATTGTGGCGCGCTCGCTCCCGTCTTCAACGTTGCTGACCAGTCTATTAGACAGGGAAAGATGCATTTTCGTATATCTCAAGCTTTTTCAAATGTGAGCAGCAATGGCTTGCCCGATTTGCCAAGCCTCGCGACCCGTCGGATCCATTCTATCTGAGCACCGAGGATAATTCGCCGGCCGCCCACATCGCTGTCCTGGACCAATTCCTTGCCTGCCTGCCTCACATTATGCCGGATCTGGAGCTGCGTTATCCGGCACTATGGCACACCGACTTGTATCGAAGCAACATCTTCGTTGAGTCGCCACAGCCCACCATTTTGGGCGTCATTGGCTGGCAATGGACAGATATTGGGCCTTTTTATGCACAGGCGATATTTCCAAAGGCTTTTGTGTACGGTGGAGACTTGTAGACCTCTCGTCAAATTCTTACGACGGACCCCGACTTCCTGAAGACCTTCCGCTGGAGGAACGAGAGCTCGTCAGGATGGAGCAAAATGAGGCATTCGCAATGTGCTACCAGCAGACCTTGATCACAAACACACCTCCTTGCGCAGCAGTCATGTCAACCCCATACCTTTCGACTGTAGTGGACCCTGTCTCCCGCGTAGTACGCGCACGTGGTACAGCGGCATCGTGAGCATGCAGGTTCTTCTGCTCGATATACAGGTCACTTGGGATGAAATCGCACCAGCTGGCACGCCGTGCCCTCTCAATTATACGAATGAGGATGCGGAGCGGATTCTGAGCCATGCAGTGCAGGAGCGCGACTACGAGAACAATATCGAACGGCCGAAGGCTCTTTTGAATGTACAGATTGATGGGAAAGTTGATACGGAGCAGTACGATGAGGTGCTGGGCCGAAAGTGAAGAGATGAAGGCTCTGTGGGATTCTAAGGAATGCGGCGGACTATATCGGTTCCAAGAGGGTGGACAATCGTAGCTTATATGATGACATCTCTGCCTTGGTGCTTACTCTTCGATGGGAAACGACGTTCAAGCCATTCATCTTGAGGAAGAGAGCCCGCCAGTCGCATGACGATAGAATGCGCTCCGAGTGTTGTCCAGTCGCGGATGCTCCGAGTCGCAGACGCAGTAGATGGCGCTGAGCAGTGCGTCTTTCGCGTCCCACCAAATGTAAGGTGTCGCAGAGCGTGCTGTTGAGTTTCGACCTTTTAGATAGGCTAGTCAGAACTCGGGCTCGGACGATTGTTGGCAGCTTACGTGCTGAATGATAATTTACACCCGGTTGTCCTAGTCATCCCACCAGGCTGCTTTGCGCGATAGCATCTAGGCAACCCAGTTAAGGGTAGGCGTGTTTCTCCTATTCTAAGTTCCCACTGTTCTGCTGGCATGCCAGGCCTCCTCACTCTCATATAGGCACGACTCACTGTGCACGCATTTAAGCAATCCGATATTCGTTCGTAATCTCACAGCGAATTGAACTTCAAGCTCTTTCAAGTGCCTCTAGTGGCAGTTCTGGGGCCTGCTTGAGCCATCCGCACTCCATATGAGATATGTCGTGGTTGGGTGATTGGTTCATCACTGGCAGCCGAGTAGATTTTTTTTCTGCAGCAGTTCATCGTGCTAAGAATGAACAAGGAGTGTAATAGTACAGATTCAGTTATTCAGGGGATTCCAAGGGGTGCTGATGCGCATCTCGAAGTGATAGTAATCTTCTACAATCTTGCCGTATGAGGCTCGAACCATGAACACCAGTGACATGCGAAGCCGTGTCACTATATAGTACTTCTTTCAACGAGTTATCTCTGAACAGAGCTCGTCACCAACATTTGAGACACGAGACGTGAAGCCGAACCTATATCACATAGCAATGCTTCCATTCAGGCTCATCATCCCTTCCTAGCACGGCTTTGAGAGCGGCAATCCTCTCTGGGGTGGCCATCGCAAGATAATCAGGGCGGGTGTTGGTGGCGACGGCGAGGAAGAGAAGGCAACCCCATGGACAGTCATGCTTGACCCAATGAACGAAGAGGAATCCTTTGCCAAACTTCTGTCTGATATCGTCGAGCGCGGCGGCGTCCGACCGGCGCACCAGGTTGTGCTCCTTGGAATAGTCGGTCAACCACTCGAGCGGCATGGCGAAGCCGAGGGACATCCTTGGATTCCTCCGCTTACGTCGAGTGCGAGGTTGGTTTGTAGCCGCAATGGGCATATTTTGGGCCTGAGAGGCCGAGACGCCTGTTCTGAGTCAACACAAATGCTCAATCGAAGGAGCACTAACTAGACGGTTTAACTACAGGCGGCGCAGACCGTGGATCGTAGTAGAGCGTCACAGAGGGCGTGACTGTTTGCGCCTCGATCGGACCAGCGCCGCTCTCAGCCAGCGACCCCCACTCCACATTTCCACTTATGGTAATACCAGTTATTTTTGCACGATCATGTACAGATTTGAAATGATAAGAGGCAAAAAGATGAAATAGCCATTGCAAACAACCCGGCACATGACAAGTTTAGGGCAGACAAATGTGAACTTCCACGATCATCCGGCGAAAAGAAAGTGAAAAGTAGCTGAAACTGACCGGGTTCGAACTTGCGACATACAAAATGAAATCGCGGTGGTAGCCACTAAGCTAAGTGACCACGATGATTGTGTTTCTAGTAATATATATCATAAATTATTTTAAGCCAATAATGTCCGTTATGAATATCATCAGTGAGTATCAACACACCCACTCCCCTCATGACAGAAGGTAAATATGGATGTGCTTATGCATTGGACTCATCAATATTATCTGGAAATAACAGTAGAGGCAGTGTAAGGTGGCTTGGGGTGCATGGATGGACCGAACACATTTTGATTGAATTTACACAGAACATATCATTTCCTTTTATGGGAATGTGGAGTGGGGGTGAGCTGGGTCCGCTCTCTAAGCCACCCCTTCCGCTACTTACGGCAATCCTCCCGCCCCGGCCCCCAGCCTGATCCGTCCTGCACACAGAATATATTTTAATTAATCTCTGCAGGAACCTCAGACTCCGTTCTTAACCGGAATTCCGAATATCACGGCGAACACGAATCTGTCCGACTCTATGACACGCTGGCCTGGCTGCCGAGCCCACGTAGTGAATTGCATCGCAGCAAGTGTGCAATATCCCCACGACTCAAACCCTATCGAACCTTATGAAATCGATGATGTCAGCGGGCGGACTGCTATGTCGATCAGTAAGTGTAGTTGACTTCGAGTCAATTTTTGTGCGTCTTGGTGCTCAGTACAATTTGTCGAGCGCGAGATTCGTCAGCAGGACACTGCTGACAGACGATCTTCCTGCGATGCGCCTCGCTGGCAGCTGCTTCGTACTAGTAAGCAAAATATCAAACTTGCGAGCGCTAAAAGTCCCGCTTCGGGTCGTGATCCTCACAAGCTGACTGTCCGGTTACCTCAAAGGCTTACAGCACGATGACTCCAACCAAGCGCAAGCATATTCTCACTTGAGTTCGGACGAAGCACGACCGGTGATTCTCCCGACTTGTTCCTCCAACAGCCGCTGCGAGTGCTTCGCGAAAATGAAGAGAAAAAAATCGACAGACAGTGCCACAACGCTGAACGCTATTGCCCCACATACACATTGTCGACGATGGCTGTCCACGGACCGACAAGATCAGTAATCCTCAGTGCGACGTCCGACTAGCCTCAGCGATCCGGCCGTTGGCTCTTCACCCATGACCCACATTGCAGTGCGCTATTGATTCGTAGTATAGAGGGAGCAGTCCACAGAGAAACGCGTGAAAATGAAACAGGATCGAAACCCCATGTCGTCTAACAGAATGGAATCCCGAGTCGCACTGACCAAGCGCGCAAGTGGTACGAGGAGGGACTCTGGCGCCTTACTTGCTCGCCCGACGGTGCGTCCGAAGCCCGATTGCGGCCCCAATATTCCATATTTCACCCGGGAGAGATGTGGCTGAGAGACTGAGGCGGCACCAGAGAGCAATGGATCCTCGCTGCGTCTATGAAGACGACATGAAAATGGACGAGCGCATATGAGGGATGGCGCGCAATGATCGATGATAGTAAGGCATGCTACGTGTGCTGAGCGAGGGAGGAAATCAGGCAGACCACTACGGTGGGGACGCGATCACGTGCGTAACAGAGTCATAGCACGTGATGGAACGCGGGTGTCGTAACGCATGACGGGACGCGTTATCACGGCAGACATGGTGCGATTTACCAACGTGGAAAATTGTGTGTAAATGTCGACTGATTTCTTACACATGCGACAAATATTTGCAACCACGGCACTTCATGTTGAAAATGTTTCACTTTGGCTGCGAATGTGCATTATTTGCCATTTAAATACTATATTGGCAAATCTTTGTCACAAATGTAAGACATCAGCCGATATTCCCACACTATTTTTCACACTGATAAATCGCATCATGTCTGCCGTGTATGCTCGGACTCAGCTACGACACGGGCGCCTGTTGTGGTTGCAAAGTCAACCAGAACGCTCCGATGCCTTCGTCCATGTAAGTACTTGCGGATGTGTTCATAATTGCAGCAGCTAGTCATCGTTGTGTCCTAGGGAATGTTATTCTACAAACCAACCTCGCACTCGACGTAAGCGGCGGCACCCAAGGATGTCCCTCGGCTTCGCCATGCCGCTCGAGTGGTTGAGAGACTATTCCAAGGAGCACAACCTGGTGCGCCGGTCGACCGGCGCCGCGCTCGACGATATCACACAGAAGTTTGGCGGATTCCTCTTCGTTCATTGGGTCAAGCATGACTGTCCACAGGGTTACCTTCTTTTCCTCGCCGTCGCCACCAACACCCGTCCTGATTATCTTGCAATGGCCACCCCAGAGAGGGTTGCCGCTCTCAAAGCCATTCTGGGAAGGGATGATGAGCCTGGATGGAAGCATTGCTGTGTCATATAGGTTCGATTTCATGTCTCGCGTCTCAAATTTGGTTGACGAGCTCTGTGCAGAGATATCGCGATGAAAGAAATAGTGTACAGTGACGCGGCTTCGCGTGTCACTAGTGTTCACGTTTCGCGCCTCACACGGCAAGATTTGTCGAAAACTACTATCGCTTCGAGATGGGTATGAGCCCCTTGGATTCGCTGAATAACTGAATTTGTACTATTACGCTCCTTGTTCATTCTTAGCACGATGAACTGCTCGAAAAAAGGAGGCCTCGTCGGCTGCCAGTGATGACCCAATTACGTACGGGGAGGTATAGAATTCCTTTTTTACAGTATGCTATCGTTCCTCTTCGCGCTTTGGTTCGTTTTCACAGTGTCTAGCCGACTAACCGATAATGCATACCAGAACTTTTACGTACGTGTGATCAGTCAGTTGTCTTTGACTGCACTCATCATCGAGGGCGAGCTCACTGGAACGTTGTAACATCATGTCCGCTTTGCTGGAAATGTGTTTGTTGACGCTTGCAGATGCTCAAATATGCAGTCCAAAAGTGTCATTTGATAAATTAATGTCACGATGGTGCCGGGGGTTTGCGATCACGACCAGAGTCGAACTAATGGCAGAGCCGATGACCATGACACTGGTTACGCAGCATTAGATGTTCTGTTCTTCCCTTGCGACCATACGATACTGTCACCTGCAGATCTCCTCAGTCTATGATGGCGGCAAGTCTCAGTGAATATCACCTGAGCTTGCTGCAAAATAAATGAGCTTTAAAGAGACCGCGATTCCAAGGTGGTGACCACTGACATCGACATCGTCCTCAGTGCCTCATAAATGTACGGTACAGCTCATATACCTTTCGTACAACGCGTCGCGTCCAGGGCGGTACACCTGCTAACATCCAAGGCTCGCGCATGGCGCAGGCCTTCTTGAAGGAGATTGCGCCAGATGGTGGAGGCGTCTCTTCATTCGCCCGACTCGCGAATTCAAGCGCGCCACGCGCCTCGCCTCGCAATGGACTCCAGGTAAGCTTCTTCCTTGATCTGCTACTACGTTCCCCGCCGCTGACGGCAGACACCAGCGATGGTCTACGCAGAGCATTTTGTTACTGACTTCCTCGTCCTAGACGGCATGATCGACCAGTTTGTCGCTTCGCTGTCGCCGATAGAAGCAGCGCCTACGTGGCAGGACGACGCGCGCATGCTCCTGCTGACGCATACGTTCGCTCTAGCCGCGACGATCCAGGTGCATGGCACGCTCAAGCAAGCGGAGGGCGGCACGGCGCAGGGTAGGGACGTCGCTGCCGCGCATGCGGCCGCCGCGGCACGAGGCAGCACCAACCTAGCGCAGCTCGCGTTTGTGGACCCGATCCTCGCTGAGCGTCCCCCTTCCTGTCGTCTGAATTAACGGGACATGCGCTGACTCTGTCAGGCAGATCCTGTGGACCTCGTTGTGCCGCGTGCTGATAGGTGAGGTCGCCCGTGTGCGTGTGCTTTGGACGTCTGCCTTACTGCACGACGGGGACACAGCGGCCGCGACACTGGAGGCGGAGCACGATGGCCACCTCACCGCGCTGCATAAAATCCTCGACGCGATGGCCGCGTTGGCACCCGCTGCGTCGCTGATGGGTGAGTCGTGCTTCCGCGCTCGTGTGGCTTGGTGGTAGCTGATGGAGTGCGTAGCGGTGCAAGCTGAGAAGATCCGGCAGGAATTTGAGGGTGCCCCGCCGTGAACGCGTGGAGTGGAATATCCTATGTGAGGTTAGTCCTGCTACGTACGCTTGTGGGGTGGCTGTGCGACTCAATGAGTTGGTCCGTCTTTTAGCTCTAACTTCTGCCAGTATAGTCAACGCGCAGTGGTAGTCAGCTTACTTTTCGCACGCAGTAGAATCCCACCAACGGATCTACTTCAGTAGGACCGATTGAGTATCATCGACTCAGGCACCTGATGTTCCGTATGTCCTAAGGAGCCTTACTGCACTGTATACGTTACAAACGTACTGGAGTTCTCCATACACCTCCAACGACTATCCCATTGTGTAATCATTTGTATGCAAGATACTTGAAAGTCGTTCGAGAATCAAATACAAGACTTGATTTGAAGACGGGCTATCAATAAGCAGAAAGTCAGACCAGTCATCCTCTTTGAGTACCATATTTTCTGGGGCTAAAATGGAATGAAAAACGGGAAGGTCACCATCGCTTTCGTTAGCATAAGGATGAAGCAGCAGCTCATCGTCATCCGAATCCTCTTCCTCCACATCCTCGGGAGCATCAGAGTGTATGCCATCCTGGTCCCGCAATTCCTCTTGATAATCCACATCTGATTCGTGTTCCTCCCCCGTCACCTCTAAATTGGGCTCATCACCAACAGCTGCCCGATTCGCTACCCAATAAGACCACCAAAAGCCCGTCACGGCCACCAAAATAACTGAGGTTTGGCGGTGATAAATTCTAAAAAGATGACGAGCTTGATTCCCGAGGTCATGACGTGCCGCGAATATTGGGCATTCCGCATTCAGCAAACCCTGAGCTTGAGAACGGGTGCATCCGCCTGATGGCTTCATTCACAGAGACCCTCCTCTGTGAATGCAAGCCATCAGGTCGGATGCCAACATAGCAAATCCGTTTGTGCATTCCTGGCCAGAGGTTGGGAGGAGATTCCCTCATGACAGGAATCTTTCTGGTGATGCAAAAATCAGGGATGCATCCTGAGTCTTCACCCTGATCGCTGGCAAGAGATTAGAAAGTGGTGTTGCCCTTACACCCGGGAGAGATGTGGGTGAGAGACTGAGGCGGCCAGACAGCACATCCTCGCTGTGTCTATGAAGATAACATGGAAATGGACGAGCGCATATGAGGGATGGCGCGCAATGATTGATGATAGTAAGGCATGCTACGTGTGCTGAGCAAGGGAGGAAATCGCCACCACTGCGGTGGGGATGCGATCACGTGGGTAACAGAGTCATCGCACGTGACAAAACGCGTGTGTCGTAACGCCTGACGGGACGCGTTATGCTTGGACTTACGGGCGCCTGTTGTGGTTACAAGTCAACGACAATGCTTCGATGCCTTCGCCCATGTAAGTCCGAATGTTTCAGAATCGCAGCAGCTAGTCACCGTTGTGTCCTAGGCAACGTTCTTCTGCAAACCAACCTCGCACTCAACGTAAGCGGCACTCAAGGATGTCCCTCGGCTTCGCCATGTCGCTTGAGTGGTTGAGAGACTATGCCAAGGAGCACAACATGGTGCGTCGGTCGGACGTCGCCGCGCTCGACGAGATCAGACGAAAGTTTGGCAAAGAAGTCCTCTTCGTTCATTGGGTCAAGGATGACTCTCCACGAGGTTGGCTTGTCTTCCTCGCCGTCGCCACCAACACCCGTCCTGAGTATATCGCGATGGCCACCCCAGAGAGGATTGCCGCTCTCAAAGCCGCGCTAGGAAGGGATGATGAGCCTGAATGGAAGCCTTGCTTTGTTCTATAGGTTCGGCTTCACGTCTCGTGTCTCAAATGTTGGTTGACGAGGTCTTTGCAGAGATATCTACTGTATAGTGACACGGCTTCGCATGTTACTGATGCTCATGTTTCGAGCTTCAGACGGCAGGATTTGTAGAAAACTACTACTATCGCTTCGAGATGCGTATGCGCTCCCCTTGGATTCACTGATTAACCGAACTTGTACTATTATGTTCAATTGTTAGCACGATGAACTGCTCGAGAAAGAAGCTCTACTCGGCTGCCGGTGAGACCTAGTTGCGCATCCGGGAGATACTTCATTTCAAGTGCGGTATGGCTCAAGCAGGCTCCAAAACTGCCACAAGAAGCACCTGTAAGAGCTCGAAGTTCAACTCGCTGTAAGAGTATACAAACAAATGTCGGATTCCTCAAATGCGTGCACAGTGAGTTGTGCCTATATGAGAGTGAGGAGGCTGGCATGTCAGAAAAAACAGTGAGAACTGAGAACGGGACTCAGAAGAAATACGTCTACTCCTCAACTGGGTTGGCTAGATGCTATCGCACAAAGCGACCTGGTGGGATTACTAGATAACTTGGTGTAACTTATTATTCAGCACGTACGCTGCCAACAGTCGTCCGAGTTCGAGTTCAGAGACTCCGGGCCTGTCTGAATAGTTGAAACTCACCAGCACGCGCTCTGCGACAGCGATATCCTCGCGATCCTCCTAGCAACAACAACAGCCCTTTGCATGTATTAAAATTCAGGCTACTGCAGCTCAAGTGAGCCCTGCCAGCTTCGAGGAAACCACACAGGCTAAGTTTGAATCAAACTGTGACTTTGTCCGTAGGAACCATGAACGCGTCCCGTCACGCGTTATGGCACGCGTTCCGTCACGCACGTGATCGCGCTTCCACCGTAGTGGTGGCAATTTCTACCAGATTTCCTCCTTCGCTCGGCACACGTAGTACATGCTATCGTTTTGCATACATACTTTCCCGTTGTCTCCGTATATGCAGCTAGGGTGTACTAGCTGGCACCGCCTCGAGCAGCTCGTAGACTCGTACATAATATTGTCAACGTTTCCTGAATCCTCACATCTGTTCGCCTTTTGGCATATCCACCCGAGCCACGTGTAGTTGTATAGCAACTGGAAGCAGCCAGGCCAGTGATGATGTCAAGCTAACATCTAATTACTGTAGCAAGAAATAGCAGGCTACTAATGAGGAACTTCCAATTGAGAGCCGATGTGCTTCTCGAGCATCGCAATAGTCAACGGAATACCAGGCATGTACCGTGCTAGGTCTGCGACTCGTGAGCTTGGTGGCTGTAAAAGGTCACTGTGGGCTCGTGAAAGCTTGATGGGAAGCGACGCGCACGATGAGACCAAACGCAGTATGTGGTGTTGGATGGGGGACAGCCAGACATCAGTTGTCACATTGACACGCACATCATGCACTGCGCATCATGGGATCGGGCGGCAATCGGGCTTCGAACGCATCGTCGGGCGAGTGAATAAGGCGCCAGACAGAGTCCTCGTGTTACTTGCGCGCTTGGTCCGTGTAACTCGGGATCCCATTCCGACAGACGACAAGAAGCTTCGATCCTGTTTCATCTTCACGTTTCTCCCTGGACTGTGGCCTGCGCATTACGAATGAATAGCGCACTGCAACGGAGTCATGAACAGCGCAACGGCCGGATCCATGAAGCTGGTCATGCGTTGCACTCTGAGGATTAGTGATGTCTTCGGTCCGTGGCCAGCCGTCGTCGACAATGTGTATGTGGGGCCACAGCGTTCAGCGTTGTGGCACTGTCTGTCGATTTTGGCAATTTTTTTCCTTCGTTCTTGCGAAGCGCTCGCGGCGGCTGTTGGAGGAACAAGTCGGGAGAATCACTGGGCGTGATTCGTCCGAATTCAATTAGAAAGAACACGTTCATACTTGGTTGGAGTCATCGTGCTGTAAGTTTGTAAGGTCGTCGAACGGTCAGCTTGTGAGGATCATGGCCGAGGCGGGACTTTCGATGCTCGCAAGTTTGATGCTTTGCTTACTAGTACGGTGCAGGCTGAGGCGCATCGCATTGAGAAGATCGTCTGTCAGCAGTATCCTGCCCTGCTGACGAATTTTGCGCTCACCAAACAAGTTGTACTGAACACCAAGGCGCACAAGAACTGACTCGAAATCAAGTGCACTTACTGATCAAGACGCAAAGGCCGGTTGGATGATCGACACAGCAGTGCACTGACATCATAATGTCGATAGAATTTGAGTTGTGAGAATATTTGCTGCGTTGCGTTGCAATCCGCTACGGGGTGCTCGGTCAGGAAGATCGGCGTGTGGTGTATACAGGTTCCCATTCGCCGTGATATTCGGAATTTCATTGGCGAGAGTTTAGAACGTCCGAGTTGGACAAGGTACTGCAAATATGAAGATGTAGTCTGTGCGCAGGACGGATCAGGCCGGAGAGAAAGGCGGGAGGTTGCCATAAGTGGCGGAACGACCGGGTGGCTGAGAGCGCCCACTCACTGATGCGCGCTGGGATCATCCGGCACCCTCTCCCATTCCGAAATTCCATATGGTGGGACGCGAAACCCGCACTGCACTGCGTCCGCGACTCGGAGCACCCGCGGTTGGACAGCACTCGCGCACTCTGTCATCATGTGGGCGGCGAGACCCGCTCTGCATGAACTGGACTCTGCGCATCGCCATGGCCGACATGCGGACCCTGACGCACCGTCGGGGTCCGATGAACTGCCTTCCTCTTCGCAAGTCATTTTCAGGACCAACTGCGGGGCATGCTGACTATTCCGACACAAATCGCGACTCGACACCGCGAGCGCCGCTGCCGCAGCTCATATAAAAAGAGGAATGTACCTGCATCTGCTCTTCGCAAGGGTCATCACAAGTGATCAAGCTCAAGTCCGTTTCCCCTATCGTCCTCGCGTCGCGCTCTGCTAAACTATGGCGTCCACTCAAAGGTATCGTGGGCGTGGGGGTCCGTCGTCCGGACGCGCCCCTCGCGGCTCTGCCTGTCTCAACTGCCGTCGTCGTAAATTCGTACGCACCTCTTGTCTCACATCCTTTCTTGCATGCTTTATGACGCGTCTGACGCGCAGAAATGTGACGGTGCACGACCCATCTGTGGGCCTTGCATCCGCTCAAACCGCGAATTCGACTGTGAATACACGGATGGGCCTACTCGGAGCCCGACGCAGGTGCTCGAGGACAATATCTCTCGCCTGGAGGCGCGCATATACGAACTCGAGCATCCGGAAACTGTCACGCCCTCTGTGACGCTTTACGATCCGCGATCTGCGCAGCCTGTAGCTGGACCGTCTAGTCAGTGTAGTAAATGCCATGTTCGATTGAACATTTGTATTGACTCAGAACAGGAGTTTCGGCCCCCCAGGCCCCAAATATGCCCATTTCGGGTCCGTTTAGTGGACAGCCCGAGCCAGCCGCATTCTTGGCTCCCCCGCAGTCTGTCCAAACATTGAATCCAAATTTCGGCTCAGACCCCTCCCCCGAGGTTATACAAATGCTGTACGTATTCGCTGCAACCAAAGTGAGAGCCGTACTCACCTTGTTCAGCATCGGCCATTTCCTCCCACACGCGTCTCAGGTCGGGTTCTTCCTTCACCCCGCGCGGTTCGTCGCACGCGCCACCAACCCACAGGCCTTCACACTCGCGCTAGCACTCCTCAGCGCCGTCTGCCTCTGGGGAGCACGCCTATCGCGTGACCCTGCGCTGCTCGCACATGAGCCCGTCTTCCTCCAGCGCGCGGTCCACAGCGTCGCCACCGCGCTTGCTCACCCTCCCGCGCACGCGCTCGTGCACGCGATCCAGGCAGAGGTGCTCCTCGCGAACTACTTCTTCACTGCGAACCGCCTGCTCGAGGGCCGCTACCACTGCAATGCCGCCGTCGCGCTCGTGCTGAGCTGCCGCTTGAACAAATTGCGCGCGGTGCTTGATGATGCCGCCACGGCGGCGGCGGTGCGGGGCGTCGAGCTGCCCCCACCGGCGGATGCTGTGGAGGAAGGGGAGCGAATCAATGCGCTCTGGAGTGTGTTTATCCTCGACAAGAGCTGGGCGGTCACCGTCGGCTCGCCGTCACATTTCAACGGGTCCCCTGGTGCACAGGTGGACACGCCGTGGCCACTTGATATAGAGGAATACGAATATGTATGAATTTTGTCGTCTTCGTTGGTTGTAAGAAATGTTCTGACGGTGTCGATCACAGGGCGGTATGCATCCTGGTGTCCAAGGCTCGCGCACGGCACAGGCGTTCTTAGAAGACGTTGTGCCGGACGCTGAAGGTATCTCTTCGCTCGCCCGGCTCGCCAAAGGCGCCGCCCTCTTTGAGCGCGCCACGCGCCTCGCCTCGCAATGGACTCCAGGTGGGTTTCTTTCTTGATCTCCTACTACCTTCACCGCCGCTGATGGCAGACACAGCGATGGTCTACGTAGAGCAGTTCGCTACCGATTTCCTCGTCCTAGACAGCGTGATAGACCAGTTTGTCGCCTCGCTTCCGCCGATAGAAACAGCGCCCACGCAGAATGGCGCACGCACGCTCCTGCTGACGTATACGTTCGCGCTGGCCGCGACGATCCAGGTGCATGGCACGCTCAAGCAAACAGGGGGAGGCACGGCACAGGAAAAGGACGTCGCTGCCGCACATGCGGCCGCCGCCGCACTAGACGGCATCGACCTAGCGCAGCTCCCGTTTGTGGACCCGATCCTCGCTGTGCGTCCCCCCTCTTGTTGTTTGAATGTACGGACACGCGCTGATGCCAGGCAGATTCTGTGGACTTCGGTGTGCCGCGTACTGATAGGTGAGGTCGCCCGCGTGCGTGTGCTTTGGACGTCTGCCTTACTGCACGACGGGGACACAGCGGCCGCGACACTGGAGGCGGAGCACGATGGCCACCTCACCGCGCTGCATAAAATCCTCGACGCGATGGCCGCGCTGGCACCCGCTGCACCGTTGATGGGTGAGTCGTGCTTGTGCGCTCGTGTGGCTTGGTGGTGGCTGATGGAGTACGTAGCGGTGCAAGCTGCGAAGATCCGGCAGGAGTTCGAGGGCACTCCGCCGTGAACACGTGGAGTGGAATATACCATGTGATGTTAGTCCTGCTACGTACGCATATGGGGTAGCTGTGCGACTTAGCAGGTCGTTCGTCTTCGTAGGTTTCTGCGCATGGCGCGTTACATGCCGTCATTTGAACGGCTTTGTGTTTGATTGTCTCACCGGCACGTCGTTCTTCGTTTGAAATTTTCAATAGAGATCTACTTTAAGGAGTCCTCCTCTCCCTTTTTATTTCCATTAAGAACACATCCTAGAGTTCGCCTTCATCATTTTTTTCTCATAAATATAGAACGAAGCTAGTAGTTAATTTTGATTAGACTCCACTTATTACTTCACGGACACTCTGCACCCGTATGCTATTTCGGCCCTTCTGTGGCACAAATTGCTGCATGCTAGGCCGTTCCTACTCATCTACGATCTAGCTGCCAGTCATTAGACTTGAAACTTTACCAAGAAACGTCTCCATGCAGAAACAGACCATCTTTCGGTGTATTTGCAGCGTCAATGGTCCGGACAGCTACCACGTCAACGTGCTGTGGCATGAACATTACCGTCATACTTGGTAATCTGTTATCAGGATGCGTGAGTTGCATAGTCATGTTGTCACAGACGATAGGCGAGGGGATTGATAACGTATTGTTGGAAATGAGCGCGTAGTTGCCCTCTAATGCGGTATGAGCATGCCTTGACGTGAAGACTTATTGGCATGCAGGGCAGGTGTTCATGGAAAACGAGGACTCGCGATTTTCTTTCGGTAAAAATCCTAGAACTTTGCATGAATGCTGAATGTCTAACCTGCTACACGATCGCCTGTAATTAACGGATTCGAATCCGAGCTTCGAAAGGCTGAAAGTACGAGAAAGACTGGTCACAGCGGCATCTGCAGCAATTGACTAGAAGGACTGCTCTACGAAGTGACAAGAGCAAATTGATTGTTTGAGAAATATATAAGAACGGCTGGTACTAGGATAATGGCAAGAGCTGCGTACGCTGAGCGAGAGGAGACTGCAGTACTCGGAGAGCAGATGCTGTCACGTGAACAACAGGTCGCGATTCGGAACCCGTAGCGGGACGCGTTTACACCTGTTTTCACCTTGAATCAACGGTTGCTTTTATAACAAGCTATGTTGCGTGTCGAACTTGCATGTATGATGCAAAGCGGAAATTGATGGACCAAGGCCTGACATGGCATACAAGCGGATGTCGCTTATGCAGGAATAGTATGATCATATCACGGGCTTTATTGCCATGACAAGGGAGTCAGTGAGATTTTCAGTACCATTTGAAAAGTGTGGTGCACGATACGGGTTTACGCGCGTGAGAAATTGCTTGATATGTGTTTAGTGAGTCGAGGGAGGCCCTTCGGACGACCTCATGGGTATGAGCTATCATTCGAGACTGATTCTGCCCCTGATTTTCAGTGAGCTTATCGATTTCCCCGCGTAAAACAGCATCTCACTTACTTAGCTAATATTAGATGAGGTTTACCTGTGCTCGCTGCTGTCGAGCCGTACGAGACCTCTCCACTCGCGTGCAGGCATGACTGACTATATATACGTTGGGGGTATCCGACACTCGCTAGTTGTTCAGTGTCATAAGATCATCTCCAATTTATCGTAAATGCTTCTCTCAGTTGCTTCTAACGACAGTTCTGGCGCCATGGACCTGCGCTAGATAGGATAATCCTGTTGGAAGAAGACCTGACGCAGAGGTCGCACGGAGAGTGCATCATTATCGCATTCGTTCGCATGGCAAGCAAATGCTTTCTAGAGTTATGACCGACCGGCAAGTGTTTGTTACTCACGGACCTGCCCGTCAACCTGCGCAGCTATACGCTGCGAGGGGGGAACGTGCTCTTCGGCTAGACAGCAGGTACACACCAGTAAGTGAGCGCATGGGCGGCAGAAAGGCGGTAAGAATGTACATATGGACATAGTATATAGCAACGTACATGAAAGGTATGGGGTAACGAAGGTGCCCAGTACATAACGCGTGGCTGCACATAATCGCCGACGATCCCGGAGTCAGGCAAAGCACGTAACGTCCGTAATCATCCAATGAAATGGATTCATGTTGGAAACGCACGTCCAGGGCATGTCCCACTATCCTGCTGGGACTTGAGGCATGCCCCCCTAGGTCCCCGAGCCTCCCTCTTGCACTGTTATATTCGCGCACGACCACGAGAGGAGATCGGCCCGTTGGATACTCAGTGCAGTAGAGGAAGATCGCTGCGCGGTCGTGACTCGAGGCCTAGTTCTAATATATGCAAAAAAGGAGTACGATTAGCATGTCAATACAGAATGTACATCATTTAATTATCATATACTCCTAGCCGGTTGTAGATCTTTGTCAGGAATACTCGTCCACAGCGCACGCCATGAATTGATTCGACGACGGACGCCCGGTGACTACACCCTGGTCTTCAAGAGGTACTCGCTTTAGCATCATCGTTTGACAAGCACGATCGAGGACAGGGAGATCGGCGCTCGTTCAGTGAGATGCTAGGGTACTGGACGGCGTTCTCTCAGCTTCATGAGTACGGTTGTGATAGAGGACAGAGCACGTCAAATATGCATATCTCTGGGGGGTCATGGATATGTGCTACTTGTCACGCAGGCTATCACAAGGTGACCTGGTAGAATGACCGGTGATTCAGCACAGCGAGCCATAGGTCGATGGGAGACTAACCTGAGCGCTGCGTCTAGCTATAATCGGTGGTTCTGCAGGCACGTCAAAGCCAGACTATCACCCCATTCATCCAGCAGCCATGCTTCGGTTAAGTATAAGATCGTGGATAGATGAGAATGCAACAAAAATCCGACTCGAGAAACTGCAACGTGGCGGAAGTTGCATGCCATCATTTCTCGATCACTTGATCATCGGTTTTAAATCACGACCTACGGTCCTTTCGGCCACGATCGAACTCACATCGTATGACGACGGGACTGGCTTTCGCTGATAAGCTCTTCGACAAGGTAAACTGCATGTTCTCCTCCTTGCTCCATGGCCAAAGCAGCTTGAATGTGGCACATTTAGAGGCCGAAACGATGCCACTTGTGATGCTGATCAATCGCCCACACGTCATTAAGACTGGCGCACTGGTAGCGACTGTGCCTCAGCGCTTGGGTTTGCGAGACTCGACAGCTTCTGGCTCATTCTCCTTAAGATACTTGGCTACAACTTGCCTGCAAATATGGCATGAACATATACAAACAGGCAGACCAAGTGGAACTTACTCAGGCACACGAATGTCGCCATAGTCCTGGCGCAAGACATTTACCATGGTGCGAGCGCCCATGTTGGGAAACCGCTGGCGTATATCTTGAATAGCCGCGCTGATGGTTTCTGTGGTCTGCTTTTGTTGGCGTGTGCTCTCTAATCCCCAGTCTTTGCGCTTGCGCTTGAGAGATTTTACACTGACATTTATTTATATAAGACTAATGCAGAGTGGGGAGTTATTCTTAGGGACACTGACCTGAAACCAAACTTCGCCTCGTCAATATGATCTCGAACCTGATCCGCAATAACCGGGTCATTCAAGCCCATCCTCCAATAGTCCTCAACCAATGGCCGGAGTTCTTCATCTGGTGATGTAGAGAATTCAAACAGTACAACTATCAGCAAGCAGTGGCTTTACAGCAAAAACTACTAGCACTCACGAAGGGGTTTATACTGATTAGGCATCCGTCCCCGACAACGGCGAACAATGGAGTGCTGACTTGACCTTTTGAGGCCATACACATCACTTAGTACAGGAATACTTAACGGCCAAGTACAATGGCTACCTTGATGCCTGTGGCACAAGCTTGCAGATCGGCGTACAGTGCAGCGTACGAATGCTGACAAATCTACAGGACAAATGTATGGAGGTCCAATCTCCAATCGGCATCCATCGGCAGATGTTGCCGAGTTGCCGTTATTTGTAGCAGGCCAGTCCCTGTTGCCATTAACATCGCTCCTCCGCTCGCATACATATTACTTATCATCTCTTGATATTTCTCTCGCGCTTCTTGGATGAAGTCTTCATCTAAACGGGGACTCGTCGACTAAACAAAGCAGGTCTCCGCGCAGCAGTATCGCCAGAACTGTTGTCAGGCCTTGAAGCAACGACGGGCAAAATCATGTCTGCAGCTCTCGCCGTCATCATATAACCCTTATGCGTACGTCTTGTGCACTCAGTGTTCACAAAATGGATGCACGCAGTGGTGCTTCCTCTGGCAGTGTCTTGGTCCAGTCCGGAACTTATCCGGAAGTTACGCGAAACCAGGCCGTTCTCAAACGGCAGCAAATGTGCCAGCCTCGGGATGTCCACATTTTCATCACTTTGTTATCCCTCTTTCTCTTCTTGGATCCTTCTATACATTCTCTGTCACGCTGTCGACTTGCTTTAATCGCCGTGCTGTGTAACTGCTGTGTGATAGTGCTCATAAAATCATCGTTTTCCTGCTGTCAACTTGCTTTCCACCTACTGTGCTCTCTTATCTGGTGCCTTGACGTCCATTCAACCGCTCAGGCGCTCAATAACTGAAGCACAAATTATACTTGGCACTATTCAAGGATCGCTTTACAACATGACAATCCTCAAGAGAAGCGCATTCTCCTTTTCGCGGCCTTTAACAACGTCAGAGTTGAAGGCCCCAAACAACCATCGAAGGACCCTCAGCGCGAAGATGATATCTGCACCGATGGTCCACTTTACCTCGATCGACTCTTTCCCCGACCTCATGGCAACAATCGATGGAGCGAAGTTGTCAGAGCGGGCTTATGTCTACGAGACGCCTTTAGCCAGCGTGAGGGAAGATCAGGCTTTCCGCTCGGAGCATCACTGTACTCAATCTGTGCCTTTACACTGCGAACCCACTGTCCCCCAGCACTTCTCTCTCGTTTCATTGACATCCGCACAATGTCGCAACGATATCCGGAGGCGTGTCGAGGGCTTTGAGATGGCTCGTATAGACAGCGCCTCCAGGACGCGAGACCCACAGTTGATCCCACTCAAAGACGCGTTCTTCAGGGATGACATCCGAAGAAGGGGCGAGGGCTTCGAACAACTCGCTCAGGTGGATACGGAACGAGTGTCTCGCATGGGCTCTGACTTGCTGGAAGGCGACGAGGCCGTGATATTCCCCTGGTCCGCGGATGATTCGGCCCCCCTCAACTCTCCCAGTCCACAACTATCAGCGACCTCCACGCTCCCATCAGTATATTCTCAAGGGAGCTGGGCGGGGAACTTTAGCGACGACGGGCTACCTTGCTCGTCCGAAGTGGTTTCTCAGCGCGTCCTGGAACGTACCGTTGAAGGCGTGGACGGAGACGTGAGGGAAGCGGAAGCGTTCACATCCTCAGGCAGCTCGTTTGATGAAGAAAGTTTCTTACGCATGGCGGCGTCTCTGGGGTGGTGACAGGCTCGTCTCTACACGTTCTGTGTCCGCTGGCTGGCTTTATGCTGCTGCTATCCTTTGTCTGATGTAACTGGTTGCTGTTATCGATCATTATCTGTGATGCTTAACGTTCTACCTATATGTTGACCTGATCGTTGGCGCAAAATGTGAAAGTTTGTTATCCCATTGCCAAAGGACTTCTGTCGATCGAGATCAGTTGTCACGCAAGATTGTCCTGCGATCATGCTGAGGATCCGGGTGCTTCATGAGGATCTCATTGTGGATGCCGGAGTTATTCAGCTTACCCTCCACTCGGTCTCGAATGTGGGCCACAGATGCGGTGCACGCCATCGGGAAATCCCAAAGTGGACCGGGCGCCTTCCGTATGTGGCACATCCGCCGCTCACTACGTGAACCCATGATGATGGCAGCAGAAAGGAGCAGGAGGGCGCATTCCCGCCACGGAAGCTCGGATATGCATTTCCGTTTCCCCGTTTGGTGGGTCCTCATATAAACTTGTACGTGCAGCTTGCTCCTGCCCACTCCTTCGACATTTACAGAACGAACGCGACATAGCATGCCCGCGAGCTCGTACATTCCTAACCTCACTGGCTGCACAATTGACCATGGCCACCTCAAGCTGTTGGACGTCCTTGGTTCAGGGTCCAGCGGCGTCGTGTACCTCGCGGAGGATACGACGACCAGTGCCGAGTTCCCACCTCAGTATGCTGTCAAGTGCATGTTAAAGGCGGAGGAGGGATCTGTCCGGGACGACGCCCAGCGGAACGAGATCTATAACCACATGCTCGTGTCTGACCATCCGAACATCGTAACGCTGCACGGTGTCATCGTAGACTCGGACTTATCTCTGGTGTTCCTCATCCTCGATTACTGCCCTGGCGGTGATTTGTTCAAACTCGTGCTGGAAGGACGTATAACTCCAGGCGACGACATATTCGTCAGACGGACGCTGCTGCAGTTGATGGACGCCCTGGATGCCTGTCACCAGCAGGGCATCTTCCATCGCGACATCAAGTTGGAGAACATCATGTGCAGTACGGATGGTTCGCGTATGTTCCTTTGCGACTTTGGCTTGTCTACAAGGCATTCGTACAGCACGTCCTTCGGTGCAGGAAGCCACCTTTATATGAGCCCCGGTAATGCGCTCGTCTTTTCCTTTAGGCTCTGCTGACCATGCCGCCTTAGAATGCATTGGAAATTATAGCTCCCATCCGTACTCCACAAGAGCCAACGATGTCTGGGCGCTGGGAGTGATCATGACCGCCATGATCACCGAGCACAATCCATGGCGAAAGGCAATCATGGAGGACGGATGCTACCGCGCATACCAGAAAGACGGGGAATACCTGCGCAAATCGCTTCCAATATCATCAGGTGCCAGCATCATCCTCCAACGGATCTTCACTCAGGAATCAAATCGCATCACCGTACCGTACCTGCGCTTAATGGTCCTGCGCACCGATACTTTCTTCGCACCTGAGGCATGTATGCTTCGCGTTCAGGATTTTGGCACTGAGAAGCGCTGTGCAACATGCGATGGCGAGATCGAGAAAGGGGAACTAGACACTGAAGAGACGGATATCGCGGAGAGATTCGTGGGCACGGTGCTATCTTCGATTGGCAGCGGTGAGATTACCGAGGTGCCTCGTACGCCTCTACGCCAGGCCTCCGACGGTGCGACACAATCGACTAGCGACAGCGAGGGATTGAAAACGCAAGTGCTGGGACCCGCTGTCCCCGTTATTGAAATACGAGCTGAAGGGGAGTCGCGGCCGGTAGTTTCTCGACGGAGCACCACGAAACAAAGCCTCAGCGGACTGCCGCCATCTGGATTGTTCAGACGCTTGACGCAAAAGCTATACCTCTGCTGATGTAGCAATACCATCTATACCATGGGGTCCATCTGGGTAGACTATATCAATAACATCTATCAAACGCATTACTTTATACATGTATCAAAACCCACCTAGTTACTCTTCCTTTGACATATGCGAATCACTAGCGTTTTCGTGACCGTGTCTCATCTCTGAGGGTTTCAAGAAATGCTACTGCTTCCTGTGCCAGAGTCTCTCCCTGTCCGTCTCTGAGCAATCTGGAAACATCGTTATCGAGCTCCACGTCCCACGTTTCTGTATTGCCGATAGCGTCCGCATCGTCCTGGCTTTCTACCACCGCAGAAACCCTCTTGGTGAAGTCGAGATAGAACGAGGTGAACGAACGTGCATGCTCGACGAGTGCATCCAGTGTCGCTTCGTCAGATGCTCCGGGAAAGGCCTTCAATAGCAGGCGGCGATTTTCCGGGGATCCTTGCATTAGCATGCCGAACAGCACTGCCATGTGTCCCCGCAGGACGGATGCCAAAGTGTCATCGAAGCTGCAATACTGAGCATACACCTCAGCAAGGCACCCGAGAGCGCTGATACGGGCAGTGCATCTGCAGCCTATGATACATGCACGCTGTCCGGGGCATGTGACGCTGGCCGCTGCGTGCCGCATGAACAGCCTTAGATACTGATTAAAGTGATAGAGAACGTATCAACTCACATGTGAGGCGGAGAGCGTCTTTGACTTCTTGGCACTCTTGTATGAGATTTGTGAGAAGTCCTAATGCAAGACATAATCGGTCTAAGGACGAAGAAACGTTCCCATGATCTTCAACATCATCGGCGCCGGCTTCGCGCTTCACATTGCTCATCGTTCCCACATAGTCTCGGTGTGACATCGTTATGAGTCGTATGATTGTTGGGAGGGTCAACGGCTCGCTGAGAAGCTTTTGGCACCACGGAAGATCGTCATGAGTCATGTTGATAAGCACTCGTAGCACAGATTCCAAGCATCGACGAGCTATCCGCAAGGTTAGCAAATGCTGAAATCAATAGCTTACGACGGCTCACCTTGCGAGCATTGGTCGGGATAAAGCGAGTCCCGAGAAATCACATCGCAAGCGATACATAGGCCGACGAGGGAGGAACCCAGCTCCCCTTCTCGTTGCGCATCGAGCCGGGCATCAGAGTTCTCCTCGCCTTCACTTCGCTCCCATCGTCCGAGAAGGAACGAGTCGAGCAATCGTAAACAGTTGTCGGTGTGCAGGAAAGACCACGAGTCCAGATACGTTGAAGACGATAACGCAGGCAGCATGCCGAGACCAGACGCATACGCGGGTATTCGGGATGCGATCGGGCGGATCTCTGAGGAGAGACTTTTAAGGAGACATGGAAAATGTCTCTCGTTGTGAACGGCGGGAAACAAGGCACTCAGTGTCATTGAAATCAGGACCCGGTTGCAAACCTGAAGTTTCGCATGACTATCAAAAACAAAGAACTGACTGGTGACTCCGTACTTACGGGTTCCGATGCACACAACATCCCCGATTTCTTCCGCACCAGCTTCTCTAAACTCGTCAACTGTTATAAATTCATCGTCAGAGTGTCTAAGAGACTAGCTAATCCAAAACATACCAGCGTCTTCTCCACGCGCGTGATCCCCGCCTGCTTGAGCACGGCGTCGTTCAACAAAGATGACGTGAACCATAGGGGGTCGTTCTTGCGTTCAAGGGAAGAAAGCATCTTATAAAGAAGTGGAAGAAAATCTGTCCTCGTGGCCAGATCTTCGATGTCACGAGGGTCACGAGAAACGAGTGCAACAAAGAAGACCAGGATGCAATCTAGAATCTATGAGGTTCGCAAAGTAAGGCTTGATCATCAGACGGAACAGTGTGAAAGTTTCGATTATCAAACCTTGTCACCGTCACCGGCGCCGGCCTCACGAAGTGCTTCCCATGCGCGGCCCAGGAAGTCTGCGGCTTTAGCTCTACGTGCGAAATCCACATCGCAGAACTTGGTGACGATTTCAAGTGCACTATGCATCTGTGTGAGGTTCATGCGCGCTGTCTTAGCGTACCACATACCTTCCTCTGCGCACGCTGAGGAGGGACTCCGCATCCAAGCCCTCAAAGATATACCCAACCTCGTCCAGGAATCGCCTACTTTCGCCCTTGCTCCTGAGCTCTGTGATGCTCTTCAGGTCGTTCATCATCCCGTTCGGCAGGGAGGGAGCGTGCACATCCTGAGGCTTGCCTTTGCCCTTCCGCTTGCCTTTCTCACTTTGAGAGGCAAGAGGGGGTGATGCAGGCCGAGGGTCATCCTCTGACTCGTCCACACCCCAGCGCGTGCGCAGGTCAGTATATGATTCTCTGTTCTCAAGGTCTTCTTCTTGAACATGCATGTCGCCGTCATCGTCATCAAGAGCCTGACTGCCCGAGTTGGTGCGCGAGGGGGTTCCGAGTTGAGGAGCAGAGAGCGCTACCAGAAATGAGCGCGATTTGCCCGCGTATGTACGCATGGTGCTCGACGGTCCTGGGCGAGTACTGGGATGGAGCGCCGGTGAGGATATATCTTGCACTGGCTGGGACTTTGAGGCAGAGGACGATCGACTCAGGGTGGAAGGAGAGTCAATAGTTAAATCTATAACAGTTTCTGAGCGTGTCTTGGCAATCTTTTGCGGTGTATGCGGTATGGAACTCGGCTTCGAGCTCCTGCCTGCTCGAGAATCTCTCGAAGCCGATTCGGAATTTGTCCGACGAAGCATACTCTTCGCGATGCTACGGGAAGGGCTAGATACACTACCGGAAGGACCGTCTACGGAAAGTGAGAAGTCGAAGAGGCCAGCAAGGTTCTTCATCTGCTTCTCCGGAGAGAGCGAGCGTTGCCTGTCAGTAGCTGTTGGAGCTGGGGATGTGTACGAGCGAGAGATTGGTCTGGAAGAGGCCATTGCAGTCGAGCGGTTGTCAATGCGGCGGGTAGATGCCCGAGAGAGGTACGTCTTTGTTGGACTGGAAGTTACTTGCACTCCTTTCATTGGGGAAGAATCGCGTAGGGACCTGTTGGGTTCGGCCACTGCAATGTTATGATCAGCAAGGAGAATGAATGATCAAAAGAGGCAAACGACACGACAGACAAGTATAATGTTTAAATGGACGTATTGGGGACGTTCATGGGCTCTGGAATGGGAGAACCCTTGTTCCGCCACCCAACTCATAGCTGACAAATAACTTGATCTCCATGATCGTCAAGAAAAGAGTCTCTGACTCTGGCATGTGAAGACGTGCATATTCACGCAAGGCGCATCACGAGGGGGACGCAAACGAATAGGCGTTGTTGTGACAGGTTCAGATCGCTCGAGGATGAGCGTACCTATAGCATTTACATCATCATACGCATCAGGAACGAGGTTCCCATCCCTGAGTACTGCAAAGTAGCACTCAAAGTTTTTGCATGGTACGACGGGGTTGCATTGTGATCCCGAACTGACTCTGCCAGCATGCCAGGGAACATGGGTAATGCACATCACTTAGACTACACATGAACTCTGTAGGATGCACAGTTGAGAGAAGTTGCTCATCACCACAAGTCATAGCCGTGTACGCAACACAGCTTCTTGGAGGAAGAAGAATGTAGACTTGGATGCCATGACAAACTCAGCGCATGCACGACGGGCAACCATTCTGGAGCCCATTCGAGCACATTCAAATTTCAAAATGACTCACCCGTATTTGCAGGAAATGATGGCCCAGAGGCATCTGCAGCCTCATATTCGATACTTTTCTTAGGTCTAAGATCATCTTTTGTCCTTGATATGATGCGTTCGACCTCGACTTTCTGACGTTTGCGGACGGGACGAACGTCTTCCTGGTCCGAACTTGAGGAGCCAGACGGACCGGTAATTGCGAGCGCAGCATGACGAGAGATGCGTTGGCTGGCCTTTCTGCTGTACGTTCTCTTCATCATGCGAGATATTGGCAGCACAGAAAGGCAGTACGAACTTCAAAATGCGGAGAGCGCAGTCGCGTTGCCACAAACGTGACAATGCTGTGATAAGCCGCGGACGTCACGCGTTCGTGACGACGCGATTTGAACCTGTTCACTGAGACCGACGACGATGGCGCAGATGCAATGTCTGACCGACAGAATCGACTCATTCAACCCTGGCGGCGACGCCCACACCAAGAAACGCTCGAAACAGTCCTCAAAGTCATTCAAATGGCCGCACCAGGAGTCATACACCGTAACACCGCAGACACTCGCTGAGGCAGGCTTCTTCTTCAATCCTACCCGAGCAAACCCAGATAATGTCAAGTGCTTTATGTGCAAGAAAGAACTCGATGGATGGAGTGAAGACGACGACCCGTTTGAGATCCACTGGCAGAAATGCCGGAATTCGTGTCCTTGGGCAGCCGCGAGATGTGGATTGTTTCATGACATGTGTGAAGATGGCAGGTGTGTGACGCATAAATTGTGTTAGATGCAACGGCCAAAGTAGATTGTCTTTAGCTACAATTTTACAGAACTCGAACGCATTCCGACAAGCAGCACCATGGAGCAGGCGCGTCTCGGCACATTCACCTTCAAGAATCAGTGGCCCCATGATTCTGTCGAACGACATGGCGCCAACTCTGAAATGGTATGTTTACCGTCTGACTGGGCACGGAAAGCGAGCGCGTGCGGGAATGTATAACGAGCGTGGGCATTGAAAAGCCCTCATGCCTTCGTTCTATTTGGCTTTACTTTGAAGCTGATACTGCATATATCACAGATGGCGAAGGCCGGATTTATCTACACACCACACAAGAAGGATGACGACACAGCTACCTGTATGTACTGCAGTCTGGCCCTGAGTAGCTGGGGCGATGATGATGATCCATTGTAAGTCAACCCAAGTTCAGTCCAATTCTAGCAATAGTGATCTCTGTTTCACGAAGAGAAGAGCATGTGAAACGTGAGGACAGAGCACAGCACAACCGCTGCGCGTTTCTACAAGCGTGGTTCGCGAAGGAAGGCAAGACGTTCTCGGTATCGAAACCGGCATCGCGAGCGTTGCGAGTGGACTCGGACGACGAACTAGCCGTGTCATCTACGTCAGCGCGGCAGAGTAGCACTAGAATGACGAGGAGCAGGGCATCGTCCGCAACTGTCAAAACCCCTGGCTCCAGGCGTGCTGCCCGCGGCACGAGTGCGAGCGGGAGGGCCACAGCTGTCGAGTCAGACACAGAGGATACCGATGCAGGCGGTGCGAGTGATGCTGGTAAACGCGTGTCGAGGACGAAGCGGACAGCTGCCAAGAAGCGTATCCAAGTCATTGAGGAGGAGGACGAAGAGGAGGTGGACGTGAGTGCGCAGAAGCAGACGCAAACGCAGACAGCCAGAGTGGAGGATAAAGAGGTGGTGGAAGAGGTCGCACCGCTTCCCAAGGAAAGACGGAAGAGAGGCCGCCCGCCGAAAGCAAAGAAACCTGCGCCAGTCAAGAAGGAGGTCGCACGTGAAGATTCAGATACTGATAATATTTCAATCAAGACGCAGGCACGCGCTATAGATGACGATGACAATGAAAATAGGGCCTCTTCCCACTCCAAATCGAAACCAGCGTCCAGGCCGCTGAAAGACTTACCTAACAAGTATGACAACGCATCTCTCGACGAACGACTACCGGAAAAGGCTGCCGCATATAGCGTGAAGGCAAGTAAGCCTGCCGAGAACTCTCAGTCTGAGGATGCGGAATTTGTCGCTGCACCAAAGCCGAGGCCGACTAAGGTCTCGCGGGCCAAATCGAAGAGAGGTGTGAAGGCGGACTCTGAGAACGAGGACGAGTATACATCGGCTGTGACGAAGACGAGGATGTCCGAGCGACGTGCGGACGCGAGCGAGACGACTACAAAGCGACCGCCTGCCGCCTCCGCTGCGTCTCCGGCTCCTCCTATCGCTCTTATTCCTTTCAGAGCTCCATCAGAGAGTAGCTCCCAACGCCCATCTGGTGATACACGACGTGCTGTTGAACATGAGGCACATACGAAGGTCGATATTGCGCTTCCTACAATGCCATCATCCGAGCGCCGCGGCACAGAGGTGCTGCAGCGGGTGGTCCCCAGACCATCTCGGGTGACCTCCAGCCAGCATCCGCTAGAGACACGAGATGTCGACGAAGACATCATCATGGTCGACGCCGTACCGGAGCCTGTTCGAGGCGGCCAAAAGGCGAATAACACTTCGTCCGAGACTAGTTCCACGATCCCTGCAGGCAGCAGAAGGAGGAAACCTGCGCCTTCGCGCTCGAGCAGCATGACGAGAAGCACAGGGCGCAGGGCGAGGGAGAAGATGCGGATTGTGGAGGTTCTCTCGGATGCGGAGGACGTTGACTTTGTGGCCACTACATCGCAGGCCAGCACGGCTCCATCATCGCAAGTTGGCAAAGCTCCCGCATCCCAACCCACCGTCGCTCGTACACCTCCTCAGCACGAGTGGCCCGCTGCGGATGGTCATGTTACTCCGCACCCTGTTACGTTACAAGTTGAGCCGACGAAAATGGAGGTACACGTCGTGATTCCTGCTCGTCATAGGTCGAGTTCTTCCAGCACATCTGCTCCAGCCAAAAAAGTCAAGAAATCGTTGTCGAAGGAGCATGTTGAGCCGGAAAAAATGCACTTGGAAGTTGTGGTCCCTGCGCGTGCTGAGAACAATGCCTTCGGTTCCTCTGGGACAGACAGGAAAGCCAGCGCGTCATCGCCTACAGATGATCCGCCCGTTGCGCTACAAAAGATAAAGATGGAGGTCATGGTCCCTTCTCATGATCGAAAAGGCGGTGCTGGATATTTTCAAGCCACTAGTGGGTCCAGCGAGCCTTCGTTCGCAGATCATGAGGTGGATAACCCGCATTCACCTCCGGTCGTACTTGCTAAGGAAGAAGTCCCACCTGCTTTCGTACCTTCACCTCCCCGCACTCCGGTTGCTGCTTCGCGTCACCTCTCACCGCCCGACACGCGTCTGCTGACTATAGAGCCCGCCTTCGCTCCAACGTCTCTTATGGCCGAGCAGCCAGATGCGCCCTTCGTGCCCGTGATGGCAATGTTCCCGATTGAGAAGATCACGTCGCTGACGGAAGAGGAGAGCGCGATGACCGTGGAGCAGTTCATTCGGAGGGAGATGGAGCGGCAGTACCGATGGCTCAAGGAAGATACGGAGAGGCAACTTGCTCGGATCAGGGAGAAGGCGGCAGAGACGAGGAGGGCTATAGAAGCGTTGTAACCATTCAGTACGTACAGTTGTATCTCATGTTCGACGGTCTCAAAGCTCTTGCATTGCTTTTTCTATGAATCGAAGTGCACTCGTGATACAATTTGATGTTTGACACAATGTCGTACTACGATTATGAGGCCGCTATACACAGTGTATATTTATGATGCGATCTGTACTGGTCGTAAGACAGGCTCCACAAACAGGTGGCGCTGGTTTTTCTTCGACACAAGAGGCACGAGACTAATAGGATCCTCTAAGTCCTCCCCTTCCACCAGCTTAAGTTCTGGGACGTCTCCCAACGTAGCAGGATCTTGCGCGTGAGTTTCAGGAGTGATGGGGCCAATGCTCTCATCATCGGAATCGTCAGAATCCGAATCTTCTCTCCTCTGGTTGACAAAGGCGGAGGCGGCCGTGCCGAAGCTGTCAACAATCCGGAAGACATTATTGCTGTCTTTGATGACGACGACCTCCAGCTGATTAACGCTGTCATTGTCGTCTCGAAGTGGCCCGATGTCCGTCGACTGCACGGATGAAGACGAGCGCTGGGAATACGGGCCTCCCATAATCTGCGCCCAGCGGGAAGCGCAGTCGAATTCGTCCGGATCGACGAAGAAGGTGTCCATGCGTAGAATCTCCTCACGTAGTTCTGGAATGGAGATGCGGATGGTGGGGTCGAAGGTGAGGATGCGCCGAAGAAGTGTGTTTGCCTTCCGCGAAATGGGAAGCGTCCGGAAGAGATACTCCTCATGCGCCATGAAGTTGAGGAACCACTGATCGTCCGTGCTAGCGTATTTCCACGGAATGCATCCGACGAGCATGCTGACCAGGAGGATGCCAAGTGACCAGACATCTCCAGTCTTGGGAGAGTAGCGTTTGTAATTGAAGTCCTTGCCAATGCATTCTAAGCAGCGTCAGATATTGGGATTATCAAGAAATTCGATGAATGCTCACCTGGACTCAGATAACACTTGCTTCCGCAGCCGAACGAGTTGCTCGTCGAGGCATCAGTGCAGATACCAAAGTCTCCAACGACAACCTCAGTGGCTTCATCGTTCATGCACATGATGTTCTCCAGCTTGAGGTCGCGGTGGTAGATGCCATTCTCATGACAGAAGTGGACTGCGTCCAGGATCTGGACGAAGACCTTCTTGACCAGCTCATCATTCCCCATGAGCATGCCGCGCTCCAAGACGGCGGAAAACAGGTCGCCACCAGGGCAGTACTCCAACACATGATAGATATAGGAATCGTCCTCGATGACCTGGTGTAGCGTGAGGATGTGGGGGTGGTCTTTCAAGGTGTTATGAGCTGAGATCTCCCGTCTCTGGTAGCGCCAGCTACGCGTGTTGGGTTTGGCCTTCTGCACCACCTTCACGGCATATTCTTTGGGTTCTGGGTTGGAAGAGGTGCACGGGGATGTCGTGTCTATGGCCCGGTATACGACGCCATAGCCACCGGCGCCAAGTCGCTGCATGAACTTGAGACGGCCATCATCGATGGTCTGGTGGGTCAAGTCAGGAATGAGGGAGGAAGCTTCCACGCGAGCAGATGTCATGATGAATAAAACAAAAGATATGTGAAAATATTGAGTGTGGGGGTATATCACAACTTGGCCAGCAAGTGAGAATGAGGAGTTGGTACCGGACCGCAACGAGTCCTACGTGCATTTATACATCCCCCGAAGCGGATATGCATCAATTGCAAAGCCGTTTACCGTTATCCGAAAGCGTATATTCGAGCCGAAGCGGATACGTGTTTTCGGATAGCGGTTAACGCTGGAGACAACATCCTGATCAGGGCCACTGACAGGTCAGTCAATATCGAAACGGCTCCGCACAAGGTCGCACCTTGCAGGCAAAGCTTGGGGACGTTGATATATCTGTCAGGCTGCCATTTCCAGGAACGCTATGCAAAATTTCTGATCGGACGAGTTGCATAACTTTTCCTGCAATACAGTGTATGAACGTCTGGAGGCATCGTTTGCGCAAGTCGCCGAGCTCATTGAGGGTATGTACTTAGTAGCAAACTGTGAAATACCTCAGAAGAACATACTTAAGTAAAAAGTGCAGGACCGCCTTTCTTCTTGAAAACATCACATGTCGCTTGATAGACAGGTAGTTTGGCTGCAAACGCATCAATGGCTCTCAGAATCATAATACGCGGGTTACATAAGCGCTCTACATGTGATCGCGATACGACGCGTCCAGTTCTCACGGCGGTAAATCCCATACATCCACCATCCCCCAACGCGACCACGGCGGCGGCGACGATGAGCACGAGGCGTACGATGATACCAGCGTCAGCGCCAACCTCTCCTACAGTCACTCGCTCAAAGGCAGACCGCCGCCACCCTCCGGTCACCCCTCAACGCGTCGCCCATTCCGCTCATGCGCGCCAATCCAGTTCCCCATACACGCCCATGACCAATCTCTCCACCCCTTACACTCCCTTTAGCCTTACATCACTGTCATCCTCCTCTAACGAGTCGAACCTGCCAACCCCCGCGTCCGAGACTAATCGCAGGCGTCATAGCCTGTCACTGTCTCCAGAAGTACTTGTGCATTCTAGAAGTCTTGCGGACATAGCAGAAAATTGGAGGGCCCGCGCGAACGAAAATGGAATTAAAGTTGCTCCGAGCGATGATTCGCAGTATCAGGGTGAGTTGGTGCGCATATAATCAGCTTTTACAGTTGCTGCCACCGTGGCGTCGCCCTTTTTATCGCCGTCCATAGCCAATATGATGGCGAACATGTTCAATAAGTGTTTTATTCCGCATTAAAGACAACATATGTCATTCAAAGCGACTATATGCGCTTGGTTCCTCGTTTCGTTTATCGTCTATCCTATGCCCCCCAAGACTCATTTGCAAACACTGACACGCATGCTTTGTTGCAGCTGACGAGTCCAGCCTTGAAATCAGCATCCCTGTCATTGATAAAGGTGCTCACCCACTGCATTATAATTGCGATCTGCAGTTGAGCTTCTATAACTAGCATTACTTCCTGCCCCTTCTCTATTTTCCCAACGGCGTGCGCGCGCATTCTCGCACGCTACGGCTCCGCTGTCCCAGATTCCCGACCCGACGCAGGCCTACACTCCGATTCGCGCTTCCCGTCTTCCCGGAATCCTGAACACACCCCCTCCTCAGCCCTCTTACAGGCTACGAGGGAGCGTAACCGATCCTGCTCAACCTCGCCGCCGTCCTACATTCGAACAGGTAAGATTGCTCATTCATATGATGGTATACGTCTGACCATTCATTGCCAATAGTCGGAACTTTTTGATATAGATGAAGATGAATTCGCTCCCTATCCCCCCGCGTTTGCTTCCACGTTGTCCTCGCAATCACTTCCCCTTACTCTTCACGAATCGTTCAATTTACAAGCCCAACTCTCCGCGATCTCGGAACCCCTGCACTTTTATCAAGAACAGGTCTATGTACCGCAGCCTCAGGAGGAAACGAAGGAGTCCGGGTTCGCTTGTTCCGTGTGTGGTTCCACCGGTGGTGCGCTCGCCATCCTCGAACCATGCTCTCACCCGTTATGCTCTGCTTGTCTTACGAGCGCGCTTAATATCGTGGGCGAAAAGGACATGGAGTGCGCCGTCTGCAAAGCAAAGGTAGACAACTTCCAGCTACACAAGTCGCCTCCTGATACGGGCGGTATCGACCACAATGGCGGCCCTCATCGCAGCGGCTCGAACGTTCATGATAACCGCGCATATAACGGCCCGGACGTTTTCCGAAGTGATATGAACCTACTTCCGAGCGCCTTCGACAACGCCAATGTTGGCGCCTTCGCAATATACGACGAATTCATGGATCGTGCTCAAGGCGCTTCTACTCCGATTGCAGGTGCTCGTCCCGCACATCGCTCCAATACGAAGCAAGAGGAGCGTTTTGTCTTGCGCATTGATAATGTGCCTTGGGTGCGTAAAGTACTGTAAGAGCATCCTACCATTCACTGACGGCGCTCCATGTATTGCCCTGTAGGACATTACCCCTCCTGCCATTGCCACCTGGCTGAAACATCCCATTGAGCGCGTGCACGTCCTTCTCGATCGGAAGGGCAAGACGCTGAGTCACGCATACGCCGAGATGGCCAGCCCCGATGCTGCGAAGGCGGCACTCCGCAGTGCGCAGAATTCTGTGCTTGGTCGTGGAAAGCGAGCCAGGGGCGTCACAGTCACCAAAAGTAGTCAGGAGGAGCTCATGAGAGCGGTAAGTTTTCCGGATTGAGTGGCCTGGTTGGATACCCGCTGATCATGAGGTTTTTTCCACATGGTCAGCTCTTCCCGTCGTGGCAAGGAAACTTTGACGGTTCCCGCCCTTCCTTGTCGGGTCTAGACAATGAGCGCGTTATCTCCACTCTCCAGCGTGGCTTGTTATCGGAGGCCGACTTGAATTCGCTCCTGCATCTCATTCGTTCACCTGATGTGCGTACCTTTCAGGCGTAGGCGAGGCGAATCACACTAACTGTTGGACGTCTCAGAGCCACTTTCTCAAAGTTCCATCTCTTCCTTTCCACTCCCTTATCAGCATTCTGTCGAAGTTCCCAGCCGATGATGATAGTAGAGTATTCTGGTCTGGCACGTTGAGGGATGCCATGTATGGTGCGTAAGGGCGGTATAGAATCTATTATGTAATGCTGATCCCCATGTGGCTCAGAAATAACTTATGGTAAGCTCCTCGCCCGTTGATCGATCATGGATATGACCGTTGTTGATGTGCCTTAGCCGCTGTGCAAGTATTGCTGGTCCGAGTCGAAGAGAATCCCCTGTCCGATTGGACCACCTTAATGACAGAAATTGTTCGTGCCGCTATGGATTGTCAAGGTACTTGAGGCATTTGTATGTGACGAGTATCCCGCTGAAGCAATATGCATGTCAGCCTTCACGTCTGAGCAAATGAACAAGTTAACGGATATCCTTGAAGCATCCATGCCAAGATCGACTTCCTCTCCTGTGGGATCTCGTAGCGAGGATTATACCCCGACCCCGCCCAACCGTGATACCCGAGAGTTTCGCGCTGACAGCAGTGGCGATGCAAGCGCTAGCCCGGAGCAAGGAACATACGGGGACTTGGCAAAAGAATTTGGAGTAGAACCTGACCTGATCGAAGCCCTGGTCCAACGGCTCTCCGCCCTAGGTTAGATGGGGAAATCCCGGTGCTAGCATGTGATGCCTTTCTCATATTCAACTTCCGCTGGTTGAAGCCGCTTCTTTCGCTCTCATCGTACTGCTCTCTGCACGGTTCAGCATCCATTTGCTCAACGCTCGCCTTCTTTGCAAATCGCTCTCGATGTGATGTGCTGTGGATGATGTCACCTCTCTTCGCGTTCCGTCTCGCTGGACAATGTATTACTCGTGGCTGTCACTTCTGGCTGTATCATTTGGAGGTCTTTTCGCTCGCAAGTGTGTTTGTATCGGCTCTGTATGAATAGATTCTACTGCACCCGCTCGGGAGTATGGCTGTCGCCGTGCATGGGATTCGCCCATAGAATTGGAGGTCAGTGTATATTTTTATTGCGCGGCTTCACGTTACCATAGATGCGAGCGGCGTGGTGCGGGTTCATGGGAAAGCACGGGAGTCGACTATCCGTCAGCACTTACGGAAGGACACGAGCGTTGGCTGCCGGAGAGTGGCTTGAAACGTCATGAGCATGTGGATCGACGGAGTAGCGAAGCTCGGTGAGGTTATTCATCCTAGTGCATACTCGACGCCACGATGCTGACGAGAGCGTCCGTTCGCCGCTCGGCGATTTGTCATGGTATTCTGGTCTGCATCATTGAACTTCCCGAAGGTCGCGAAAAGTTGCGTATACGCTGGTCTGGATTGTTTCGACAATCTGCGCTATAAATACGTCGACGCATGACACAGCTTCGAACGGGTAGCATAGTATATAATGCTAGGTTGAGTCTGGCTACCACGGTCCGAGGCATGATGTTCCCGTTCTTCTCCATGCTGGCCGTCTTGGTCGGCTTGTCAGTCGCGCAGACAAACTCGAGCGTCTTTGACGTGCGTTCCTTCATGTTTAATAGACATTCGGCTCTTATTTTGATCTGGAAGACAGTTCCCAGAGTATCCGCCCCCTGGCACACCGAATCCGAACTCGACTCTAGCGAGTGCGACGGGAACGCTTCCTTACGGGCTCACCGCTGATTCCGCTCTGGCCGAAGCCTACATCCACTATGACAGAGGATTGTTTGGGCCTCAGATCGAGTTGATTCATGCATATTATAACTATTGGCCGACGGTTTGTGGATGAAAAAATTATCTAGCGCTTAGTCGGACTCACCTCATGAATGAACGATAGGGCGTCGGGGTGGCCAGTGACGGGACGGTTTTCACATGCTTCCCGCGGGGTAATGAAACGTACACTCTAGCAGTATTCACGGGCCCTACCACGGAGGCTGCTTGGCCCAAGTAAGCGTGCACTCACGAGAACATCTCATAATATTCTGACCCATCTTATAGTGAGGACTGGAACACGCCTCCGGCCTTCGCGAATGAAAGCAACCCAGGATATAGTATCGCAACCGACAAGCTTATATTCGTTCAATCGGTCGTTGTCGACGGTTTGGATCGCGTATGGGCACTCGACACTGGACGCCCACGAGTGAATGGAACATACCTCAACGCCGCTGTGCCGGGAGGACCGAAGCTCGTCGGATTCTACCTGAATGGGACGAACTTCGTGACCTACACTTTCCCAGACTACGTTGTGTATGCTGATTCTTCCATCAACGACGTGCGCTTCGACCTGCGTGGTGGAGGATATGTGTACATCACAGATAGTTCGCCCTATCATCCCGGCATCGTCGTGATCGACCTCGCAACTGGGGAGTCCTGGAGACATCTAGACTTCTCATCTGCTGTGACGCCTGACCCTGAGTTTGTCCCGGTATACGATGGAGGTCAAGTCCATCAGTGTCGTTGACTACGGATTCAGCTGATAAATCTCGTAGTTCCTTTTTACTATCACCCTATCGGTCCTCCCAACGCCATTCAGTTCATGTCTCCGGTGCGGATCTTATACAATGTCATTCAAGATACTCGTTGATCATGCTGTAGTTCGCCGCTGACGGGATCGCTCTTGGAGCTGGTAAAGGCATCCAGAGGTTTGAAGATCGTCAACGTTGATTATGTGACTGCATATAGATGGCGAATACTTATACGTGACGCCCCTGGCCAAACGCCGCCTGTTCCGCATCCCGACATCATATCTGAAGCAGCAGCCATCTTCGGATAATCCCTATGCTTTTATTCAAGCGAGGCAGGCTGTTGAAGACCTCGGTGGATTCGGAGGACACGCTGATGGGCTGGAGACGGATAGCACCGGATACATCTATGTGGGCTCTCAAGGTGAATAACAGCAGCAAGGCTATCTTCAGTGTGCAACGTCTGAGGTATTTGTTCATTGCAGAGCACAATGCCATCCATCGCTTCAATCCCAACACGAGCCTTGTTGAGCCATTCATCCGCGCACCGTTCATACAGGTGGGCATGCTCAGTTGATAAATGGTATGCATGCTTACTATGATACTAGTGGGCGGATACGTTATCGGTAGTGTCCTTACAAAATGGAAGTAACTACCTGTACTTCACTTCGAACCAGTACGTAGCTCCCGGTTGTGCAGAATATGTTTGATGTCTAACGAATAGTCGTCTTTAGGCTGTGGCTCGCGCCTGACTATCAGAACGGGTGCGTGATACATTTGTCAATGAAAATTCGTGGCACTGATGCAGTAGCTGCAGCACGGACTTACGCACCAAGCCGTATGCAATGTTTAGGGTTCCGATCGAGGGTGGACGCGCTACACAGACTGAATGAAGTTCTGCAGTAGGGAGAGGTCTCTGTAAGATAACATCATAACCTGAATTGTACGAAACTCCTGAATCATCTTGATTGGAATGCGTTGTGTATCAATCAATGGAAGCCAGCCTTTTACCGAATACCAGACATGATAGAGAGCATACGGTCAAGAAATAGAAATTTTGAACAAACACTTCAGCCTATCAATGCTATCATCCGTCACTGAAGAAAACGCTATGTCAGCATGCCGACGCACCACTTAATGATATTATTCACAACTCACGGGTAGTATACGCGATAACAGATGACTAACAGCAGACACAACCTCTTTTTCCGCAGCAGTTCTGACAGCCAGGATTGATATCTCTACCAGCAAGGTCGCCGCTCTCGATCAGGTGCATATCCCCTGGATTGACAACGATATCCCCTGGATTGACAACGTTGTTCATGCATGGTCAAACTGTAGTCTGATGAGCTTAGCAGGAGACGAATGGCGCACCAGTCGGAATAGAGGATGCTGTAGCGAACGCGACGAACATGCAGAACGCCGTGATGACGGAAACATTCATGACGACAATGTAAATGACGAGTATCTATGCCGTGCGCGTCGTGCTGAATATAAAAAGGCGAAGCAGTGACTGCTGCTGAGGACGCATGATGCAGCTTTTATAGGGTCTTCAACGTTGAGTCAACGTTGACCGCTTCAAGAGCGCTTCATACCATGATGATGCCGTATCGTTGAAATACAAAGCTGCGCTGCAAATGAATCGGACAGTATCGCAATGTCTCACACGCTGCCATGTCGATACATGTATGCGATTGGCCAAATTCAGCATCCTGACTGTTCTGTTTCGACGTGAAGCAGCCATAAAGCCTTTACGAGATAGCGCTTACCAAAAAACCTGGGACGTATCGCGCCCGTATCCGAATATGGCGCTCCGAGAACAAAGGCTTCGCTCGCCCTGCTCGTGTTCTTGTTCTCAATTGAGTGAAAGTTGGTCTCACGAGCTTCGCAGGGCATTGGATGGGGAGATATTTTCCGGACTCAGGACCTCAAGGGTGACTGTACAGGAGATGAATCATGCGTACTTTCACAGCTATTCATGCGGCTGTTCAGAATCACGTATCACTGATTCATACCCATCGACAGAAGTTTTCTACGACAAAGTGAAGAGCAGTCGGATTGTTTCGTTTACCAACAACGCCCAGAAGGTAGTATGTGAAGTAACTCACGCTGATCCTCCTGATCTCTGACTCAGCAATAGATCCAGCAGTGAGACACTGATACCATCTAACGTGCCAGGCTCGCTTTCGGGAGTTTGGGGGGCCCCGTACATCAGGAAATTTGGGTTGAGATTATAAGCGAAGGCCGCAAATAGATAGGTTTATAATATTCGCGGGAGGCTTTCTTAGCGATTGTACTGCAGCGGGCATGTATTATGATTGCTTACAAGCTGTGGCAATCAGTTATAACCTTGCTGAAATATTATAACCACATTATTACTGCTTACAATCAAGTCCGGATCACTCGTAATCACATATGTTCATACTCGACAGAGATTATAAGCCTGTTTTAAGTGTGAACTAGCAAAGCTGGGGGGATTAGAAGTGATGGAAGATGCATAATACTAGTTCAGCATCTGCACTGATGCCCGCCAACTCCAAGCTGTGATTCAAGCACCCAAGGTACGCGACAACACGAAATTAGTATCACTCTATGGTTCGTATGTACAGGAATCGGAAAAAAAACTCGCTAGATTATTTCCTACCAAGGACTCTGCCGGAGAAACTTGCTACTCCCGATTAAGGCTCCAACTATTTATACTATTTACACTCCTGAGGTGTAAATAAATAGTATATAGTAAACAGTTATCTATATGTCATATAAACAGTTTATATAAAGTTTATATAGTTTTTTTGGTCCCATCTTTTGATGGAGTTTTACTCAACTGTGAGCAGCCTCTGTGATTGTTGAGGCCTTTAAGGACCTGTTTGCATCAGCAAGCACATGACAGTGAGCAGAAAACAAGCATTCAATGTCAACACTTGCACCAGAAATGACCAGAAAATCTTATGTCATACAAGAAATGACAAGAAACTCATGTTCATGAGCCTATATGATGATAAACTGTCAGTGGTGACTGCTGTTAAACACTATGACTTTCAATTGGCTCACTGTTGTGCTGTCAAATCTAGCAATTGTGCACTCAATAGCCCTATATCATCATAAAACTATTTATACTATATATATACATCTATTTACTATGTACAGGCCCAACTGTAAATAAACAGATATAGTAAACAGTTAAAACTATGTAACATAGTAAATAGATAGAAATGTTAGAGCCTTACTCCCGATGTGACTGCACAACACACCTATTCATCATTACTCACATCAGCCATGCTTAGAATGCACATCCACCAACCTGACGATGCTCTCATCCCTCAATATCTTCACCTTTCATGAAGTCCTCGCATGACTTGCCAGACTATTATCTACAGATACTCGCGACAAGGTCTTGCTGGTCGTTGACTTGACTGCTCAAAAATTTCGTTCATCAACCTCATGTTCATTTGACATGGACCACACATGGCAATGTGATGATGGCCTTCGCCTCCACACTGCTGACTTGCTAACTTTTCCGGCAGTCTGTTGGTGATCTCCTCAATATCCTCGTTGAGCTTTTTGAGTAGCTGGAGGTGCGATGAGGGCGAGCACGAATACTAGCACTCTGTTTGAGATGAATCTGTAATCCAAATGGGCATTCGTAAAGGAATCCAAACAGTCGGTGACAGAGGAATACTTGCTCTGCATGGTGCCAAAATGGTGGAACTCGATTGAGGGACCTCATTAGTCGATTAGTTATGCTACCACTCAGTGGTCATCTCGTGTATGGAGTAGCCAATAGCGAAACTGAGCATATGCTGAGCAAAAATCAACAGGGTCCACATCTTCGTGTTGATAGCAGATATCCCATGCTCAATCTTCTATTGAGAAGTCTACCGGAGATTATGAAGCAAGATGAACATTACAAGGCTCACCATGGAGGTGAACAGAGTAGAATGGGAATCATGAAGTGCAGCGTTGGTAACCATGAAGGTGAAGCACGTTTGTGAGGTGAGATCAGGTACAGAGTTGTGAAGGAAAATGTGACAAAATGGCCCATGGAATCGACTAATGAGCAAGACAGGTTAGCAGAGGCCCACCATCGACATGATCCAGCACGCACCATGAGTATCCCCATCCTGACTTACTCATTCTTACTACGAGAATGCTCACCTGCTGCCCTTCCATGCTGCGACAGCCAGATACCGCACGAATGCCCTTCGGTGGGATGCACAAACACCTCAAGTTAGAGCACACTTCATTCACGACAGCTCAGCGATCTCGGTCTTATACCTGCGAGGGCAGATAGGTGCATTTCTACAGCTAGCATGGGAACGGTCCAGTACTGTTCCATGGACAGGATGACGACAGATGCATTGACAGCTTGCATCGTCTTTGTGCCTGCAGTGGTCAGTATCAGTGCATGAGATTTGAGCATCACGAGGTTCTCGTCGGGTACGAAAGAGAAGGCAATTGAGGTAGTGATGCAAGCAGAGTACTTTCTGAGAGTGCTGGTGGCAGAATGAGGCAGTTTTGATGCCACTGATGAGGAGGCAGAAGAATGCAGCTCACTGCAATGCACAAGAAGCCCGAATGAGCAGCGAAATGTCTGCCACCACTGTTGACTGGAAATATTTGATATGTGAACATGGTTCACACATCATCATAACAGCACATCAAGGCACTTCAACACTTGCTGGAAAAAAATGGAGTACCGTGCATGGGTGGCATGATGCTAGGCTGCTCGCACTCCCTCAGCAGAGCATGTGGCTGCATCAACGACAGATGATGATGGAAATGTAAGACCTCACAGAATGACACCGTCTTGTGGAGCGAGGCTTCGTGAACGCTCTCACGCATTGCGACGGCAAAGGCAAGTCCATCCAGATGCACTCCACATCATCCAAGATGACTGCGAGAGACTCAGCATCTGCGAGGATGAGTGCTTTGAGCAATAGGTTTCTCTAGTAGCCTTCTTCTTAGCCATAGATGAGTCAGTACGATGGTAAAAGTGCAGTGCAGCAGGCAGAGAAGGTGACAAAAGATCTTCTAGAGTCCTAGGAAGATCATAGACAGAGACACAGTGAGCAAGAAAGTGCATCCAGATGAAATGAGCAGGGACAATGCGAATGTTCAGTATATGCACCCTGCTCGCATGCCACAGGCATGACACATCTTCGGCGCTTATCTGACAGTACATGAAGTATGTACGACAGCATGTACCATCATATCTATAGTCAACTGGTAAGTTGCAGCACTATTTTACCATGGAATGATTCCCGTGTATATGCACGTTCGAGTCCTGTAGTAAACATTCGCAAGATTTTGAGTGGGTAGTAGGTTAATGCTTCGACTAGTAAGCGCTTGTGATAAATGAATTGTCTACGAGCAGTAAAGAAAGCAATAAAAATCAGAAAAAGATGGAATGAAAGCTTACATTGCTTACTGTGTGCATAAATAAGAATTTTGACCACTGCTTGGATATTGTTGTTTGCTTGCAGTTACAATGTGCATGCCGGGTTTACTCATGATTATAATCACTGCTTGCTGCGATTACAACGTTTCAGGTGCCCGATAGTCAACAATTGTAATCTATAAGTGTATGCATCATTACACATTATAACGGGGTACTGCTGTGATTGTAACTGGTTGTGCAAATCGTTCAGGTTTTCGTAATTGCTCGCATAGGGGTCAATATAATTTTTGCAATAACTACAATTTAAATTGCTTATTCGCGCTTATGCAATGCGAACCAAATTCCTGATGTAGGACCCAGGCAACTCCCCTAGATGATTATCACAAAAATCCCTCAAAATGAGCCTGAAATATGCAAACTTTTGGGCCTCCAGTATGCAAAGTGCACCTCTGCTGCCGTGCTGGTCTCCATCAGGCTGTAGGAGGAGAAGTAGCGGGTTCACGAGCCTCTGGCATCCACCGAGGCCCTCACATATCATTTGTCTGGCATCTTCGAGCGCCTCAGCGAAGTATATACATGCAGATTAGTAGACAATGTCCATAGTAAAAGAAGTGAAAATGGAAGCAGGATAAGACAAGGTTCAGTGGAAAAGAACGGAGAATGAAAGCGAACAGCGAGAAGAAAAAAGAAAACAGAAGAGGGAGAGGAGGGCAGGGGGAGAGATAGAAATGGATCAAGCTCTGCGATGGGGATATTAGCAAAGCTGACAGGGTGGCGGCGGAGCTGAACTCACTTCGTTGCTGGGGATCTTAATGACGGTGGAGCCGATGCGTCCCTATGCAACTGGATGTCGTGTATCAGAGCAAAGCTCTCCAACGACGGGAGAAAGACAAGCACTTACCTGATGAGGAGGAAGAGCGAGGCTCTGTCCCATCCTCTCTTCGCCAGGGCTTATAAGTGCTCATCTCCAAGCCCCTGGTGTGTGCTGTATCCCCTGTGTGGTGGCAAGCTCGAGCCTGGCATGAATCACGTGTTGCAGCCTAAGCCATCCCTTCTAGAACTTCCGCTGACGTACCTCAGTGTCACAATATTATGTGGCACCTTTCTTTTTGCACCATAAAGTTCTCATTTGGCAATGACAAGTGGTTATTCAGACACCAATCTTCCTATTGGTCTCACAAAGTGGATACTTGGACAAACAGCACAATACTGCCACATACATTGCAGATATGACTGTGTCTACCACATAACCACCAAGTGCCCAGGATTCAGCCACCCAATCACATGACACTGGCCATTTGCCCTATTCAAAAGTTGTCAGATGTTGATCACATGACATCAGGCCACTTGCCTAGAAAGGAACCCTTTGGACCATCAAGCTAGCAAGCACCCAATTCGCCACTCAGATAGTGGCACCACTTTGCTGCATGCATTGGGGCTTTGCCTTGATTGCTGGTTATATGTCACTGTGCACCATCCTCAGCCTAGCCCTTGTGGCAGGCTTTTATGTTGTGGATTTATTTGTGCAGGTCACACAAGCAGACTTGCCCTTAATTGGGTTAAGTGCTTTGTGCTTTGTGACACTCAGCATCCTTGAATGAATGACCGCTTCACGTGATCCTGCACAAGCATGGTGGCGGTGCCCCCATATAGCATGCTGAGCGAGTAGGAATGAGATGTTTGATGAGGCGCAGAGGCCTCCGAAACATCTCCCTTACTTCTGGAACCCAGTGTTACTCCAACCTCTGCTGCCGTGCTGGTCTCCATCAGGCTGGAGGAGGAGAAGTAGTGGGTTCATGAGCCTCCGGCATCTGCCGGAGGCCCTCACATATCATTTGTCTGACGTCTTCAAGCGTCTCAGCTATGACCTAAGGATGATGTGTGTGGGGGAGGGGGAGGTGAGAGAAGATGAGAGTGAGAAGCCGAATCAAGAGTCAGGATGGAGAGAAGCAAGTTGCAAAGCAGCATGCACAGAAGGGTTGTCCCGAATATATAGTTTCCATGCTGGGGAGGACCAGTGACCAAGTCTCTGAATGACATCCTCTGACAGACCAAGGCCAGCATAGAACGTAGCGCCCCCAGTGCAGGCTGAGTGGCCACCAAATGAATGATCGAGAAGAGCGAAAAAATGGTGATTGAACCAGGCGTGAGTGGGCTCAGAGCCATCAGCACAGGGGAAAAGAGCTGCACGCGTGCCATGACAATGATCATGATGTGAGACATAGGTAGTGAGCAGATGAACCGGGCAGGCAATGGCTTGACAAAGATGGAGGATGGTGGTATCCATGTAGAAATGGTCACTTTTATGATAAGGAAGATGGTAGCTGACACGAGTAGGGAGGAAGTGGAGAGAGGCCCATTTAATCATTTTGCGCCAGTCCCACAAGGAGTGGTCATTAGGCTTAACAAGCTCACCAAGGCGGTGGCATGCATAGAAGGCACAGGAAAGAATGATCGCAAATAGGAGATCATCATAAAGATTGGAGTGAAGGGTGAGGTGAGCAAAGATGGTGAGGTGAAGCAGTCACAGAGGGAGCTTGCAAGTAATAAAATCAGCACGAACCTTGCAAAAGCCATGGATAGTTGCTTGAACCAGAGGATGTGCTCGATTGCAGGAAAAGTCTGGATAGATGTCCTGCAAGAAGTGCCGAGCACCTGACAGGTATTTGGGTGCAGAGTGAATGAAGTGAGATGTATATGCGATATAGCATGTGAGAGTGGATGGTGTCAGATCGAGAGGGAGGCCATGCTTGATGCAAAAAGAGATATAGTCACAGACGCCAGTGGCATAGCCCTTCTGGGTAGAGAGCTCAGTGGCGGAAGCCTGCAAAAAGCGATGCGAGCGAAGATGGCGAGGTGAAGTGGTTGCAGAGGGAGCTTGTGAGTAATAAAATCAGCACGAACCTTGCGGGAGCCATGGATAGTCACTTGAACCAGAGGATGTGCTCAATTGTGGAAAAAGTCCGGATAGATGTCCTGCAAGAAGTGCCGAGCACCTGACAGGTATTTGGGTGCAGAGCGAATGAAGCGACATGTATATGCGATATAGCGTGCAAGAGTGGATGGTGTCCGATCAAGAGGGAGGCCATGCTTGATGCAAAGAGAGATATAGTCACGGGCACCGATGGCATAGCCCTTCTGGGTAGAGAGCTCAGTGGCAGAAGCCTGCAAAAAAGTGATGCAAGCATCAATGGATGTGAGAGTGGTGGGTGAGTGAGCAGTGCGAGGATGACGCTGCCCACCCAGGGCATTCAAAAGCACTTCCTCCAGCATGCCGGCAAAAGCTGGTGGAGAGGTGAGAAGAGGCAGACACAGTCAGCATTGAATCGTGCAGTGTAGTCATCAAGAAGCAAGTGAGACAGCATATCGGCACACACATTTTGCTTGCCCAGAATGTGGTGGACATGCAGGTCGATGCCAGACTCCATGACTATACTGGTGATGGCCTACAGAGGAGCATTGTGCAGGATTTGCACCACTGCAAGAGAATGAAGAGCATCGACAGAATTGAGGCTGTCAGTCCAAAGAAGCACCCAATGAGGAGGATGAGATAAGGAGGCAGCATGGTGGAAAGCAGATAGGATAGCCATCATTTCAAGGAAGAAGATGTCGATGGATGGAGAACCGGAGCAGGATTGAATGGGATAGATGAAGGCATGGTTAGAGAAGACGAATGCAAGGGCCTTGATGAGCGCGGTGTCAGTCCAGATCACCATGTCAGCCTCAGAGATATTTCAACGACCATCGTCGACAAAGCGAACACCAGTGGAGCGTGGAATGGTATCCAGAAGCCAAGTGAGGTCAGTGATGATCTCCCAATTCAAGAAGAGGCCAGCGGAACAAAACATTTTACCAGCGATTTTGCGATAAAGTTCGGTAAGGGCAGGATGACCCCAAGGTAAGACATTGAGAAGCCAGTTAAGTGAGCCAGCCAGACGTTGCCAGTCTCGCAATGTCGGACGATGTGTTTCTGTGTGGAGGAAGGCAATAATATCAGCGCAAAAGTTCACCAGTGTGAATGAAGAGAGGGAGATCGATCTGAGGTTAATGTCAACTCAGAAGCCAATGATGGTGAGAGCCGGGCCAAAGAGCTGCTTCTGGTCATCCCACGGACAGGAGATAGTGTCCCAAAAAATGAGAAGTTGTGCTTGACAGCATGGGCAAAGATGACTGCAATAGTAAACACAGCTGCCCTCAAAATCCCAGCCAAAGTTGTCATCCATGTATACATGTAAGCCAACAATATCAAGTTTGCAGACAGCAATCCAGCAGAGAAGCTGAGAGACTGAGCACCATATGCGGGGTGAAGCACGATTGCTGAAGATGAGGTGGCAGACAAGATACTACCATCCACAGTAACGACCTGGTGAAGCTGCCAGAGTGGGTGAGCAGGAAGGTTCAGGAAGGCGGAGGTGACATCATCCTTGAAGACAATCAGGTGATGGCCAGGATGAGTGTGGTGGGCATCTCACATTTCTTGCCCAAAGTCGCACATGTTATCATAGCGAATGGTGGCTGCAGTGCACGGGATACCATCATTGAGCCCCGAGGCAAAGTGGTCCATTACGACACGAGGCTTATCATCTCACCATACAACAAACATGAGGGAGATTTTCATGTCAGGCAATAGCTGCGAGAGCTCCGATGACCACCGACCAGCTGATAATTCCTTATCTTGAAATGCTCGGATAGCGTCGATATCGGGAGAATCAGCAAGATAATTTTTGAATACTTCTTCCATCTCTACCTTCCATTCACCATCATCTGGTGGCCAGAACCCATGACGAAGACCATGCATGATGGATTGGACAAAAAGTGGATTAGGATGATCAAAAAGGATCCTTTCAAGCTTATCGACATTGAACGGGGTGTCCACCCGAATATGGTCCTTGCAAGCTTCAAGCGCCACCTTAATAGCAGAATCAGCGAGCAGGTGAGCAGGTGGATCTGGAATGGGTGGTGCCACTTCAGTAAATCAGGCAGTGGGTGACATGAGTGAATGTTCAGCATCTGCCCAACCAAACTTTCATCGAAAACGAGGAAGCTTATTGGCGGACTCCGCTTTCCACTTGCTCAAGGTGGAAGCTGCCTTGACAAGAGGTCTAGGCCCTTGTGCTGCTACATGTGCTGCCACGGCTGCTTCCAGGGCCTCATTGGCTTTTGTGAGCATTGAATGTGTTATGGCAGATGGCATCGTCCTTGACACGATGTGGTCCTCCACACTCCCAGCAGAGGCCATGCTTTCACTGGTTAGGGCAAGGGTCATGGTCACAATGCCCCAGGTTCCAATTGAGGCACAGCGTAGTCACCCGCTTCGAAGATGGGGATAATTGCCCCTGATAGGATCATTTTCTGAGGGTGGTTTGGGAAGACAGCTGCATGATCTCTGCAAAGATATGTACTTGAAGGCGAGGATGATCATTAAGATGATATGGGGACTTGTGATAGGCATCACGAGCTGCTCAGTCCACTCTAATCATGATGGATGGGTTGAGAGCCATGGCATGGAACAGCTCCAAGATGATAGTATGATATTCATCCAATTCGGAGGAGCAGTGAGGATAAAGATAAAGCACCACTTCAGCCCAAGCACCAAAGACACATAGCCAGTCTGACTCTGAATGGATGAGTCACTGAGATGATGAATGGTCTTTCTTGATAATAGCGAAGCCTGCTGCAAGGTCTTTGGGCTCATCATCATGATTGTACCTAACTTTCATGTGTCACGGCACATTATAGATCCTGCTAAAAGGCAAGAAAATGGCTGCAAGGTGCTAGCCACGCTCAGTGACCTGCACAAAATCTAAAATAAGGACCTGCCACAAGGGGGCTAGGTCAAAAAGGCATGCAGTGACATGCAGCCTACAAAAAGGGGCTCAAAGGGCCCATAGCCTTATGTCACACAAAGAGGGGGTGAAGGCTTCTTAGGCCGCATGAAATAGATGAATGAATCTAAGGTCTTCCCTTAGATCCTCATGTGCTTATATACATGTAGTGGTGGACCCTGGGTACCCTAACCATGGTGTACTTACTGGGGTCCTGTCCTGTCTACATGTGAACATATTGCTAAAACCAGTAATGGTTCTGGACTTTTGCTATAGCAACTATCTATAAAGGCTGTGGATATGCCAAGGTAATCCTACTTTACCCAATGAGATAATTGCATGAAGGTGGTGCCACTATTTGAGTAGCTGAAGTGGTGCCACTTATCGAGTGGCCAATGGAGGTTTTGCCATAGTGCATATTCTAATGCTGGTGCTACTATTTGGCAGCCATGTAGTTGGTGCTGCTATTGAGCAGCGAATTGGGTGCTTGCTAGCTTGATGGTCCGATGAGCACAGATAAGCCTATTGTGGGCCAAAGAGTTTCATTCTGAGCAAGTGGCCTGGTGTCACGTGACCAATGCCTGATAATTTCTGAATAGGGCAAGTGGCCAGTGTCACATGACTGGGTGGCTGAATCATGGGCACTTGGTGATCATGTGGTAGACACAGTCATATCCATGATGTATGTGGTGATATTGTGCTGTTTGTCTAAGTATCCACTTTGTGAGACCAATATGAAGGTTGACATCTGAATAACCACTTGTGGTTGCTGAATGGTGACTTTATTGGTGCAAAAAGAAAGATGCCACTTAATACTGTGACATCATGGATGTGAAGAGTTTCTCAAAGTTAACATATCGATCCATAAGCACATCCTTCCAGATTGAGCGAGGCACTGGGACCTGCACGCTTTGCTGCTGCATGAGATCCAGAATGGGGTCACTTGCCCATTCTAAGACATACAACTGGTGAAGACGGAATGTCTCGATCAGGTGAGAATTCTGCAAGGCTGGAGAGGTGGCTGTGAGATGCGGCGCTGCTGTGAGAACAGACTGCGGGATACCAAACGAACTCGAAGATAGTTCCAGTGCTTTGGAAAGCTCATCAAAGGAGAAGTCAGCACCCACGCAGCTCCTACCAGCTTGCTGAAGTGCGATAAGTTTCTGCTGTATGATCACCCAGGCCAAAGTGTCAGCTGGGCTCTCTGCCAGCTGATGACCCTCCTGGTTATGCTCTTCTCCTCTCTCGTTAGACGATGCAGGACTAGGTTCGCAATCGTGATCGCGCTCAGCTTGTTCAAGGAGCAGCTCGACATAGTCACGGACATCTGGTTCATTCGCTCCAATCTCCTTGAGATGCTGAATGGCCTGATCATAGGTAAGGTGCGATGCTGCTGCATCTGAGACGATGGCTTGCATCTGCTGAGCTCGAGCTTGGATGGCCTCAGGAGAGTTCGGAGTATTCCCGGTGTTCTGCGCAGAAGAAGACTCATTGCTACTGACCATTGATGATTCAATAGATGGTGGCAAAGTGTCGTAGATGCAAGCTACCAAAGGGAGAGATAGAAATGGATCAAGCTCTGTGACAGGGATGTTAGCAGAGCTGACAGGGGTGTGGTGGAGCTGAACTCACTTCATTGCTGAGGACCTTAATGATGGTGGAGCCGATGCGTCCCTATGCAAGTGAAGTGTCTGGATGTCATGTATCAGAGCGAAGCTCTCCAACAATGGGAGACAAAGACAAGCACTTACCTGACAAGGAGGAAGAGCGAGGCTCTGTCCCATCCTCTCTTCGCCAGAGCTTATAAGTGCTCATCTCCAAGCCCCTGGTGTGTGCTGTAGCCCCTGTGTGATGGCAAGCTCGAGCCTGGCATGAATCATGTGTTGCGGCCTAAGCCTTCCCTTCTAGGACTTCCGCTGACATACCTCATGCCTGGATTGGGGGGTCTCCCAACCCCATCGGATTCCCAAATATGCTAAGTTGCGATAAGGATAAGGGTGTTTTGGGGTCCTCCAAGGTCCGAAATATGCAATCAGCGACAAGAAAATTGCAATTTGGGGCCCCTCAAATATGCTATTTTGTGACAATCATCTAGGGAAGTTGCCCGGGTCCTGGCCCCATCCTAGGGAGGGTACACGGTGCCACATCCTAGACTGATTGGTGTCACAGATTTTTGCCACAAAGTCCACACGTGACTTTTCTCATGCCACAGATCACATGCTTCACCAATATCTCACACCACTCAGCCACAGACATGACGCGTAGAGATCAGGTGATAGTCCACATCATGTGTTATGGTCCAGATCCATGGATGATACAGTCAGACCTGTCTATTCCAGGATATAATAGAGGCACCCATTTGGAAATAAAGGGAACAAGGACTATTGTTCGAGATCGTCTAGGCAATCAGCTCAAGGTATAGTCATTACCATGATAGGATGGATCGTCTTACCGTTGTCATGAGAGTACATCAATCTTCTCACCTATTGTTCTACTTATGGATAGATCTTCCCACTTATTATTTCATGTATAGCCTAGTTGCCTAGATACATAGATAGCCAATTATCTATTTTGTAGTAGTGGTATGATGAAGGTTATGTCATCAGGCTCCTGTACACATATATCAGACCAGCATGTAGAGGACGAAACTTCAGATTGTTTCTCCTCATCTACCACTGTAACATCCACTGAGCCTACCAGCTCCTTCATATATCTCTCACCCTTCCATAGCTTGCATCGCCAACAAGTAAGTTCTGGGCTCTTGCACCACATAAGGGTTCAGGGAGATTATAGAGATCAGGGGGATTAGGGCGAGCACATTCCACGTGACTGTTCCTTTTTAGTCTTTTTAATCTCCTGTCCAGCGGTGCTGTGACATTAGAAACAATCTGACCATTTTCTGTGCCCCTGCTTAGTGTCTAACACAAGTGGCCCCATATTTTCAGCGCAAGCAGTTTCAGCCATTGTGTGCAGCTTTTTTGACACACATTCCAATCTGATCTCTACTCGGCATGAGCCTCAGCAAGACTCTGAGCTGCCTAAGGCTTCGAAGTGCAAGGCCACATCCAGGATTGATCTCGACGTCCACTACAAGCATCAGGAAACCAACAAGGAGTGAGGAAGGCTCCTCACACTCACGTCACTAGGTGCATTGTCCACAAACAGGCAGCATGCAGCAGCCAGGGTCATCAATACTATGCACATTATAAAGTGCGAAATCATCCGCAAGCCTCGCGATCGCACCCCACCACTCGAATGCTACAAGCCCAGAAAAGGATGTCTTACCATGGGTAGTCACAAACCAGTGCCGCCCCCAGAGCTCATCACCTCCAATGCAGCATCTCCCTCCATCGTCACTCCCATTCCAGTTCGCCCCCTGCCAAACTTCATAAAGACCAACAGCATTGCACATCCCATCTGCCCACTCCCATCCAGAGTCAGGCTGATGATCCATATCGAGACGCTCATCAAGCAGGTAGATGCTACCCACTTCAGGCTCCAACCTATACTAGGAGCATTCTCGTATCATCTCAAGGATGAACACCAAGGACCCATTTACAGCCTCGTCACACAACTCGACAAAGTCTGCACCAACCTTCACACCGGCACATGCACTTACACATTCATCGAGAAGCAAGTAATCAACACGGTCTGTTTAGAGATAGGAGGGATTAGCTTTAAGCAGATAGGGAAAGAGGAAAGGCTACAGGAGATCACCAAAGCTCTGGTTTTCATTGTGAAGAAGCGATATTTGAAAACTTTTTGTACTAGTCTACATACCTTTACATCACAATGGAAGGAGCAGATCGAGCATACATGTCCACGTTCAGACAAAGAATGGAGGACATACTTCATCCTAACATTGAAATGGCACACAATGGAAGTACTCCACATACATCACAACACAATTCACCTGAGCCTGGGCTAGAACCCCAGAATTCTGCATCCCAAGTCAGAGGACCCACATTCCTGACACCATCACTCCTACCCGCCTATATTCCTCTCACCTGGAAGTTTGACGAACAGCAATTTGAACATCTAGAAGATGCACTCAGGCAATCTGCCCCCGAAGAAGTCCCAGATCATATCCGTGAATGGGTCATCATCGTCATGAAGCTTACAGTTCACACAGAAGTCGCAAAGGTTTACAACATGCTTGAAAACAAACTGTACGAGCACAAAAGAGCCTTCGACATGGTCATCCAGATGAACTGAAGTGAGCACCGATTAAAGGATGTGGTCCTCCAGACAGAAATCAGAAAGCTCAACAAAAAGATCTAAGTGCAAGACGTGCATATGACAGTTCTCAACAATGAGATCACAGAGATACAAGGGGCCATGCTAGGCATGGGCAAAAAGATGATGGAACTTGGTGCAGAAAACACCAAGTTACGCCATGAGTTAGCTTCACTAAAAGCAAGCAGTGTCACAATGGCGCAAGGTCACACCTCCAGCACCATCCAATTGAACAAACCCCATGTCAAAATTGCTGAGCCTCCACACTACTTGGGCAAAGGAAGTCTGGAGGACTGGCTCCAACAACTCAATATATGGATGCAGTGGAACGAGATCAACGACAACGAACATAAGATCACCACAGCCCTGCTGCACTTGGAAGGTGGCACGTTCACCTACATGTCAGAATACGCAACCAGGGCAGCAGCACGACAGTCACTCAGCACATGGGAAGACTTTGTCAATGTTCTCAAAGTCAACTACAGGACACTTGACTCAGACAAGGATGTGCAACAACACCTGAAGGAGATCTGTGCAAAGACCTACCCTACCATGGTCTCCTTCACAGAAACATTCTGCCAATAGGCTACCAAGACCAACTTGAGGCACACTGCACTCATCAGTTATATCACTGAACACAGAGACAAGGACGTCCACCAGGCAATGGTAACTCGAGACAGCTTAGGTATCGCAGATCCAACCACATGGCCATAGTACCTTGATTTATGTCTTCAGCTCGAGTCTAAGTTCAGGGCTGACAAAGCAGGACAGTGTGGAACAACGGCATTATCACAGGCACCACGAGCCCCAAAAGATCCTAACACAATGATTGTGGATCGGGTATCCACGCTCACCAAGGAACAGGAAGGATGGCTGGAAAAGAAGCTGTGTGTATGATGTGGAAAACACCCCTTCATATTTAAACAGTGCTGCCTGGACCCCAAGTACAAAGGCAAATTCAAGATGCCAAAGCGGGGCCAAGCGACGAGGGCAATTACCACACCAGCAGCATCAAGCAGTTCCGACAACAGCAAGGCAAGGGAAGAAGCAGTCCATGCTTTCCTCACCAGCTATGACGTGAAGGATAAGGAGGCAGAACCTGAACCAGCTATCAAAGCAGCTAGGATCACGGAGGTGGAAAGTGATGAGAATTTTCTTCGGCAGGTTCTCTGAGGTCTGGCCAGAGTTTTCATAGACATTGTAACAGTACCTACTCGATCTTGCATGTACCAGTATCAGATTTTCTATACATTGCATCAACTGGTTCATCAAAACATGTGATCGATTTACCTGTTCACCTCAAACAGGGAGTAAAGGAAGTCCAGACTGAGGCGCTCCTCGATTCAGGAGCATATTCTTGTAACATCAACCCATGGCTGGTTGATCAGTTGAATCTTGCTACGATCTCACTTGAAAAGAAGATCAGGGTCTATAATGCAGATGCATCTCACAACAAGGGTGAAACCATTAAGAAAAGGGTTCTTCTCAGTATAACTATCAGAAATCACACGAGCAGACAAAGTCTTCTGGTTACTGATATAGGTCACAAGGACATCATACTAGGAATGAGTTTCCTCAAGGAGCGCAACCCTGAAGTAGATTAGGAAAAACTCACAGTTGATTTCACCCGATGCCCACACAGATGTGCACTCTCACAGGTAGCAGTCCAGGAGGAGGATCTGGAAGACACAAACATCCCCCACATCGAAGATCTGATGGAGTTCGTCGGTTCCCAGGAGTTAGGTGATAACTGGAACGACATGGACAGCTTCATTAGATGGGTGTCATTATCAGAAGACCCTGATGCACAGGCCGTAGCATCACTCATTATGGGCCTTGACACCAAGAGGAATCAGGATAGAGCGCCACAAAAAGGAGAACAGGACAAAGACTACTGGTCAGCCTATGTCCCCAAACACTTCCACGAGTATGGCGATGTGTTCTCCAAGAAGCAGTCAGAATGAATGCCCACAAGAAAGCCCTATGATCATCCAATTGAACTTGTTCCAGAGGCATTGTTACCATGCCTGGCAAAGTTATATCCTATGAACCTACAGGAAAAAAATTCGCTTGATACGTGGATAGACCAAGAGTTGGCCAAAGGATACATCAAGAGATCAAGAAGCCCAACAGCAGCACCCATTTTCTTTGTCAAAAAGAAAGACAGATCACTGAGGCTAGTACAAGACTATAAGAACCTTGACGCAGTAATAAAGAAGGACAAGTTCCCAATACCATGCATTTCGGACCTCATCGACAGACTCTCACATGCTAGTATATTTATAAAGCTTGATCTGAGATGGGGGTTCAACAACATAAGGATAAGGGAAGGGGATGAAGAAAAAGCTGCCTTCATCACACATCGTGGCCTCTTCGAACCTACAGTAATGTACTTCAGTTTCTGCAACGCTCCCAGCACCTTCCAAACAATGATGAATACAGTCCTTGAAGACTTAATTCGTACTGGAAAGGTGGTAGTCTACTTAGACGACATCCTCATTTTTACGGATGATCTCGAAGAACACTGATGACTAGTAAAAGCAGTTCTACAGTGCCGCTGGGACAATGACTTATATGTCAAACTGGAGAAATGCTTTTTTGAACAGTCCTCAATTGAGTACCTTGGCATGATCATCAGCAAGAACTCGGTACAGATGGACCCTGCTAAAGTCAAAGGTGTACTTGGCTGGCACGCACCTACAAAGGTCAAACAAGTACAGGCCTTTTTAGAATTTGCGAATTTCTACAGGTGATTTATAAAGGACTTTGCTAAACTCGCATGACCTTTAACGCTTCTCACCTGTAAGGACGTGCCCTGGCAATGGAAGAAAGAGCAAGAGCAAGCCTTCAGTGCACTCAAAATGGCATTTACCTCAGCCCTGATCTTACAACTCCTCAATGACACTGCACCATACCATCTGAAGACCGACTCCTCAGACTACGCAACTGGTGCAGTACTTGAACAACTGGGAGAAGACAAGCTATGGCATCCAGTCGCATACTACTCAAAGTCACTCAACAAAAATGAGAGAAACTATGAGATTTATGACAAAGAGATGCTTGCAATCATTTGAGCACTAGAAGAATACTGGCACTACTTCGAAAGACACCCAGAATCCATCGAGATTTGGTCAGACCACCTCAACCTTACATACTTCCACCAGGCACAGAAGTTATCCCAGTGCCAAGCATGCTGGGCATTATTCCTCACATGTTTCAATTTTGTACTTAGTCACCAACCTGGAAAGACAATGCTACGTGCTGATCCTCTGTCCAGGAGGCCAGACCATGAGAGGGGGGTAGACAGCGACAATTCGAACCAAATGCTGTTAAAACCTGAATTTTTCACTATCAATGCGATTCGACCCACTCACACATCTGAAGTTGATGATGCTCAACTACTGGAAAGGATCAAGAAGGCACTCACAGATGACATGATGATCAAAGATTATTATGCACTTTTGACTACAAGACAGCGCGAATTCGGGAAAAACCTCGCAGAATGGAATTTTGAGCACAGACTGCTACTCCATCGCAGAAAGGTTTATATCCTTAAAGATCAACAGCTATGCCTTGACCTAATAAAGCTCCACCATGACACTTTACCAGCCAGACACACAGGCAGATTCAAGATGTTGGAGCTCATCACTCGAAATTATTGGTGGCCAGGAATGTCTGTAATGGTTAAACAATATGTACAAGGTTGCGACAGTTGTCAATGCAACAAGTACTCAAGAGAGAAACCATATGGACTATTACAATCCAATGATGTACCAGGAGGACCATGAGAGATCATCACAGTGGATCTCATCACACAACTTCCTCCAGTCATGGACTTTAGGGGAGAGAAGAAGACAGCAATACTTGTCGTCGTAGACAGACTCACGAAATGAGCACACTTCTATGCAACAGATGACACAGTCACATCATCGCAAGTCGCTAACGTACATATTCTATAACGAAGTCTTCAAACTCCACAGATTGCCACGACAGATTATCTCAGACAGAGGTACCCAGTTTGCAAGCAAACTATTCCAGGAGTTCTGCCAGAAGCTCAGTATAAAGTCAACAATGTCTACAGCATACCATCCCCAGACAGACGGTCAGACAGAAAGGGTTAACCAGGTGTTGGAACAGTACCTTCACATGTACTGCAACCACAGACAGAATGATTGGGTCTACTATTTGTCAACGATAGGATTTTCATACAACAACCAGACCCATGAGTCCACTGTGCTTTCCCCATTCTTTGTCGAATATGGCTGACATCTAAAAATGGCACCTGACGTACACGAATCAATATGTCACCCTTCATTTAAACATTTATTCGCCCACTGATCTGAGGCACAGGAACAGGCAAAAGCAGCATTGGAAGTTTCAGCTTCACGGATGAAATGATACTTCGATGAGAAAAAGGGAGAAGTCCCATTCAAAGTCGGAGACCTAGTACTACTCAAGGGAAAAGACCTCAGAGTAAAAGTCAAATTTGCGAAGCTAGGCACGCAAAATTTTGGACCTTACAAAGTACTTCAGAAGCTAGGCCCAGTCACGTTCAAACTGAAATTGCCCAAGCAAATGAAGGTCCATCCGGTCTTCCATGCTAGCAAGTTGATCATGTACCATCAAGACACGGTCACAAACCATGAACCCCCAAAGCCCCCAGCTATAGAAATCGAAGGAAAACCAGAATTCGAAGTTGAAGAAATACTAGACTCGAAGGTCATGAGAGGAAGGGTCCAGTACCTTGTCAAATGGAAAGGCTATGACCATTCCGACGACACATGGGAACCCCAAACAAATCTCACCAACGCCGACAAGCTTCTTCAAGAATTCCACCAACAACATCTAGATGCAGCCAAAGCACCAATCAGGCTTGTTACATTTGGTGGAAAACGCTTCGAACTATCCTCATATGAAGTTGCACCAATATCCACACACAGAATCAACATGTTTGACCACCCAGACGAGTTCTTCCTATATCATAAAATGACAGATAATGCTAAATCACTGAAGAAATCCTCGAATGAAGCAGCAGGATGGAATATTTATGCAGCAGAAATGCACGAAATCCCTCCACATTCACGAGCTGTGGTAGAAATGGGAGTCGCAATTGACCCTCCCAAACATACCTATACATGAATAGCTCCACACAGCGAACTGGCTGCATGAGGAATTGACGTAGGTGCAGGAGTTGTTGACCCTGATTACACTGGAAAACTCAAGGTCATACTGATTAACACAATGGATTTCGTCTTTTCGGTCAAGCTAGGAGACAGGATAGCCTAGATAATCTTCGAGTATTATGCCGAAGGCCTTCCCTCCCAAAGCTACCAACTGTTGTGAGCAACTAAAAGGAGAAATAAAGGTTTTGGCTCCTCGGGACAATGAGCCTTGAGAGGGGGGTAGTGTCACGGATTTTCACCACAAAGTCCGCACGTAACTTTTCTCATGCCACAGATCACGTGCTTCACCAATATCTCACACCACTCAGCCACAGACATGATGCGTAGAGATCAGGTGATAGTCCACATCACATGTTATAGTCCAGACCCGTGGATGATACGGTTGGACCTGTCTATTCCAGGATACAATAGAGGCACCCATTTGAGAACAAAGGGAACAAGGACTATTGTTCGGGATCATCTAGGCAATCAGCTCAAGGTATAGCCACTACCACGATAGGATGGATCATCTCACCATTGCCATGGGAGTACATCGATTTTCTCACCTATTGTTCTACTTACGGATAGATCTTCCCACTTATTGTTCCATGTATAGCCTAGTTGCCTAGATATGTAGATAGCCAATCATCTATTTTGTAGTAGTGGTACGATGAAGATTACATAATCAGGCTCCTGTACACATACTGTATATAAGACCAGCATGTAGAGGACGAAACTTCAGATTGTTTCTCCTTATCTATCACTGTAGCATCCACTGAGCCTACCAGCTCCTTCATATATCTCTCACCCTTCCATAGCTTGCATCGCCAACAAGTAAGTTCTGGGCTCTTGCACCACATAAGGGTTCAGGGGGATTATAGGGATCGGGGGGATCAGGGTGGGCACGTTCCACGTGATCGTTTCTTTTTAGTCTTTTTGATCTCTTGTCCAGCGATGCTGTGACAGTCGGCCATGTGCTCGATCATGATGCGATCACTAATTTTGAACTCCTCACTCTTATTTTCCCTTCAACTCCCTACAGCGGCTGAAAGAAAACAAAAGTAAACATCGGTGTCCGGCGTGCGAATGTCCCCCATTTGGAAGGCTCATCTCTATGTGGCAAGTAATTTCATGATCTAGCTACTACAGTGTGCTCAGTACATAAAGCTACACATGGTCCTACTCTTGAAGATATTTGCAAGAAGTGTATTAAACAACTTGGCCATGATTCATGTCAATGGCAAGCTTAAGTGGCACAAGAGATGCTGAAGGGCAAAACGTACATTGTTTGTGTCATACTGACAGTCAGATAGGCATATTGAATGCCTCTGCTGTTCTGGATGATGGCATGAGAAATAGACTAACAAAGCACTCACATTTCTCGAGTGAACATCGAGGTAACATGCACTTAGAACACAATGCTACGGAATTCATTATGAAAATCACAATATCTGGTGTCTCGCAATTGCCCTATCAGGGTGGTTTTCAGCCACAGCATCGATATTTACACTTATTTTCTCCCAGCCACTGTAGGGAGTTGGGGGCGATTAAGAGTGCTGAGTTCAAATATTGTGGCTGAAATGTGGCTGAGGTGGCACTAGAATAAAGCACGAAGTCCCACCCATAATGTTGAGGCCCCCCTTAAACTCCCAGAAGTGAATGGGGAGGAGCCTGCTAATGTGCCTACATCATTACTGGTCGAATATTTGGAGTACTTATGCATGCATCGCAAGTCCTAGAACAAATGCAGTCCTTTTTGTTGCATACAACACACGGACAATCCGGGATGAGGTTGCGGCCGAAGAGGTTATTTTGCTCAATCTTGAAGTCATGTCAGCATTGAGGCCCTGCGCTTATATGAATGAGTGAATAAATGAGTTGGTGTGAAAGGCTCCTTCGAATCAGACTCCGATGAATGACTCATCAGAAGGCTCAGAGAATGCCTACGCAAACACAAAGAAGGAGACAATGATGGAGGTCTTCATGGGGGCCTATTCAACTCTGGCAAGAGAGTCAAGACAGCTGCTAGCCAAAGTACAGCTCACTGCAGTGTTGTGCTGGATGTCTGTCAGTCGGCACAGACAACATGGAGGAAGTGCTGACTTCCGACATTGGCTGAAAAGATGACATTTCCTGCCAACTTTCCCACTGACTTTCTCACCCTATGCTGACCTTCACACGTACTCATTCTAAGCCTGATAATTGGCTGCATCAAGTCATGTGCATTCCATCCAGCATCAGTAAGGAGCTGTCATTGCATCTTTCATGTAGAAGTAGCTCCTCACCCTATACACATTGATTCCCTGTACAAGTCACCTGTGTGCCTTCTCAATATGCAGCTTATCTCATTCTGTCTCCCCCAGATAGGGTCACAATGGTCCAGATGTGGTGGGCAGACTATCTCTATGATCATCCTGGTCATGTGCAGCGAGCATTGGATGCATACACAACTGTTCAACGTGAGAAGCTAAAGGTGTGGTGCAAGAGATGCTTCGATCGCTGGGTCACAGATGAACTTCAAGCAGAACAGGATGCAGTCACTGATAGCAGAGCTACATATGTGTGAGGCAAGGATGAGATCGTGGAAAGACATATGTGTCTGATGTCATAAGAATGTGCGAAGATTGACAGCTGTTGTTTATGGAGTTTGGGGCCTATCGAAAACAGTTTCTGTTGCAACCCGATGGATTGAACGTCATGGCGAGAACTGTCTGCGACATCTGTCAGTCTGCGAGCATCAGGATGATGTCATCAAGTCACGTGCCAAGGCTGAACATGATGCGTGCAATCTTTCTTTGTGCAGGAAGCATCTTCCCTCACACATCACAGCCATTGATCTAACACAGCTTTCATCACTGCATTTTCCACCTGTCACAGGCCCCTCATCCCTGCCAGCATTGACTGATGACATGGCTAATGCACTACATCACTTGCATTCCTTACCTAGTTCTCTACTCACTAAGCTGCCATCCACATTCTTCTTCAGCACTTCTGGCTAATCTGGACCTTTCCAAACTGCCCTATCCCCATTAGCGATGCCTGAAAATGTTATTCTTCCTTCTTCGACCTGTCTACCCAGCACTAAATCATCCGTTGGCTCCTCGCATTCTCATCTAGGGAGTCCAACCATCTTCGACTACTCTGGTATCTTGAAACGACAATGCACATTCCGCAGTGCACGTACATTATCACATCAAAATAGCTTAATTCAGAACTCCAAACCTCCTTGATCAGACTCACAGCAGCAGCACTTTGAGTTCTGTGTGACGCGCTTGATAGCATCTTGTGGGTGGTCTCTCACCTGGGTGGAAAATCCAGAATTTCCTGCTTTCTGCGAGGAATTTATACCAGTGGCCAAGGTTCCCTCAAGAAAGGTTCTAACATAGTGTCTCCTACCTGCAGAGGTTCAGAAACATTGTGTTGCTGCACAGCAACATGCCCGCGGACACTTGGGGACCATACAGTGCAATGGCTGGACAGCCATGAGTGTGCACCATCTTCTTTCATTTATGCACACCGTCCGGAAGGAGGTAAGTCTCAGCTGTCAATGGAGACCATAATTCTGATGCTCCACTTTCTGACACAAACTCCAGGTGCATACTGTTCATACCTACGACACTTCCGGGGAGGAGAAGACTGCTGCATGCCTCCTCGTCAGAATCAAGCAAGTCATGGAAGTTGTTGAGGCAGAATGGGGTGTAACTGTGATCGCAATCACATCAGATTGTAGCGGAGAGGCTCGTGCTGCCCGCAAGCAAATTATGCAGCAGAGACCTGATCTGGTTGCCCCCAACTGCTATGGACATCAGGTGAGTTCCAGTCATCTCACAATGTATCGCATGATGTCTAATTGAGGAACAGGTTAACCTTGTCGTCGGAGCTATTTTAATGATGCCAACGTTTCGGTATGGTTTTTCGCATATGCTGAGAAAGTGGACAAGGTCATTGCTTGGCTTCGCGGATGGCCATTTCTTCTTGCAATCCTGCGTGAGATTCAGGTCCAGGTTATCACAGTCGGACCCTGTCAATAATTCGAGCTGTTCTCACACACTGGACAATGCACTACTTATCTTACAAGTGCCTTCTGGATGCCAAGAACTCACTTGCGATCTTGGTCGATGATGAGCGCATCTTTCATTCTGGAACCGCAGCTAGTCATGCAAAAACTTGTGAGATGATCCTGATTATCAAAGATCCATTTTTCTGGCATGGACTGACCAGGTGAGTACTCAGATGGATCCTTAATCATGCAGCATATGACTCAGAGATGGCGTGTATGATCAGGATCAAGAATCACCTCGAGCCTCTGGCTATAGCCACCAATGTTACTCAAGAAGTGCACTGCCATCTCGACCAGGTTCTGCTAATATTCAGATTCCTCTTCATTCATTTCAATGTGCTCAGTGATCCCAATGATGCCGTAATACATGAAAACATCATAGCAAGCATTGAGTCATGCTGGAGCAAGGCAGACCAAGAAGTTTTCATTGCCGCAGTCATTTTGAACCCATTCTATAAGATTGCGCCATTCGCATGCATCAACATCTTCACGAATGCTGGTATCACCATGCTGATAAGGTGGCTCTGGCTACATTTCTTCAAATCTGAGGTGCCACTCATTCAGCTAGGCAGTGAACTCCTCGAGTACTTGGGCAGCACTGGTTCGTATGAGAGCATGACTGTCTATCAGTCTCAGATTGAGAGTGATGCAGTCACAAAGGTATGTTCTGCCTCTCATTTATCCGGAGTTGTTTCACTGACAATTGTGTATAAGGGGAAACTCCAGATCCTATCACGGTATGGCAGGGTCTTACATTTGCAGGTGACATTGGCACTTCCCTGAATCGACTCACCATGAGAGTCCTGTCTGTATGTGCAAACTCAGCTTCATGCGAGAGGCTGTTCAGCACCTTCGGCCTCATTCTCACAAAGTAACGTACTCGCATGAGCAATAGCACTCTGCTCAATCTCGCAGAATTGAAGATGCATTTGCGAGATGAGCATGTATGCCAGAACATTAAAGAATGTCTAAAGCGGCACTTTGGGGCCGCCAAAGAACATGATCAAACTTTGGGCGCTTCTGACGCTACCACACTGCCAGCCACAAACACTTCGATAACTGGGTCTGCTCCAGATTCCCATATGCCTTTCACTGTAGAACTTGAAGATGAACTGACCACACCATTGTGCTCATCAATTCAACACATCGCGATGCAACTGGCAGGGATGGTTGCACAGGACTGTGATGTTCCCTCAGAGAGCGAGTCTATACAGTTTCCCTCCAAAATCTCTGCACCACTCAATCAGTTGATCAATCCTTCATCTGCCTGCTGGATTGAAGTGCACAAGAAGAGTGCAGTACGTGTTGAAGGAATAATATATTCCAAGTAATCTATGAAGATCACAATATGAAGAAGGGTATGGAAGGACAATGTCCAATGACATAATCCCAAGGGATCGTACGATAGAACATTGACCAATCAGGATATTCATAGAGTATCATACGACACTGAGTAAATATGCCATTGGCCAGTCAGATACTGTAGTATTACTCATCTATGTAAGTAGACAATGGCTGTAGATACCAGAGGTTCTAGACCCGGTATATGGGGTCTTTACCCACATGTATATATACCAGGTAGCTACACCACAATCTATAGTGACTTCTCCACTGAGAGACTCGACCCCTTAACTGGGAGTCTTGTAGCCTTGCCCACTAAGTCCTCACTGCACTGTGTCAAGCCTGCACCTGTTGCTGGTAGCACACAGCTCCTTTATCAGTACGGAGCCTACAGGAGGAACTAGACTTGTACGAGTGCTTGGATCTGGATGCTGAGGGAGAGGGTGATCCCGGGTTAGATGAGGTTGTCGATGCAGTTCTGCATTCACTATGATCCCTGTATGTACAAACAAATGTATATTCAAATTAGAACAACTATTCTACAACATTATGTGACTGGGTCCAGCAGAACTAGACAATGGCAGTCAGCCACAGCTGCCACTGCACTGGCTGCTTAGTCATGGTCAGTCGCCTGGAAACTTCCTACTGCAGGCTGTGTCGGAAGTCAGTCAGAAGTCAGTCAGTTTTGCTGACTTGTCGACTGTGGCTGAGTGCTTTGTCATGGTCAGTCACCTGGGAACTTCCCACTGCAGGCTGTGTTGAAAGTCAGTCAGTTTTGCTGACTTGTCGACTGTGGCCGTCTGCCGACAGTCTGGCACAACACTGGCTCACTGCCTTCAATGACATGATGATATAGGCTTCACCTGATCTGAGATTGACATATTGATCAATGATGAACAATATTTTGCTCGTACTCTTTGACACACCATGAGAACTCGACAGCACACGAGTGTGATGGCTATTTCACAAACTCTACGGTCACCATGATGATACAAATCGATGAATGTTGTTGTCATATTCCCACCCACTGCAATCAGTGCTGCATCATGGATGTGACCTCAACAATTTAGCTGGGTCTCCGTGTATCACCTGTGGTTGAAAAGAACCTTGCGATAATTAGCCACGGCGATGATTCACGAATGGTCCAATTACCTCCATAAAGATCAAGCGGAGGCAATTCGGCCCCAGAAACGTCCATGCGATCAGAGCGTGTGAGAGCCTTCTTCATTTCTATGAGGCCACTCATGAGTTGTTCTGTTAATGTCTCTACAATGAAGCCCGCGATCGTCTCATTTGCCTTCACAGCTCATTCGGCCGAACCCACCCCGAATACAGATCATCAATTGTCCCATTGAACTCCAGCTACACCCTATTGGACCTGTTTTGACGATGGACACCGAAAAATAGGTGACATGCCTAGCACGTCTGCTTGCAATTATCGACGTCGGAGAGCAGCGAGAAGCGGTGGAAACTTATGGTGCACAAGTAGCGTCTATTCAGGGATCTGACCAGAAAGATCCACAGTTGAGACGCCTCGGAGCAAATTCACTTGAGACCTTTTCCCTACAAAGTCCTCTCACCTGGTGAGTGGGTGAAATTTGTCTTTATTAGCACCTGATTCCTGTGCTTTGCTGTATCGCGGTTCACATTGATGGAGAGATTAAAACAGAGCGACATATTCATCCATGAACGAAAAGGGATCGGCAAATGAAGCATGAGTTGCACTAGTATCACATCAAGCTCGAATTGTGGCACATGTTTCCTGGGAGGCGACATGGCTGCACGAAAATATGTCCGGACACAGACTCTGTGAAATGAGTAGAGCTTCTCCTTGTAGCGGCCAAAATTCATCCAGTGACTGAATACTATTTTACACCTACGAGGTGCTCTGAGCGCAGACTGATTTTGTACAAAAATAGTCCGAGTTGGTTACACTGACCTCATCTGTTGATTGGGCACAGAGCGTATCAGCCATTCGGAGGAGAACTGTCATCTTTCTACAATCGCTTCTGGCAACTCTCAGCTTCTTCCGTGAGAAATATCCAATGTGTCAAGAGGATTTGTTTGCCAGAAGCCTGGCGAGCCGCTGGACGGTTGACACCTGTATCAACTGATTATCAACGGCTTCTCACTTGAAGTTAGCCTGAGACAGTCCGCGACTCTTGGATAAACTGCATCAGAAAAACATCACTTTTTCTTTTTGGCTTCTTTTTGTACCTTTTTCTTACAAAAAAGGCAGAAAAGAGAACAATGTAGAAAAAAGCATGAGGATCGGCTGATTCCTCACTTTCTCATGGCCTTTTGCTTCCTTGACGACGCTTGGCAACACTGATTTGCCCAAAAAGTTGTCGTCAAGTCCATTAAAAGAACAAAAGCCCAGAAGCCTATCAGGAAATTTCAAGGCAGATTCTCTGACCTTTTGTCCTTGAACGGACTTTTCACAAACTTTCTGATCAGAAAGCAACCAAAAAGTGCTCAAAAAGAAGCGAACAAGGCAAATTCAAGCCGATCCTCACGCTTATTTCTACATTATTTTCTTTTCTGCCTTTTTTGTAAGAAAAAGGTACAAAAAGAAGCAAAAAAGAAAAAGTGACATTTTCCTGATGTGTGGCCCTTTCTGCGCGACGTAGAGAATGATCCTATTGCCACGATGCGCGCATTTTCCCTCTGATCACTGACCTTCATTCCCGTATTTTTGATGGCAATGTCGTTTAGAAAGATGCAAAGTTATATCCAGCATCTTTTACGGACACTTCGACGGAAGTGCACGCACGTTGTGTAAACGACATTTGTTTTGCATGCGGGCTATACTGATACACGACCAAAGTTCACCAAACAGTATGTAGGCGCTCAAGCGCTCCAGCGCTTGCGCAAATTCCCTCAGCCGCAGGCTGTCGTGTTCAGAGCTTTCCAATTGATATGACATCTACGACTCACTTTTGTACGCATCTGCAGCTGTCTTGACTGAAATAATCGCTTCAAATTCGCAAGCTACAGCAACTCTGAATCAGCTGATCCTCCGGGACCCACCATTCTTGAACACCAAGCTGTCGCGTACTCCTTCTCATGGTTATGTTTATATCTCCTATGACATGCCTTCGACGAGGTGAGCAGCCACTGTGATTCAGTTTTCAGCCTTTATTGAGTGCACATCGATGATAGATTCGTTTACATTAAAACTTTAGTAAAACAGTAAGACCTGTGGGTGATTCTATGAAGGACCGCTTATGGAAGATACATGATACGCTTGCCGAAATAGCGCATACATTACATTAAGGACAATAAAGGGACCGATTGGTCCTAGTGCGGGCCTCAGTCTCGAGCCTCTTCGTCCGGCACAGGCTTCCTGACACGTCTATCGCCTCCACAGCATTCTGCCTGCTGTCAGCTTGAAATTTATCGTGCGCATGTGGTCAGTACACAAGTCCATGGCAGCAACAACTAGCAAACGTGCTGCGAACAATCAGCGCTGTCAGGAACGGAACAACCGCGAGCACGATGGGCAGGGATCGACATCTCGTGCATTGCTTCTCCGTACGCGATACGGAGCTTGTCGCTCATGTCATCGGGATACGTGCGTGCGTACGTGTAAGAATGAATAACCTCCGTGATGATTGTCGAGTTGAGCTGTTGCGCTTCCAGTTTCGCTGGAAGGACATTGTTTCACATTGACCTAGACCGATCTCTCCGCTGATTTCGGCGAGCAATAGAATTGCAGCGGTTGCGACAGCCATGTCTGAGGAATGGGAGGGACGGCAAGGTACGTCGTGGCATTAGCTATATGGATCAAGCATATGTCCTGATACGGGTGGTGTCAATCGCAGTGGCAGCCCTCATCGCAGCGGCTCGGAGGTCCGTAAGAATCGCGCGTATAATGATCCGGAACTTTTCCGACGCCATATGAACCTAGTTCCTAGCGCTTTGACAACGCCAATGTTGGCATCTTCGTAATTTCGTGTTCAAGGCGCTTCTACTCGGGTCGCGGGTGCTCGTCCCGGACGTCGCGCCACTATGAATCAAGGGGAGCGTCTTGTCTTGCGCATTGACAATGGGCCTGGGTGCGTAAAGTACTGCAAGCGCATGCCACCATTTACTCACGGCGCTCCATGTACTGTCCTGTGTAGAACATCACCCCTCCTGCCATTGCCACCTGGCTGAAACATCCCATTGAGCGCGTGCACGTTCTACTCAATCGGAAGTGCAAGACGCTGAGTCATACATACGCCGAGATGGCTAGCCCCGATGCTGCGAAGGCGGCACTCCATGGTGCGCAGAATTCTGCGCTTGGTCGTGGAAAGCGAGCCAGAGGTGTCATGGTCACCAAAAGTAGTTAGCAGGAGCTCCTGAGAGCGGTAGGTTTTCCGGATGAAGCAGCTTTGTCGAATACTAGCTGATTATGAGTTTTCTTCCACATGGCCAGCTCTTCCCGTCGTGGCAAGGAAACTTTCACGGTTCGGTATGAACAGATTCTACTGCAACCGCTCGGGGTGGTGATTGTCGCCGCGCGTGGAATATTCGCCCATAAAGTTAGAGGTCAATGCATATGTTTATTGCGCAGCGTCACGGTTGCCATTTTAGATGCGAGCGTTGTCCGGCTTCACGAGGAAGCATGGGAGAAGCTTTCCATCAGCACTTACGGAAGGACACGAGTGCTAGCTGCCGTAGAGCGGCTTGAGATGTCATGAGCACGTGGGTCGACATGGAGTAGCAAAACGCATGACACGGAGCTTCGAACGGGTAGCGTAGTATATAATGCCAAGTTGAGTCTGGCTACCACAGTCCGAGACATGATGTTCTCATTTCTCTCCCCGCTAGCCATCTGGGCCGGTTTGTCAGTTGCGCAGACAAGCTCGAGCGTCTTTGACGTGCGTTCCTTCATGTTCCATAGAACTTCTGCTCTGATCGTGATCTGGAAGACAGTTCCCGGAGTATCCGCCCCCTGGCGCACCGGGTCCGAATGCGACTCTAGCGAATGCAGTGGGAACGCTTCCTTACGGCCTTACAGCGGCTGACCCTGTTCTGGCGGAAGCCTACATCCACTATGATGAAGGATATTTTGGACCTCAGATCGAGTTGGTTCACGCGTATTATAACTATTGGCCGACGGTATGTGGATGAAGCATTGTCTAGCGCTTAGCCGGACTCACCTCACGAATGAACGATAGGGCGTCGGGGTGGCCAGTGATGGGACGGTCTTCACGAGCTTCCCGCGAGGTAATGAAACGTACACTCTAGCGGTATTCACGGGCCCCACCACGGAGGCTGCCTGGCCAAAGTAAGGATGCAGTCGCGAGAACGTCTCATGATTTCCTGACTCATCTTACAGTGAGGACTGGAACACGCCTCCGGCCTTCGCGAATGAAAGCAATCCAGGATATAGTATCGCAACCGACAAATTCATATTCGTTCAATCGGTCGTTGTTGACGGTTTGGATCGCGTGTGGGCACTCGACACTGGACGCCCACGAGTGAATGGAACATACCTCAACGCCGCTGTGCCGGGAGGACCGAAGCTCGTCGGATTCTACCTGAATGGGACGAACTTCGTGACTTACACTTTCCCAGACTACGTTGTGTATGCTGATTCTTCCATCAACGACGTGCGCTTCGACCTGCGTGGTGGCGGATATGTGTACATCACGGATAGTTCGCCCAATCATCCCGGCATCGTCGTGATCGACCTCGCAACTGGGGAATCGTGGAGACATCTAGACTTCTCACCTGCTGTGACGCCGGACCCTGAGTTTGTCCCGGTATACGATGGAGGTCAAATTCACTAGCGTCTTCGACTACGGAATCGTCTGATAAGTTTCGTAGTTCCTCTTTACTATCGTACTATCCTTCCTCCCAACGCCATCCAATTAATGTCTACGGTGAGGATTTCATACAATCTCGTTCAAGATACTTGTTGATCATGCTGTAGTTCGCCTCTAACGGAATCGCTCTTGGAGCTGGTAAAGACATCTAAAAGTCTGAAGATCGTCGAGGTTCATCATGTGACTGCATGTAGATGGCGAATACCTATACGTGACGCCAATCTCCAAACGCCGCCTCTACCGCATCCCGACATCATATCTGAAGCAGCAGCCGTCTTCGGATAATCCCTATGCTTTCATTAAAGCGAGGCAGGCTGTTGAAGACCTCGGTGGGTCCGGAGGAAACGCCGATGGGCTGGAGACGGACAGCACCGGATACATCTATGTTAGCTCTCAAGGTGAGTAAACTCAGCAAAGCTGGTTTTAGGGGCAAAGTCCGAAATATTTGTCCGTTGCAGAGCACAATGCCATTCATCGCTTCAATCCCAATACGAGCCTTGTTGAGCCATTCATCCGCGCTCCTTTCATACAGGTGGGCATGCTTATTGGATAAAACGGTATGCATGCTGATTATGATGCCAGTGGGCGGATACGTTATCGGTGGTGTCCTTGCAAAATGGAAGCAACTACTTGTACTTCACTTCGAACCAGTACGTAACTCTGGCTTTGCGGAATATGTTTGATATGTAACTAATTATCCCATTTAGGTTGTGGCTCTCGCCTGACTATCATAATGGGTGAGTGATGCCCTTGCCGTTGAAAATCGTGGTATTAATGCAGTAGCTGCAGCACGAACTTGCGTACCAAGCCATTTGCAATGTTTAGGGTTCCTATCGAGGGCGGACGCGCTACACAGACTGATTGAAGTTCTGCAGGAGAGGTCTCTGTGGGATAGCTTCATAACCTGATTTCATGCAAAACCTCTAAATCATCTTGATTAGAGTGCATTGTATTATCAATCAATTGAAGCCAGCCCCTGACCGAATACTAGACATGATAGAGAGAATATGATCCAAGAATAGTAATTCTGAACACACACTTTAGCCTATCATCCGAGATGGTCCGTCGCTCAAGAGGGACTAGTGGCTTCTTCGACCTCAATTGACGAAACATCGTGTTAGCACGTCAAACCCGCACTTGGTTATATTACTCACACGCAATTACGGTTAGCTAATAGCTGAAATGACTTAGTTTTCCGCAGCGATTGGGGCTGACTTCTAGGCTACCGGCAAGGTCGCCGCTCTGGATCAGGTGCATAATATCCCGTGGATTGACAATGGCTGCTCAAGTTGACGTATGATCAAGCTATAGTCTGATGAGCTTAGCAGGAGACGAACGGCTCGCCAGTCTGGAATAGAGGATGCTGCCGACGAGCATGCCGAATGCCATGACAAAGGAAACATTCGTGACGACAATGCAATTGACGACTTTCTGTGCCGTGCACGACGTGATGAATATTACTAGAGGGCGAAGCAGTGACTGTTGCCCAGTGGGACGCACACACGATGCAGGATTTCAAATGGGACTCTTCATTTACGTCGACTGGTTTGGCGCTTCAAACATGTCGTATCATTGAAATGCACTTGAAACTGCACTTGTCGCGATTCACGGCCTGGGGCTGATGCCCTCCAGCGTTTGTTGGACTGCCACCTCAGTCAGAATTGAGGAAGAGAAAACGGCGATGTACGCTAACTATTTGCCCCGGGCCCAGCTCGTTCCGGCCCATTCCACCGCCGTGCTCGTTCAAGCTAGCGATGCCGCCCGATTGCGACACTCCTCTTCGAGCGCGTGCGCTCCTGGTCATCTCCGAGCTAAACCCCCAAGGCACACTGTGCCGTACTCCTGCCCCCGTAAACCCTCGTCCCTGCCTTCCACCCACGCCTGTCCATCGGCATCTGGCTCCGTAGCCCGTTCAGTTGGCGCACGTACTTGCTATACCGCGCGGCCCGCGGTGTCGGTGATTCGGTATATTTCCGGAGACCTGTAGCGTGCCGCTCGCGCTCGGTGGGCGTGACGCATTCCCACCTCAGGCGGCCGGTTCTTGGCGCGGTCCCGTTGCATGCTCTCCGCGCTCCGTGTGCCCCGGGCACCCATCGGCGCCCTCCCTGGAACTTTCCCTGGCTCGAGTCCCCGACGCGTTCCATTGCGCGATCCTCGACGCTTCCGCCGCTTCTCCCAACCGCGCTCCCTCGCCCGACGTCACGACGCACATCCCGGTGCTCATGCCTCTGCTGCCCGTACTCTTCTTGACACCCTGGCTTCCCTACCTCCCTCCTGTGCCATCCGGTGACCTTCCCAGATATGATGAGCTCACCTGGTACTCTGTTCTGCTATCTATATGAATATGGGTGCTGTCAATCGATGGCGTCGAGCTCAGCAGTGAGTCTTGCGGCCGTTTGAAAGGCTCTTTCGAATCAGATTCTTCGATGAATGACACACCAGGAGGAATAGAGAACACCTGAACAAATACAGTGAACGTAAAGAACGAGACGAATATGGAGGTCTTCGTGGTCTATGCAACCCTGGCAAGAGAATCAGGAACCAGGAGAGCTGCTAGGCAAAGTACTGGCCACTGACCTCGGAGTGCAAATCCGCCTCGATGACATGAACCTAATATTATTATTCTATGTCCTTTGATAAGGAAAACTTGACGACATGACGATATAGGTCTCTCCTGAGATTGACATATTGATCAATGATGAATACTCTTTGGCACACCATGAGATGTCGGGAGCACAGGAGCTGAGTGTGATGGCTGTTTAACCTCAAAGGCCATAATGATAGAAAACAATAGATGTCGTTGTCACATCCCCAACCACTGCAATTAGTGTTCCGTTCCGGATGTGACCCCAAGGACCCAATTGGGTCTCCGTGTACCGCCTGCGCTTGAGAAGAACTTGTAATAATTAACCACGCCAATGGCTCAAAAGTGTTCCAGTTACCTCCATAACGATCAAGCGGAGGCAATTCGGGCTCAGAAGCGTCCGTGCTATCAAAGCGCGTGAGAGCCTTCTTCGCTTCTACGAGGCCACTTGCGAGTCTTTCTGTCAATGCGTCTACCGCGAAGCTCGCGATCGTCTCATTCGCCTCCACGGACAGGTCTTCCGGCCGAACCCGTCCTGGACACAGCTTATCACCTGTCCCGTTGAACTTCAGCTGCACCCCTATTGGACCTATTTCGACGATGGACACCGAAAAAGAGGTGACATGCCTGGCACGTCCGCTTGTAATCGTCGATGTCAGAGAGCGGCGAGAAGCAGCGAAAATGCACAAGTAGCGTCGACTTGATAGATCCACAGTTGAGACGCCTCGGAGCAGATTCATTTGAGACCTCTTCCCTACAAGTCTGTCTCGCGTGACGAGTGGGCGAAACTCCTCTTTTTAAGCATCTGATGCCTACGCAAGTTGCTGTATGGTGGTTCGCATTCACGAAGAGATTGAAAACAGGGCGACATCTTCATCCGCGAACGAAAAGGGGTTGGTAAACGAAGGTGGCACTAGTATCACATCAAGCTCAGACTGACACGCTTCCTGAGAGGAAAAGCCGCCGCACGAAAAGACGTCCGGACACAGATGTGAACTGAGTAGAGGTTCCCTTGTAGCGGCTTGAAATATAGTCAATAGCTGAAAGCTGTTTTCCGTCTATGAGCTGCTCTTAGCACAGACCGAGCTTGTGCAACAGTAGCCGTTGTTACACTGGCCCTATCTGTTAATTGGGCAGAGAGCATACCAGCCATCATTTAGAGGAGGACTGTCATCTTCTACAGTCGCTTCCAATTCTCAGCTCCTTCTGCGAGAGCTATCCAACGTGTCGAGAGGGTTTGTTTGCCGGGAGCCTGGCGAGTTGCTGGAGGGTTATTAATAAACTGTGGCCCGGTTCTGCGCGACGTAGAGAATGATCCCGGTGCCATGCTGCGCGCATTTTCCCTCTGATGACTGACCATCATTCCCTTATTTTGATTGGCAATGTCGTTTAGAAAGATGCAAAGTCACATCCAGTCCAGCATCTTTTACTGACACTTAACGGAAGCACGTTGTGTAACGGCGTTTGACCATGTTTTACGCGACCAAACAGTATGTAGGCGCTGAAGGCTGCTTGCGCGATGCGCTCAGCCGCAGGCTGTCGTGTTCCAATTGATACCACATTTACGACTCACTTTTATATGCATTTCTGTCTCGACTGGAAGAATCGCTTTAGATTCGCAAGCTACAGCGGCTCTGGGTCCGCTGATCTTCCGGGATCCACCACTCTTGAACACCACCCTCTCGCGTACTTCCTCCCGCGCTTGTGTTTGTATCTCCTATGACATGCCTTCTACGAGGTGAGCAGCCACTGTGATTCAGTTTTCAGCCTTTATTGAGTGCACAGCTATGATAGATTTGTTTACATTGAAACTTTAGTAAAACAGTAAGACCTGTGGGTGATTCTATGAAGGACCGCTTATATATGGAAGATACATGATACGCTTGCCGAAATAGCGCATACATTACATCAAGAACAGTAAACGGACCGATTGATACTAGTGTGGACCTCAGTCTCGAGCCTCTTCGTCCGGCACAGGCTTCCCTGATACGTCTATTGCCTCCACAGCATTCTGCCTGCTATTCAGCTTGAAGTCTACCGTGCGCATGCGGTCAGTGCACATGTCCTTGGCAGCAAGAATTAGCAAACGTACTGCGAACAGCCAGCGCTGTCAGGAGCGGAACAACCGAGAGCACGATGGCAGGGATCAGCATCTCGTGCATTGCATCTCCATACGCAATACGGAGCTTGTCGCGGATGTCATCGGGATACGTGCGTGCGTACGTGTAAGAACCAATAACTTCCGTGATGATTGTCGAGTTGAGCCCTTGCGCTTCCAGCTTGTCTGGCAGGACGTTGTTCCACATTGACCCGGATGCAGCTAGGCCGATCACGCCGCCGATTTCGGCGAACAACAGAATTGCGGCGGTTGCAACAGCCATGTCTGAGGAACGGGAGGGACGGAACGGTACGTCGTTGGCCTTAGCTATATGGTGCAAGCCTATGACACGAACCTTGGTGGGGTACAGCACCCTGCGCGCCGACCTGCGAAGACATCGCAGCAATTCCTCCACCAGCACCTTGGATGATCTGCGTCATGACGAGCGCAGCGGTGTTGTAGTGAGAGCGTGCGTAGCTGCAATGATTATGGCGATCAGCGCCGGCCCAGTGGTAGAGTCAGTGCAGCGAAACTTACAACATAATTCCGACACCGATCAGTCGAAGACCGAGCGAGCAAAACAGGGCCCACTTGTATCCGATGTTTCCTTGGAAGATGGCAACGACTGCGCCCCATAGGAGAGCGAAGAACGTAAGACAGAGTGATTCTGGGGGAGATAGGGGCGGTGAGTGCCCATCTGTAGGTGAGTGAACGGTTACACATACGACAGTTGCTATAGTAGTTCATGTTCGTGACGCTCCAGTCCGTAACGACGTACGTGAACGTATAAAGATACGACCACTGGACAATGCGACTCGTGAGTGATGACTTAAACGATGCGATGCACCACTTACTGTAAGATAGAAGGAGATAAAGTCAAACAAGCCGATGATGCACACAGCGAAGACAGTCCTGTTGGCGAACAGGCGGAAAGGGACAATTGGGAAGGCTGCGTGCTTGATCTCCCAGTATGTAAATACGGGAATGCAGATCACACCACCAATGACCATCATTGAGGGGACCATAGGATTCTTCCAGGTGATGGCTATCAACGAGACGTCAGGATGAGCCTCGGGGGGCAAGCAGCACAAAGGAGATCTACGCACTGGCGTACGTTCCGCCGGCCAGCACCAGGGGCAGGAAGATCAACGTGATCGATGCGCCGAGGAAGAACATGCCAACGGCGTCGACCTCAATGGCGAAGTTCCACGCCTTTCGTAGGAATGTATCGCCCGCCACGGCGTCCCTGACCACCAGGTTCATCTTCTTCGCACGGTGCTGTGCCCAAAAGAGAACCATGATGATAGGGCCGATGGCGAATACGAAGCACTGGAGGTGAGACGTTAGACCGGCACGACGTGGCGAGAAGGTACTCGACGAACAATGCAATAGATGCCATATCCCCACCGCCAGCCGAGGCGAGGGCTCGAGACGACCTGAGCTGCGATCACGGAGCCGGCATAGAAATTGATGAAGTATGGCATCGAAGTTGCTGCGCTGACGAGGCCACGGTACTTCAGTGGTGTCAAATCAGCTGGAATAGGTGAAGGTCAGCTCCGCCGGAGGAACAGACGAACGGAAAGCCTACCGATAACGATTTGGATCGCGATCTGCAGGCCTGAGAACCCAATCTCGTAGATGACGAGACCGGCACCGAGCGTACCCATGTTCTGGGAGCTGGCGCAGATGATACTGGTGTAATTGGTACGTCAGCGCAGCGTTAGGCGGACGGATGAGCAGATGCACGACTTACTATCCCAAGCAGTAGAAGAAAAGGCAAACAGCATATGCTTCTGCCCGTCCAATGACGTCGGTAATCTTGCTGTTGAATTGGTGTGGTAAGTATGTGTGCGAAATTCTCAGTGACTGTGGTACTGACGCAAAGAAGGGCTTGCCCAGGGCCACTGTCGAGAGCGTGAGTTGGCTCTAGACAGCCAATTTGGGAGGCAGACATACGTAGGATCGCCATGGCGCATTGAATGGCGCTGTACCAGTTTGCATGGCCGAATTCGTTTGTGGCATAGGTGCCCCACTCCCAGTTGGTGTTGTTGTCCAGGCCATACATATAACTGTGTAGGCGCTTGTTACGACAGCATTTAGGCAAGTCATGTTCATCAACGCATACCTGGCTAACACGATACCGCACCATAGTAACGTTTTGCTGATGGGCCCCCAAACCTGGTAGACATGGGTATAAGTTGCACGACGGTTAAAGAGGTCCGAAAGCTTACCGAAGCTGCTGCTTCGACCTTCCAAATGCCAGCTTGCTTTTGGACGAGCGTGGTCGGATGGGTCTCGCTCTCATACTCCTCTTTGGTCACCTTGGGAGACAGCTCAGGAGACGAGCCCTCATCTTGCTTCTTCTCGTTCTCCATGGTCATTGTTCAGCTCGTCTCGAGGACGTACAAGCGACGACGAGACTGTCGGCAAGAAAAACTGTCAAGTATCCGGAGACGAGACGGTGAGAGGCCACCTACTAGGCGATATGGCTTATCACGCGTCCACTTTGTAGCGGAGCCGCTGACGGTGATGGCGAGGACTTCGACGAAGGTGAGGGCAGAAGAAGCGATGGATGGTGTCCTTTATCAGATAATTTTTGGCCTATCTGATAAGATTTTATCCTGATGCCAAGTGCCATGCCCATCCGCAGTTTTGGTCGTACCTGATCGGACTGCTGCCCAATATGGCAACTGTGGCCTTTCCGCCACCGTCCGACTTCGGCTCCGTTCGTCCAATGCATAGGCGTGTTGCCGGCTCCGAATGCCAAGGTGCAGTTTATCCTGTGCTATGCTGCGACGTATCTGCACTCTCATGCTAAATCAATCCATGCGATGGACAGCGGCGAGGAGCTGTCGTGCGGTGAATTGCTCCCAATTTCCAGCAGATGGAGGTGTACTGTGACGGCCGGTATACGAGTTCTTTAGGCACCGGTCTTTGCCAACCAATTCTTGGGTGTCCTTCGTCATGATCCAGCGTGCGAAGTGCTGACGGATTGCGGGGGTTGATCGCTCAAAGGTCTGGATGCTGGAGTTTGTGCTGAAACATTGAGACGGCCCAGGTTCCTGATTTCATGTGTCCAATGGTATGCAGAGATCCATACTGATTCACCGCATTCAAATGCACAGGCCCATACATCCAAGAGGAATGCCGATCGATAAATATACAGCAACGCCGCCAATGAGGTCGACAACGACAAGGATGTTCCATTCCCCATCAATCAGCTGACCAATGGCTGTCTATCGCAGCATCGCCTCCAAACGCTTGGATGAGCTGGATTGGCTCAGTGCGCTCCTTCGGATCTCGCTGGAAAATTTGCTGCCGTCAGCCTGCCGTACACATTTGCGTTCGGCTATGCATTGCGCGGCGCGGCGCGATCGCTCGACGCAAATGCTTACGAACTTGCATCCCGTGGACCTTGGATGTATGTACCTGACCGGTAAACTGCATGTGGGCCTGCTACGATCGTCCATGCGGCTGAGCGCGCACCGCATTCGATATAGAACAAAGCTTACGCCTCTTCCTGAGGTCTTCGTTACTCTGTCGTGCTACCTTCATCTGTATAGCCTCAGATTTGGCCTGAAGCTATGTAAGGCATCAGGTTATAGTCAAGCTGACAGGCGAAGTCGGTCTGTAACGCAAAGCAGAACTGCTTTAGTGAACTACTCGAGCATCACCCTGGGGGGGTGTACAAGGTAAGTGATCGGCGAAGCGTACGTCTAGCATCTGTTCTCCTTCACGTGCTACGACTCTCACTATGCATCTAGCAATAATGCATCCTGCGCACAGCACACAGGTGATGGACCCGCACTGCATCTACGGCAGATGGCGCGGGCATCATGCCATTACCAACAGCGCACCAAGAAAGAGGGGATCGAGAAGTCAAAATTGTCACGACGGGCCACCTCGTCTCTTTTATATGGATCGTGTCGCGACTGTCAACATCTTTGCATAACTTAATACCGCTCTTTCATGAAGGTGGACCTGCAAAAAAAAGGTGGTGAGCGCTTAAAGGTTTTCCATGCTGTCGTCGTTCAATTTCACACTGGACGCTATGCAGACTAGTGAACTTGTCGACCGTCTTTCGCACCATCGATGATTCTTCGGTGGCATAATATTGCCAGTACGTGCTATGTTCTTAATCACTGGCGACTATGGAGAACGACGATTCGGACGAACTTAGACGCCGCAGCCACGAATGCTTCCGACCACTCGCCTCGTACTCGTGCATGTGGCAGAGAGTCCGAGAGCTATTCTTCATACGTCAGCGCTATTGCAGGCCGCAGTCAGCAGTTGTATTGGAGCGTCCCCCCTCCTCGCGTAAGCACGATCTGATAGCATAGCGCTCAAGCACTAAGTGCATCCTTGTCCGCCTTTTTCGTTTGAGAGCCTGGGCTATTGGCACTGTAGGCGTCGTCTTCTTTCTTGTCGATCTTTCGCTGATTCAGGAAACAGGGCAGATTATACTAGTCATCTGATGTGGAAACGTACACTGAAAGCATTGTTGATTTCAGTCCGAATAGGTGGAAGCTTCGTTTGTAACATGCCTTACGCCTACAATCTCCTCGTGGGCCGATTGATGCGATTGATACGGCAGGAATAGCACTTCATCTGTGCCTCACTTCGCTCGCCAGTGTAGTTCACGCCGTAGACTTCTCCCCGCGGCTTCACGGTCGATCCACACATCATTATTCAGTTGTAGAGAGAGCCTTGCTTTTATTGGATATTTGACCATTCAAGGCTCTAAGACAGCCAGTTTCGTCACTGTCATGTGCGCATCGACGAGGACAAAGATTGTTCGCCGCTGCAGCGTTGGGTAAGAATTGGACACGTGTCAATGCTGGAGTAGTAAAACATCACGGCTATTTTTAGGCGATTTTGTACTGTTACGCTTTTCAACCGCCAGAACAAAGAAGTCATTGCTATTTATTCAGTGAGCCTGATGTAGCCATGCAGAAATGCAATGGGTGACTGGCGTGCAATCTCATGCGACTTGATTGGCGACATGACAGCTCCTTGAGGCTCGTAAGCGACGGGCAGGTATCACCTGCACAGAAACAGCAGCGTGCGCGAGGTCCACTGCGAACTCATCGACACCGGGGTACTGGTTCGGCTTGAGGAGACCTCGAGTATCGCGCGGCCTCGTGATTCCAGCAGAGGTCATGTATCCCCAACTTGCACAGATCGTCGCGACGACGGAGATGCTCAATTTTATCCATTCCAGCCACCTCGACCGAATGAGAACTAATGACTCCACAGGAGTCCCTCGTTCATCGTGCAAGAACGACTGCTTCGAGTCATCGTCAGCCTCTGTGTCCGTAGACTCGCCGCAGTGGATAGGGAGGTACGACGCCATTGATGCTGGCATGAGGTGATGAAGATAGTGCATGCTGCGCGTGGCTGGCCAGGCAGGTAGCGGGGCGTCGTTTCTCCATGAATTTAGGTACATAGTTGCCCGCTACATGAGCGGTTCGCTCTTCCTCTCACGCCCGTCTCCGGAATAGACTTGGCAAAATCCAGGCAGAGGGATGGAGATTGCAGGTACCAGTCGCGCCACCAGTGACAGTAATCACGTTAGGCCCAATGCATAGGATAAACTCTTACCGGACAGCTTGATCTGAGAAACTTCAGGAATCAGGATGCCATGACAGCGCTGCCTATTGATGGACCTTTCGATCACGGAACAGCAGTGGCCGCAATGATCGGTGGGACTATGAAATCCCGAAGCTCAGCCGTTCACTGGAATAGGTTGGGAGCCATTCTCCGATTGTCATACGTCCGGGACGTCGCGTCTGGAGCAGTCCGTGTCGTCGATGAAGCGGCTTCCGGTCCGGAAGTCGTGGATATGAACGACATCCAAAGTGAATGATTCCGCAGTAACCCTACAAGAACTTCAAGCATGTCCGAGGATCGTTCAGAAAAACATACTCGTTTTAACCAGACTCTGGGGGGAACTTCATTGCATTGCGAAAAAAAAGTGATTCGAGCATTTACTCTGCCTAAGCAAGCTGCACTACATCAAATGCTACAAGAACAGATTAAACAAGTAGTTTCACTCATCACTCAACTGACTTACCTAGGGGAGGCTCGGAGAATATCTGATCAAATTCGATGTAGCACCCCTCGCAGGCAATCTCAACCGTATGCACTCCAGGACAATTGAATCGCGGGGTCGGGTCCATCGCTTGCCACCCATCGTCGTATGCGAACATCCCCTTCCTGTCCTGGAAGGGAATCCAGGAAACTGTGCCCAATAAGGACACCCGTTCCGGACGTGTGTTCCAGCTCATGCTCGTGATGCGCCCGGGAGGAGTTGTCACATTCCAGACCTGGATGCCTGTAAAGTTGCCCGAGCCGGTCCAAGTCTTGAAGGGCGGAAGATCCGGCGTATCTTGAGGCACCACCCAGGCATCGATGTAGCAAAGGTCATATTCGTTCGGCACCATTCTCCACTGATAGATCATGGTATCCTAGTGATATACGTTCAATGACGGAGATAACGTGAGGATGTTCAGCAGAACGTACAGTATCGCTGAGCACAACGTGAGGCCCTGGCGCATAGACTGCGTCCGGCATGGCTCTGTTCGCTCTGACGATTGTACGCGGAAAGATGACCTCCGGTCCTACATCATACCACTTTCTCAGTGACGTTTCAATGAGGCGGTTATACGCTCGGGACGAACCTTGCTTAGCGATCTGCTCGACCAAATCAAGGTTGGGGTGCTGGTCTGGCTTGCGGAGGCCTCGCGCATCCCGCGTCCTAATGATCGTACCAGTGCCAACATAGACCGAACACGCGCAGACCAATACGAAGAGAGATAACCCCAATGTGAGGAACTCAATCCACTTCGATTGAGGCGGTGGCTCTACGGGTTCAGGACTGGTTCCGTTGCGAGGAAGGAGAGACTCCTTGAGATCATCTTGGGAGTCGACCTCTTCAGAGTCATGGCGTTGCAGGGGCAAGTAGGAGGCCATGGTGGTGAATGACTGCGTCGAGGTAGCGCTCTGGAGGCACACTGATAGACCATTCGGATGCGATCGACTGTAGTGCCGCCCATGCCAACCGTGGATGATACTTGGAGCCCGTCATGGGTAATTCCTCGCAAGGAATGCTTGTGATGTCAATGAAATCTCACGGATGTCTACCGTGTTTGGCCCGGACGAGAAGGAGCGACCAACATGGAACGGTCTGTACCATCATTGACAGTTTAGCGCTGATTAGGGACGCTGGAAGAAGAGGGCGATACCTCGTACGGTCGCACACGGATCGCGTGTTCGTGCACGAGGGATGCATTGATGAGCACGATATGCACTGGCAGGCTTCCATTTGATCGGCGGATCAAGGTGAATCTACGATTTGACGGGTCTCGGTTGTATTTTGGTTTGGAGACCCACAATTGGAGAGGCCGAAAGTTCGGCAACTCCTCGCCATGATGAAAGACAGGTCGCGCGGGATAGCCGCCACCGGAATTGGCTCGCCCTTTTCGAGTGAACAGAGCTTACATCTAGACAATCGCCGTTTCCTGAAACTTCCCATCAAATCTACTGCAACATGTGACACCGCCGTGCGCCAAGATAAGCTCTTAAAACGACGAAGTGACTGCTGTTTCCCAGCGGGCGAACAAAGCCAGTCTACCAATGCGGGCCTTGCTGGTTGGCATTGACGAAGGCATAGACCTGGGTCCAGTCCTTGCACACATGATCCACACCAACGCCATCCGTGGAGCGCATCTTGCCATCGGGGTCGACGAGCAGCGGGTCGAGTGTGATATCGGATGCACAGAGTACGGCTTGCCGCATGTAGTTGAGGCAATGTCCGCTCTGTTTGTCCGGCGCCCTGTGGATGAGGGCCTTCCGCAAGGTGTTGAGGCAGTCGAGTTGTCGGAACATCGAGATACCAAATTCGCGCCCTGAAGGTTGATTATTGTCCATGTCACTGACGGGAACGTGATCAGAGTAGGACATGACATACCGTTGGATCCAAGGCGAACCGTTGCATTACCCTTCGGGAACTTTGTGAGCGAAAGCCACTCAGAAGGTGCCCTCTGGTTGAGAGAGATAGTGTAGTGGTCGCTGTTGTTGAATGTCATCGCGACTGTATCGAGTCTCACCGGCAGCTCGATCGGATGATCGTCTCCGATGTACGCTGACCACGACTTCAACAGTCGTAAGAGGTCCAACAGAAATGACGTACAGTAACCGCTATCATCTACCGTGGTGCCGGCCACGAGCCACCAACCGGTGAGGATGTTGCACATCATGCTCACGGTGAGCGCAGCGAGCACACAGCAGCGCCATAAGACAGCAAAGGAGGGCAAGTAGCGATTGAGGAGCGTGATGGAGCGCTTAGTCGCTGAGAGCAACATGTTGAGGTGACAATGGTGGCTGCATGGGCAACTACACTCACCGAACGACATATCGAGTGGGATGGGGAGACTTGAGTGATGCCCTCGAAGGAGAGGGCATTCAATGGTGGTCACTTACACGCACTCAAGCGCTGTTTGCGCAAGCCGGAGACGGAGAGCTATTTCCGGCTGAGTTGCGAGTCCATTTCATCACAGACAGCTTCAACGACGCCGGATTAGTATGACAGCGAGTATTTCAAACTCGTAGGAAAGAGACGCACATTAAGCGCCTCGGAGCTTCACTACTCACTACTTTGCCCGGGTTGATAATGACAGATGAAACTGGACTGCACGTCATGACATTCAACTTTTCGGACGGCAATGATGGCTGAAGTCAAACCACGGACATTGCAAGCAACGGAATGACAAAGTGGAAGTCAGCATGAATCCAGAGCGCCTTGGCTTTCTTATCTTGCGACAGCTATCATCCAATTTTCGGCGTCGATTACAATCCGAGCATGTGAAGAACATTGGACGCTGCTCAGGATCAATGTGTCATGCATATGCTGATGTAGGTGATGACCCGGGTAGAGCTTCGCGCGCTGTTTGAGATTGTTTACTTTGGGCGGTAAAGTCACATCGCCTGCAGAATGCCAGTCTGAATAGGTCTGAATTGAGTTCTTCGACTGAAGAGAGCAATTCTCATTCAAAATGGCGTTGGCCAGGCTACGCGGAGGCGGTCCGAGTAGGAATGATTCGCGATGACATGACACAGTCTTGCACGTCCCCGGAAATACTTGTTCGTCCTGTGGTATGATACTCATTGAAAATGAGATACTCTCTGGCTGGGATGACGGTACCAGTAATGAGGATCTGTGTAAATCAAGTTGTATGATGACGATAAATTGATAACCTAGTTTAAATGAAACAATACTGAATGCTCACCTATGAATGACAGTGCAAGCTGTACAGTTGCTTGCGCTTATGGGACAGTCTGTGGAGTCCCAAGCTAGTCATCGTCGCACTCTCGTGCGATCAGCGAATGACTAAAAATTCGATTGTGGCACAGTAGACCACAACTACTCTCATTTTCACAAATTCTGAGTCGGGATTCTCGTTTGCTAGGAAGATGATTCCGAAGTATACTGGCTTCATGGCGGCGGTTCCGAGACCCATCTGCCGTCGGCAAGTTCCGGCCGCAGTCGCGAATTGGCAGGTCTAATGGTTCGATGGCGGCCAATCCTCTCTTTTTTTTTGCGCATAAAACTCCTAGTCAGTCTTTAAGTATCGTACCCGAGCTTGCAGAAAACCCTCTTTCCGTGAAGATGAGCCTGTACCAACGACATTGCTTACGTAATATGCCAGCCGCCGCCATATGCACGGGCGCCTCCATTCTCGCATCCTGCAACGTCCTAAGCTGTCCTAAGGGTGCAGCTTCCGCTCGCTTGAGTTCTTGACCCCCCTCGTCTAATTGCTCGACATGTTCCGTCTTCCGACCCTTGTCTCTCTTTTGATCCTCGCCGCAGCGAAGGTCGTGGTCTCGTCGCCTTGCGTAGCGTTCGACTCGAACTTCAATTTGCTCGTCTTCGGTCTCGATGGGAAGGACTGGAGCGCAGGTACACAGAGTTCATGGACAAACGGTGAGTACTCTCGCTCACAGAGCCTGATGAGTTTCTGGCGTTGAACGTCCGCGACTGCGATATTGGCTCGGGAAAACGAAATTCGCGGCTCTGACGACTGTCTCTTGTATCCCTCGGCCAAATGAAATTGTGCTTCCTCGGGATGTCATCCAGTCGCTAGAGAGCGATAGGCCTGCAGAGGCCACGACATGAGCCTATTATCTGCGCATTGATGTCCACGGCATGTCTTCATACTTCCTATCCCGCAATTGCATGCCATTTTCTACATAACGCTCGGCTAGTCGCTGTGATCTTGACCAATACCTTACATTTGTACAGAAGACTGTGATGGCTCGCTATTATTATGGCGTCTCTACGCTTTTGGTGTTGATGGCTCTTCGTAGTGCATATTATGTGGTGAATGCGGTTCCATTATGGGTGCGAGAGCCCTGAAGCAGGCAGGGTACGATACGCTCCTCGTTGAGTCGTTTTATATTCTTTTAGTGAGCAATCTATAACGTGAATGCTCTACTTACGCTTGTACTTCTCAGGTACTGCGACGGACATTACTGCATCTGGGCGCCCGTAAGCCTTTATCATGTATTTTACACCCTACTCTTGATTTACGCTCCCATATAGCTCATTTGACGGCACGAACACTACGTGCTACCTCGCACAGTTCTACAACAGCATTTATTTTATGAATGCCCAGTCTAACGACACGTCTTCTGTCTATATTTACGACGCAGCCACCAAGTCGTGGTCCACGCAGTCAGTCACCACCGGCTCCTTCAGCCCGTCCGACTTTACCGCTATCCTGGACCACGACACTAACGTGTTCTACGCGCTGTCGGGCGACTCGTTGTACTACTTGGACATGGGCGCGTTGACGGCGGCAAACTCGAGTGCGCTCTCTTGGGTAGATGTCGAGCAGTCGCCGTATGGAGCGAGCTATTCAAACCCGGTGATGGCACTAGCCCAAAATCACGTTCACTTCCTAGACGTCCCTGGAGTCAGCGCTGGCGAAGCGAAGATTTATGTTATTCACTGTAAGCCTCTTTTCCGTATTGACATCACCCTGTACTCATTTCATGGTAGACTCGTATTTCCAACCCACTGCGCAGGCATACCCGCTCTCGAACGGCAGCACCGGTTTCCCTGCCGCGCACGGCAAGACGGCGTCCTTCTTCCAGTCTGAGGGCGTGCAGCAGGAGTTCGCGTTCATCCCTGATGACGGCTCGGCAACATACGTGATCAACGTCGAGACGAACACGACGGCGGCCTACGCCGGCCCAACGAAGAAGGACGCCGATGCGACGTACGCTGCGAGTATCACGGCGCTCGTGCAGCTCGACAGCGAGGGGAATGTGATATTCTTCCCGTACACAGAGGACGACGCTTCTGTGAACGCGGCGGCTTCGTGGACGACGGTGAAGGCACTGGCGTCGGTGGCGCCCGCGAGCTCGTCGGCGTCGAGTACTGCGACCGCTAGCGGGGCGCATAGTAGCGGCACTGGTACGACGGTGTCCACCAGTGGTTCCGGCTCCACATCGACGGGATCTGCGTCTTCCGGTAGCAGCAGCAGCTCCAATGGGAGTATGGCTGTCAGGATAAGCCATGGGCTCGTTGTGGCTGGGCTGATGGGTGCTGTGGCCTGCCTCCTATAAATATCGGACATCCTTTCGGGAAATCTCGAGTATATCAGTTTAATCATATTGACTACGTGTGTGCCTCCGTACTTTCTGATCATCGACATGACGTAACACGCGGACCGCAGTGCATCACCCGGCTGCATCATAGTAGGTGGCCATCGGCTTACATCTGGCTGCGGTGTTTTCGTTGATAGTGTGGTCATTGCTATCGACCCATAATGTCTATAGTATTCTTGGACGTTGGTACGAATCGTAGGCACAAGCTCACGCTCCAAACGTAGCAATCCCCTCGCCAAGTCCTCTGATCGCGTCCAGCAACTCGTTGTCTTCCACTGACATCGTGCTTGCTCGAGTCTCGTTGACCATGCCTATGAACGGCAGCTCGTCCGGCTTGCACACTGGTCCTTCCTCCGGCAACGTTCCATTTTGTAAGTAGGCCTGCAGATATTTCGCAGTGCACAGCGAAGGCGCCGAGGTCGAACAGTGCCCGTAAGAGTCTTGCACAAGGAGTGCCGATCCAGCATACCGCGTGTGCACGTCCTGTGCATGCGCGAGCGGGCAAACGGTGTCGTACAGTGGGGAGATAAGTAACATTGGGTGTGCCGTGCCTTTCGCCGCGAGCAGGCCTGTGTACCGCCACTTCGGGCGCACACGCCATTCAGTGCAGCGCAGATGATGCCAGTCCCAGAACGGCGCCGCTGTCGGCGCCATCTCGTACATGCCGGCGAAGTTCTGTCTGTGCGTCTCTGGATTGTATTCCACCGGGTCTCCATCCCCGCACCCGACCGCCATAAACGCCGAGTTGGTGGCCTCCCAGAATGGCGTTTGCTTGCAGTCACACCTGAAACCCGGAAGTTCTTTGTGCACAAGTGTGGCGAGCGCCGTCTGGTTCTTTCTCTCTGCAGCCACGAGAAGATCGGCGAGATACGGGGAAAATACAATCGGCTTGTACGATATGATGAACGTCAGCTCGTATAGCTTTCGCTTCGTCAGAACGGTCGGGCCGTTAGTCAGTGAAGGGGACGTCGATGGGCTCATCTTCGGCGGCATTGAAGATGGCATCGACGCGAGCACAGGTCGCAACGGCCGACGACTAATAGAGCGTGTACTTATGTGGGCCGGCCTGGTGGCAGTAGTACTGCCCAAGGATCGTACCATAGCTATGTTTAGAGCGCGGTCAGTTGGCGATATACTAGCTGTTTTAGCAGGTATGTTGCTCACGAATCCCTGGTCACTTAGCTTGTCTTGTCCTAGCTTCGAGTGGGTGATTCTCACCATACGATGTAGCGACACTCACCGTGTTCGCGCAGACATGTGCTGATGCCCGCTCGCGGGAGCGCACCAAGTTGATCGGGTAGATTCGACAGGACGTGCGTCGCTGAGAGCAGCCAGACCCGGAGCTCTGCCTCTGAGCTGAAGGAGGCTGTGGACGGCATGCTTGCACCGACTCCGCGGGCTGAAGCCGAGTATGTCGTAGGACCGGCCGACGACGCGCAAGATATCCGGGTCGGTGGTATCTAACATGCAATGCCAGAGCCATCGGGCCACCGGGATTGACCAGCATAGTTGCTGAGTACTAGTTCTCTATGTCGGTATGGGGAAGCATGCAAAGAGCATTGGGAGCTGCGCTCGCAGGGTGAAACTGGGTAATCAAGTTGGAGGAACGGACGTGCACGTTGCTGTAATCCGGTATAAAGCTATCTGTTCATCATGTTCTTTCCATGTCTTAACTGTACTGCCAGTGCACCTGAAGGCCACAGCTTAGCCACGGATTCTGTTAGTTGCTGTGGTGTTTTGGGCTAACCAGTGTCATTAATGGTTGAAGCGAATACCTTCCATGTCTGTCGGGTCATGGACCACCCAGCATTCATTCAGTTGATCAGTTTGTCGAACTCATTGCTTGTTCAATTCAACATTGAAAACAAGGGCTTTGAGGGGGGTTCTCTTTCTTGACATCAAGGTCTGCGTGTTTTAGATGAACTGTCCTTTATTATTGAAGGCTCCTGAAGTCTGATTCCTAAAGCATCACTTTCTTTTTCCTCATCATTCTTTTTCACCCTGTCCTGCTTCTTCTTGATGAGCTTTGCTAGTGGAAGAGTGTTGAAAGTGGAAAAGCTCATCAACTTGGGTATTGTCAGTAGAGTTTAGGTCATGGATACTGTACTTCAATTCACCTTACTGGCATTCTGTTCTTTTTGTCTACATGACTCTGTTGATGTTGCTTGTCATCCACATATGCACACTGTTACTTTTGATATCATGCTTGTACAGTAAATCATATAAAATATATACTAGAAAAGAATTGCAACATTAAATAGTCATGTTTACAGACCAAGGTGTATGAAAGGGAGCCACGAGTAAAATGACATATTAGGGTCCTGTTGCAACTGCTCTACTGCATAATGCAATGCCCTTGCAGCCTGCCTATGATCTGGTGGGCTATCATCAGACAACAACTGAGAATAGACACCTTGTGCAACCTGAGGAGCAACACTGTCCAGAATTGACCACATTGTTGCAATCACTCCATTATAGCCAATAAACAGCATTCCTGCAGCAAGATGGACAGCTTCATCTGCAAGTTTTTTGTCACCAGTTGCTGTCTCGCAGGCTGACAAAAAGGCCAATCCTCCATGAGGATGTCTTGTCTTAATAATGTCAGATAGCTTCAAGCGTTGATTATTTGCAAGTTGTAGTCCACTGTCAAGTGGGTCTTTGAGATCTTGAATTCCATGACATGCAAAATGAGCCCAGCTGCACTTATACAGATTGTGAAGTACATGATCTTTTGTTCCATCAGACTCTACAAGCACAATCTGCATAGAATTCAGTCTGGTAAGCCTTTCCTTTATCTTGAAGATTTCCTCTTGAGTACCTGGAAGCCGGGACAATCCATCTGAGCTTGGCTGAGCCAAAGCTAGTAGATGAATATTCTGTGGAGTGTTGTCTTCAGTTGGTAAGATAAGTGCACTCAGAGTAGGAGTATATGATGATATGACAAATTCTGAGATCTTGACATTTGATTCAGCTCTTCCATATATGCCTGCAGCATGAATGGGAAGAAATGTCAGAGAGCCTGTGGGGCACCAAAAAATGCGGCTTAGATTAGAGCATGTTGCAGTTTGTTTCTAATTTAATTATCACTATCAAATAATGAAAGAAATGAAATAAAGACATACTGGATAGGCAAGTTTATCTAAAACTGGCTTGACAATATTATACCACAGCTGAGAAAGTATACTTTCAAATGAAGAGTATAATACATCATCAACAAACATCATTGTTGCTGTCCTGACATCTCTGGCAGTGGCAGTAAAGATAGTATGGTCAGGCTGGTGAACATTTTCATTGTGCATTGTGCTTATAGCCATGTTGTCTTGGTCAGTAACACTTGAACTAATGTGATCATTCCTTTTGAGCAATGCATTTAGTGATACTGCAAGATTTTGTGCAATTTGATAGGTAAGACCATTAAGAGGAAGATGAACCACCTCTTTTGAGTCAGGCAGAATAATTAATGCATCACAATGCCACTGGCTGCAGTTAAGAATGACCACTGGTCCAGAGTGTGCACATTGCAAAAGCTGAGGCAACTTCTTTGTTGTTAAGAACTGTTCAAAACCTGGCATGGATTGAACTTCAGCCAGCAGAAGTTCCCATTCATGTGCAAGTGCGTGGTGCTGTTGAGCTTGTTTTCCTAAGGACATTTGTACTGTTTTCTTCATGTCAAGTCTATAGCTTGCCTGTTCTAGCTGCTTTAAGATCTGCTCAAGCTTATCTGCAAGTGTTGGATGCATGGACTGCAAATGTTGAAGGTGACGAAGCTGCAATTGCTGTCCCCAGACAATTGAACGCCCTTGCTCAAGCCATTCAACAGCAAGATCATAGCGTTTACATTGAATAGCTATAGCAGCAGCATTTTTAGCAAGATTTGCCAACTGATTAAGTGCAGTAAAGTGATATGAAATAGGAAATCTAAGCCATGCCAGCTTCAAAAGCAAGGAAAATGTAATATCACAGGCCCTAAAAAGGGATGAATGTTGCAAAGTGTATGCACAGTGAATCCAGTGATAACCAGCAGTGAATCTGACATACAAAGAGCCAGTGGATGACTGAGCAGCTGATGAAAATTGAACTATAGCCTTCTCAAAGACAGAGATATCATTGAAACTCTTGAAGCAGCTGGACAATGTATATCCAAGGTTAAGAAGGTATGCAGGCTTATGTGCATGACCATCTGATATAAGCTGCACTGCTGCTTGCTGCATAGCAATAGCTCGATCAACATCTGCAATATTGTCATGATTTTCAAAACGACTTCTGAAGAAGTTTCCAAGATTGTTAAGATAGCCCGGCTTCTTTGCATGATAATTTGATGTCAGCTGTACTGCTTTTTGCTGCACAGCAATGGCCTGGTCAACATCTGTAAGATTATGCAGATGTTTAAAACGACTGAAGAAGGAGTTTCCAAGTTTGTTAAGATAGTCAGGCTTGTCTGCATGATCATCTGGTGTGAGCTGCACTGCTTTTTGCTGCA